TCTAAAGGTCTAGAAGGCAAACCAGGAGAATAAAGTGCATTTTTGTTTCACTTATGTTCGAAAATTTCTTAAAATGCGTATAAAATTTTGAATTAACCAACATTTTGGAAGTAATGAAGGAGACCTTTAATAATTTAGAGACTAAACTATTTGTTAATTTTTTAAAAATTGACGTCGAAATTTGTAAAAAGTTAAAATTTCAACATTTAGGTTTTTAGCATAAGTTTGTTAAAATCTGGGATTTATGTTGTTGTAATTAATTATGACATGATAGATATCAAATAAACTTGATTCAAAAAATTGCTGAATATTTCAAAAAGTAACTTTCACTGGAGATTTTCTTACTTTGAAAATTTCAGTAATCTTAAAAATCAATAAAATTTCAAAAAAGTTATAAAAATGACAAAGGTGCATTTTGGTTGTGTTTATCAACAAAAATTTGCTATATATTACTAGAGAATTTTTAATTAATTAACAATGTCATAGTTTCATCTATTATAATTTACGGGCTAAACTATTTACTAATTAAAACAATTTGGCGTTGTACTTTGCTAAAAGGTTAATTGAGGCATGAATAATTGATACAATTGTATCAATTAAGCTTCTAGTAGTTCCACATGATATCAAAGCGGCGCTCAAAGTTTTTTAAAATTTTCAAAAAGAACATTATACAAAACTGAATAATCATAAAAATCAGTTTAATCAATTTAAAAAAATAACTTTATGAGGATAAAAATAAAAATATGCCATTTTGGCTTAATATAGCTTCAAAAATGTTTTAAAATGCGTATGAAATTTTTAATTAACTTATTTAAATCACAGAGACAATGAGAGCAATCTTTTAAAGGGTAACAGCTAAGCCATTAAGCCATTTGTTAATTAAAATAATTTGGCGTATAAATTTACCAAAAAACAGTCTAAAAACCAGGTGTGCAAAAAGGCAGCCTTTTTGCTTTTTCTGCATGCCTTTTTGCCTTCTTGCCTTGTTCAATGCCCTTTTCCCTTTTTGCGGCCCTTTTGCCTTTTTGATGCCTTTTTGCCTGTTTGATGCCTTTTGCTCGATTTTTGACGATTGAACCCGATTTATTGTCGTTTATAACGTATTAAAGAAATTGCAGAATCTGCAATATGTTTTTAAAATTGTATTGGAGGGTTCTGACTTTCATCAATACTTCAAATTAGTTGAATACTTTTCCCTAGATATCTTCAGCGTTGTTTCTACATCGCCATCAGCTTAATTAATCAAGTTTTGACTCTGATGGTCATATTTTGAAAAGTATAAAAAAAAGTCATGAATAACTTTCACTTTAATTTTATCACGGAGTTTTCGTCTCATCTCGCCCCAAATTAGCAAAAGGGCAAAAAGGCACAGATTTTTGTGGGGCAAAAAGGCACAGAGGCAGGCAAAAAGGCACTGCCTGCCTTTTTGCTCTGCACACACTGCTAAAAACATCAACATGTAAAATCTTTCATGAATTACTTATTTGTAAAGTATAACAAACTGTAGACAGAATAAAATTAGTAAAATTGATGCATTTTGATTTCACTTATCTCCAAAAGTTAAAAAAATTAGTTTAAAATTTGTACTAACTAAAATTTCAAAAGTTTTAGAGGCTAATATTGAACAAACTTTTGAAAATTAAACTAATTTGGCATTGAAATTTGCAAAAAACATGATAACTTGAACATGCTAAGTTTTTTAAGTACTTAACTATAGACAAATAAAAAACTGTAAACAGATGTAAATTGATGCATAATATGCATCACTGTTGGTTTAATTTTTCCACCAAAATTTTATAAAATGATCAGAAAATTTTAAATTAGTCTAATCTCTGCACCTTACTCAAGAAGACAGCGATCTTTTATACACATATGGTTTCATCCCTAAACTATTATTTAAACTTAATTGGCTTCGATGTTTGCATAATATTGCATAATCAATGTGTAAAATCGTCTTTTTAACGTGATTTCAAGTAATAAAAGACCTCATGAGGATAAAAAGATATGCATTTTTGGCTTATTATACCTTCAAAATATTTTTGAAATACGTATAAAATTTATAATTAGCTAAACCCATAAAAATATTGAAAGTGATGTTTTTTAATTATTTGCTCATTAAACTTGAGATGTAAAAATGTTTTTGGTGTGATTTCAAGTTTAAAAAAACTTTATTAGGATAAAGATGTGCATTTTGATTTCACTTATGTTGGAAAATTTTTTAATAAATACAATTTTGAATTAACTAAAAATTTGAAAGCATTAACACAAAAATCTTTTACACTTTAAGCCCTAAACTATTTGCTAATTTTAAAAATTTGGCGTCAAAATTTGTCAACCGTGAAAATTTAAACATGTACACGTGATTTACAGCATAATTTAGTTAAAATCTAGAATTTACGTTGTTGCAATTTATTGTCACGCCATAGATATTAAAGTAAAAAAAATAAACTACAGAAACAAAATTTTTAGAAAAATTTGAAAAAATCAATAATCGTAGAAAGCAGTAAATTAATAAACAAGGTCCCAAAAAATGGGAAATCTTAGTGAGGCAGTGCAATCTCAACTCAGAAATAAAATTAAATTGCAGAATTTTTGAATCATCGCTCTCAGAAATACACCTCATTAATAGTAGGATGTGTATTTCTAAAACATAATGGTCCATTATATTTGATCTCAGTTAATTTAGCACATTTCTTTTTCACTAGTAAAAACGCATTAAATTCGCAAATTAAGATTGGAGAATTCATTCTTATAAGCAAAATTTAGTGCATCCAGTGAAAATGATATTCAGAGCGGTGATGCAAAAATTCTGCAATCTAACTTTATTTCTGAGTTGAGATTGCACTGCCTCACTAAGATTTCCCATTTTTTGGGACCTTGTTTATTTAAAACTTGTAATTCGGTTGTCAACGACATTATTGCACCGCATTATACTTGCATCCACAGTAATTTTACTAAATTTTTAATTTTCAAAATTGAATAGCGTCGTGATTTCTTAACCGATTTCGGTCAACTTGGTCTTAAAATGATCAGAAGGAATCAGTGTAACTTTTTCCAATAATTTAGGACAATGTGATGCTCTGAAATGGAACAATGGATGGAAAGGTGACTCCGAGTGCAAATTTTTGCTCTATTTCGCCCATAACTAGGGTAAAAATAAAAAATTCGCCAAGTCAACTAGTACATCGTTTTTAAATCCTGTAACAATGATGTATGCAAAATTTCATCAAAATCGGTTGAGAAATGGCCGAGAAATCGACTTATGTCACTTTTTTTGGGTGGGGTAAATGCATACTTAGTAAATTTTTTCCGTTGTTAGGTATTTGCCTCACTAAGAAAAAAAACAGAACATAAAAAGTCAATGTACATATGTATACCCATATTTATAGACAATTTTATTTTGCATAAATGCACAACTGCTGCGTCCAAATTTCCAGCAAAACTTATAATTTTAACATCTTGTCAACGTGAATAATTGTCAATGGTGGTCCAGGCGTATGCTCTCCACCCTCCGGTCCCGTTTTGACCCAATTCGTATCAATCAATCACAAATTTAAATGGTATGAAATTTGGGAAAGACACGATCTCCCAATGCGCATGTTTGACAGAGATATTTGCATCTGAAGAGGAGAAAAGTTGTCAAATTTTACACTTTGCAATGTTACTTTGTGCCCTTTTCCCTCTCATTTAAAAATATTACACACACAAATGCTCCGAAACTTCTTTTGTTTCTTGACCTAAGAGGTTAACCTCTTAAAGACTAATTACACACATTTGTGTAGTATTTTATTTTCCGTTGAGGACGAAATACACAAATGTGTGTACGTAAAAGTATGTATGTATGTATTTTGAGAGGAAGACTCCTCCTATCGTAGGAGCCCACTGCTCAGATCATCCATCAGATCTATTGAATTTCCTCTTACTTTACACCGTATGGCTATCTAGTTGCTCAGGTATAATCCCCATACCTATTGATGAGATATGGGGATCGAGAAACCATTTAAGGATAGTAAGATGGGAAGAGACGCCGGCTTGCCGTAAGCACCACCGCTCACCCCTGCACTTACGGGGCCAGTCCCACTCCGCCCATCCTCTACCCCATGAAATACCACAGAATATAGATTCTACCAGAAGAATCGATCTTATGTATTCGAGTGACGCTTAGGAAGAACGGGGAGAGCCAACCAAATAACTCGGTGTACATTTGGCCCACCTGGGGATGGCACCTCCGCATCATCATCATCACCACATCTCCTGGCATCAAAAAATGATGATGGAAGCACATAGGTGGCGGTGGCACCTCCATTTGTGCACCAGAACACACCATTCTGAGCTGCGTCTCCACGAATTTGATGCTCTACGAGGGTGTGTTTTGGTGCACAAATGGGGGTGCCACCGCCACCTATGTGCTTCCATCATCATTTTTTGATGCCAGGAGATGTGGTGATGATGATGATGCGGAGGTGCCATCCCCAGGTGGGCCAAATGTACACCGAGTTATTTGGTTGGCTCTCCCCGTTCTTCCATAAGCGTCACTCGAATACATAAGATCGATTCTTCTGGTAGAATCTATATTCTGTGATGAAATACTAATATCAAATGGAAGGGGAAACAAGGCTTTGTTTCTCCGGACGAGATTTCCTCGCCTTTTGCATGCACGCAGGTTTGGGCTGGCATGGTACTCTATGCTGTCTCACGATTGTCTCACTTTCCTCTCCCGATGCAGAAATAAATACGACACCACCACCACCACGACCAAAAATATATATTAAATGTTCATTACTTGGCACTAAAGCTTATAATAAATTTACAATTTTTTGTTAATAACTATTTACAATTTAAATCATTTCATTTCTCATAATGTCAAATTAATAACAAGTCACACACCACCAAACACACAATTATTATCGTTAATATTACAACATCGTATATCAATAGTTAAAACATGAGAATACACAAAGTAATAAAAATTACTAGTCTACTATTTTTTAATCACTCCTCATTAGGCATTACTGTTAATTATTTAATAGAGAGGGTGGTATTTCGTAGCGGACGTATGGTACTTCGACATCTTCCCCGTCCCTATCATTGCAACAAAGTTCGAATACAAGAGCCTTCACGTGCGGTTCGATGGGTCTCCTGGATACCTCCCTTACCACCTAAATAGATTATAAAGTTATATAATAAATATATTTTGTAATTAGGCTAAAAAATATATTAATTAGTTAATTAATTAATTTAACTAGTTACCTGCACCAGCGGAGATTTTAATCGCTCCTCCCTCTTTTCCTTCTGCATAAAGAAAGAGTACAGCATACAGACGCCTTGACTCAACATGGTGATTTCAAGGTTGTAGCGATCCTTGAAATGGTCCAAAAATTCCTTCAGGGTCATCTCTCCCTGAACTTCAAATCGATCCCATAAAGTAAATTGCGTGTCGTGATATTTGAGCTTAAGGGCGGCGATCGGCTCACTAAATCCGAATAATGGAAGAGCCAAATTGACAAAGCCGTTCTTGTACTTTTCAATGTTGGTTTCTCCCCCGACACGCTTAATGAGTTCCAAGCAGACGAGTCCCGACATGACAGAGGTTGTTGTGGCGATTGCAGGGATGCTCTTTCCAGCAATCAGTTTCGATTTGAGACGATCAGCCAGCTCAATCGAGTAGTTCGTGGCCCTGGCGTTGGATGCAGCAACAATAAAGTCCATGTGGAGATTGGAGTCGTCATCCTTCTCAAATTCGATTGGAGTGATCTTCAGTCCCTGAAAAGGATAAATTGCAATGCGTAATAAATACATAATACAATGCATGAAGAATAAATATTAAGTTAAAAAACATTTAGATCGTTAGTTTACCTGGAAATCTACACGATTTTTCAAAGTAGTCTTCAACTCCTCCAAACGATCCGAATCAAGAGTTCCAGACTGTGACTGGGCTTCAGCTTCAGTTAAAGCGATCCGCACCCCTGTCCTTGGCTGGAATACCGGAACCTATATACACCATAAAAACAAAAGCAAGTGAATAAATAAAACAATACAATTTTTAATTGTCTCCCTCACATGAACAGCAGCACCCATGTTACCAACAAGTGTCCTATCCCTAACTTGCGGAATTCCGTACATCTCTGCCCTCAAATTGGCCCCAGCGAAGACAAAGTCTACACACAAGTCATCTTCCGTGGTGAAGGTCATTGCCTTCGGGCATCTCTTGGGGGCTGACCAAAACGGCTGTCCCGTGCTGGTCGTTTGGTCTGGGGGAAAATTAAATAGCAACTGTTGGATTGTGTTGTTGAACGAATCCTCCCACAACAATCTTGCCCAGGTCACGCACCCTTGGAAATCTTTCGGTTGATCATCCATCAAGCACTTTTTAACCGATTCCAATATCTCTAATGGTTGACTACCCGGCAGCTTTAGGGTTCTCTCCAAATATCGGGGATCACTTAAAAATTGAGCCGCATTCTCCGCACTTTGTTTAAAGATTCCCTCAAACAAGTCTCGAGCCCATTTCAACGTGTGTTCAATTGCGTTTGGAAAATTTTTCAGAGTGCAGATTGGAATACTTTTTTCGGGCGGGTCTTGGCTCGAACTGTAGCTCTCAGTCATGTTGGGATTGACGACTTGCGTACTTCCTTTAATTCCTAACGTTCCAGATTCAAGAAGAGGTTTCCGATAGTAGACACATCTACGGTCCATATAAATTCGGGCGTCGACATTGTCTAATGCGTTGGCCACTCCACTCAAATTTTCAAAGAAATCGTCATTGTACTTAGTGTGCCATTCGGAAGTGTCAATAGCCATTTACTAAAAAACAGCTGGTCCAAATTCAAATCTAATAGGTGCATCGTGTTCCTCATTCAATTCTAAGTAAGTTTCAATGACTAATTTATCCTTTTCTAACAACCAGACGAGCATGGATAACCTAGAAATGAAGCGGGCGGCCATCATTTTTCATTACCAAAATGGGAAGACAAATAGCGAAATTGTAAAACTTCTAAAAAATTCAAAGGTCAATTATAACTTGGTCAAGCGGACCATTAAAAGGTTCCTTGACACTGGGTCCACCATTAAACGACGAAGAACTTACACTCCAAGGCCTAGAAGGACCCCTGCAATGCTGAAGGCACTGAAGGCCAGAATTCGAAGAAATCCACGCCGCTCCCGACGAAAACTGGCCTTGCAGATGAAGGTTTCAAGGCAAACTATCCAAAAAGCTCTTAAAGAAGACCTTGGACTGAGGGCTTTGAAACGTGGTACTTGCCATATGTTGACCATCCCCCAGAAGATAGCACGAGTGAAGAAATGTCGATCCCTCCTGAAGCGGTACGGCAAAAAAAAAGTGGAAAGGATCCTGTTTACTGACGAGAAGATATTCACTGTTGAGGAATCTTTCAATAAGCAAAATGACCGTATCTACGCAAGATCTGTCAAGGACATCCCCCAATGTCAAAGAAAGGTCAAAAGGACCCATCATCCAGGATCTGTGATGGTCTGGGCTGGTGTTAGTTGGTGGGGCAAGGCTCCACTTCATTTTGTCGAAAGAGGGGTCAAGGTGAAGGCAAAAAATTACTTGGACGATGTTCTCGAACCAATAGTACGTCCTCTTAATCAGTCTTTATTCAATGGAGAAGACTGGACTTTCCAGCAGGACTCTGCACCTGCTCATAAGGCGAAAATGGTCCAAAACTGGCTTCACAACAACATTCCAGACTTCATCTCCACTTCAGAATGGCCATCGGCATCGCCGGATTTGAATCCATTGGACTACGCTATTTGGTCAAACTTGGAGGCAAAGGTATGTGCTAAACCCCACACAAGTATTGAGGCACTTAAGAATTCTTTGACCATGGAATGGGAGAAATTGTCCATGAAATCGGTGCGTACTTGTATCGAGGAGTGGCGCCCGCGTCTTCAGCGCTGCATTAGTGCAAGGGGGGGAAATTTCGAAAACTAAATAATATTTCTGTTGCGAAATTTCACTGGCTTTCCAATAAAATTACCTAGAAATTTGTAATATCGAAATTGTAAAAGTTACATCGTTTTATTTGCATTGACACTTCCTCGTGGCCACCTAGTAGGTTGCTTCCGTTTCGGGACCAACTCTGTTGACATGGTGTTCAATGGTAATTCCGGGATTCATTTCTAGCACAGCTTGTGCAGCGCAGACTGACTTGGCCTGACCGACGTCTTTGGGCCGGAAGAGAAATTGACGATTTAGATTGGACCGCTCAATCAAGTCCATGTCAGTCACAAAAATTTTTCCCTTGTCGCCGCCACCGAGTCCCAACATTGCAAAATTTTTTAAGAGTTCGCATCCTAATTACATAAAAAATAAATCATTGTTATTAACTATGAATCAGTCAAATTAATTGAAAATCATGAACAATAATTAACAATGAAAGTTTAGCTGTACCGATTGCACCCGCTCCAACCACAAACCACTTTTCATCTCCCAAAGTTCGTTGAAATTTTTTCCCAAAAACTGCAATCTGTGAATCGTACCGCGACCCGCTCCCCTGGAAATCTGTCTCGTCCAGCGTACTCATGACCGCACCGGTCTCACCATCAAACTCGAACGGAAGGCACTCAATTGAATCAAAAAACATCCACTGGCAGAGAGGGTGAAATTTTCCGCTCACAGATTTCATGACTTCTTGAGCCGCGACGCCACCCACGAATCCATTCATAGGACAGACTTGTCCAGAGCAGATGAAACTAAAAATTCGGGCAACTTTCACATTAAGCGTGATTTCCCTCCTTGTAGCCAACTTTGCTGCTATCTTCACAAAACTGTCGGCATCCTCAGCGTTGTATGGACGAGGTCGGCAGCTGTGTTGATTGACGAATGCATCCAGGGCTTGGGAGGCAATGTTGATCGTTTCAGTATGGTCGAGCTTGCCCCAGTCCGCAATTATGTATACTGGAGCGGCGATGGATTCCTCCAACCTTTTGAAGGAGAGTTTCTTGACCATTTTTACTTGAGTGACAACGCCACCTCGTATATAGTTCGTCATGCCTACAAGTAATTAATAAATGAAATAATTATCATTTACTTGAAAAAGAATTAATTTTATTCACATTTTAAAATAAAATGTTCGCACCTCTCGTATCAAGCTTGAGTTTAAAAGTGTACGGCCCGTCACCTCGATCTGGATGGGAGGATGATCATTGAGTTCAGTCATGCCTTGAACTTCGAAAAACTTGACGAAATCTCCATCTTGAAATCCATCAGGACTTCCAAGACATGTGACCACCCCTTGTTCTTCCTTGGTCACGCCAGCAATCAGTGTCGTCACAGGATTCTCACCGTTGACATCAAGCACGCTGAAGTCTGGGCCAAAGTCGCAAAAAATTCTTGAGAAAAGTCCCTTTGTTTCAGCCAAGATGAAAGAAACCCCATTGTCGTGACACCAGTTTCCAATTTCGAGCAAGTTGGAAACTCCGCTACTCTCGGTGACGACGACCGTGCTGTATTTTTCTTTTCCTATGAGTTCCGGAGTTAGTGGTTCCTTCGAAGTGAGAACTGATACATCAGGATTCAGTTCGCTTAAATGTTTGAGACATTGTTCTGCCCGGTTCTTCCCAATGTCGGCTTTTCTCAAATAAAACTGAGAACATAGATCATCCCAGGTTGTAGTGGTGGCATCTTGCAAAGTAACAGACTTGACTCCAGATAGAATCACGTTTTTCGCCACTTCCACTCCAAGTCCGCCCAGTCCAGAGATTAAGATATTTGACGCCGCCATCCGTGCCAGAGCTTCTTCTCCGAGGACATAGCGTTGCCTGGAATACAGATTTTCGTCGATCCCTGCTCCGTTGTTGTTAGCGGACGATCCATAGTACGGAACAATGTTGACTTCAATTGGTTCCTAAGTATATAGATATTTCATAAATTTATATTAAAATGGCTTGAACTTCACGTGGCAAGGATTTTTTCCCAAAATAATCCCAAGCTCTCGGTCGCAAAATTTACCGTCAAGTGAGTTAACGTTATGTAGAAACGTAACTAACAATGGAACCTTTCTTCAAACTACACCGGGATCGACTAACGAGCAGGGGTGGGCAAGATACTTTGGTCGGAAGATACAAGATAAGATACTTTCTAGGATAAGATATAAGATAGAAGATACAACTTGTTCAAGTACACAAGATACAAGATACTTTCCTAAAAATTGAGTAGTCAAGATACAAGATATGTATCTTAAGCTACTTTTATACTAGATAAGATACTTTCTTTTTTAGCTTGGTATTCATGTCCAATTAGTCATGTTTAATTATTTAAACGAAAAAATCTAGTGAGTACAAAATTTAAAATCATTCTATAATCATCTTACAAGTTTTGTTTCCAGTGCTTATACTTCGAAAAATTTCTAAATTTGGAAAATCTAAAACTCTACGTAACATATTTACGTTTATTTTTAAGAAGTTGGTATTATTTTTACAATATTCCCTGCTTATTGAAACTAAGCCCTATAATATCCATACACTAGTTCAGTGTATGTATGTACATATCATGTAATGTGCAACGTATGTATGTGTACAAATGTACGAGTACACATGAACATATATACATATGCATATAAAGATATATATACAATATGAATATATGTACATATGTATGCATTTACAAGTTTGTTACCAATTGGAAAAACATAAACTAAAATTTCGCCAAAATCTGGTTACGACAAATTCATGGTCAAATTGGCTGCCAGTAGTAAAAAATTGACTTAATTTGACGGAATTTTAAGAAAAAGTATCTTGAATCTTGTCAACTATCTTAAGATACTTTTCTGCCAGGCGTATCTAGATAAGATACTTACACAAGATACTATTCGACTTTTTAAAAGATAGAAGATACAAGATACTTCTGTGATCAGGAGACGAAGATACAAGATAAAGATATTATCTTGTATCTTTTAATTTCTAGATAGTTTTGTCAATAAATAAATTAATGCAACGTACCTTGCTATCCAAATTGATGAGCAGGTCAAGGCCGCCACCATCGTCGAATAGGGATTCGTCGTAAATGACGCTAGGTCGAGGATGTTTGGGCCACTCACCGCAAATCATGCTCATTTCAGAGCGTTTTCTCTTACAACTCTGTAATTTAAAAAATAAAGAGAGATTTGATGTACGAAACACTATGTTGCATTTCTTTTCTGGCATTATTAGAACGGTAAAAACTAGTCATTACTTACGATTTCTCGAGTCAAGTCCGTCATGATAACAACCTCATACGGGCGATGGGTGCCTTTGGGCTGAATCAAGGGGACAAACTTCTTTTCAACTGCTTGGACGACCTCGGGAATTCTTGTCCAAGCCCACCCCTTTCCACTGCTTCGCTTAAAAACTTTGTTAAATTTGTCCATTCTACCACAAAATTAAAAGTAATTAAAGAACACTTCACTTTCTCATTATCTCACTTTTTTATACGTCCAAGAACTATTGATGTAGTCACAAATATTTACACAATGTATAATTAGCTTTCAGTTTTACTTTTTTAAAAGTCTGATTCGTTATCAACTGGTTGAATTATGGTCCGATTCCCATCTTTCAATTCTTTCAACAGTACATAAAACTTTATTCTCAAGATGGTACACACTATTTCGGTCCTGTGACTCAAACAACTTTCAGAAACTTTAGAATCCGTCAAAAACTTATGTACTGTGGAATCCTTCTTGAGTTCTCTCACTACACTCGTTCCAAAATCATTTTGAGATGACATCACGGCTGTGTGATACAGCTCGTTAACTTTGAGAAAAGTATTCTGATGATTTCTATGCAGCAAGTGGCCATATCCAAACTCCTTAGGGTTAGTAAAAACGTGGGGATCGTAAGCTTTTAATTCTGTTAAGGTTTCAGGATCAGTAAAGCATTGAGATGGACGATCATTTACGAATTCAAGGAGGTTGATCTCACACAAGTTGCATTTCTTTGTTTTGATAATTTTTTTAACAGCCCATGATGATAGATATATGGCTGCGTTTTCCGCTGCAGCATTGGTGACTTTTGCTATACCTTCAAAGTAAGAATTTATTTGGTAACTTATTCGGTCTTCATCGTTTGACTCATCTCCGTCAGATTCAAATTCGTCATCGGTTTCATCATTTGTAACTGATTCCTGCCTCGTTTGCCAAGCAACACTTTAATTTTTTCCATAGTCTCTTCGGTTGTTTGATCTTCTTCAAAGGACTCGCAATTCGCACCAGATGGAGATTTCATCATTGCACAAACAAAGAAATATCTATATGCTTGGCGAAATTGTTGTGCCGTAATCTTGTTGCATGGTCCAACCCGAGACTTTACGAATGAGAAAAAGTGTTCTAGAAAGTCTGATTGTATTCGCCTTGTGAAGACATAGTCGAACCCATCAAGTTCCAGGTCACTTAGAAGCATGTACATCGAGTGGAGAGTTAATTGAAAGTTTTTCAACGTAGGGACGTGAACGCGTCCATTGGATTTAATTACTTCTAGCTGGCTGATCCATGTTTTGTATTCTAGTAACTTATCTTTGTGTCTAAATATATCCTTGCCACGTTTCAATGGGTTACAATCATCGGGCATGCTACCGTTCAGTAAGTCGAAAATCTCATTGAACTTCTCAGCTATTACAGCGAATGCAATGTGGTTATAAGGAAGTAATTTCTTTTCTACCATGACTTTGATGCCGGCTGCAACGCTTCCGCTTAGCGTTTGAGCAGCCAAAGAAACTTTCATTTTTTCCCATCTGTTGGGTTGCAAATGACGCTCGGTTAACTTGGGAAACACCCTCGATGAGCCTTTCACATCCAACCTGTATGCGTCTTGTAATTGACATTTTTCTGCTTTCATTATTTCTGCACTGTACTCTCCGACAAGATGATGATGTTCTGGTAGGTTACCAACATCCACTGGGACGAGAAAGCCGTAATTGAACAAGTTATTGCGGATACATTTGATCAGATGTGGCACGTCGTACAGGGCATAGATCTTGTTATTGTTGTGCTCAAAGAAGGGTGCTTCCATCGTCACACCAAGTAACTTGTACACTCCTTGATTCGAACCACCTTGATCGACCACGGTAGCCCGAACTTGTAAGCCTATTTTCTGCAAGGACGAAATTGATTGAAGTAGCAATGACTTAAGGAGCTGAGGTGACATTGACGATTTGCTGAAGTGATAAGTCAACGGATATTTCCAATTTGTTGTAAGGCCTCTCACCATGATCACAAGAGCATGGTCAGCTGCGGTCATAATTGATCCATTCTGTGCATGTGTGGGGATGCCCTCGAGTGCATCAAGATATTTGTTATATTGAATAAGTGGGGTAATATCTGTTTCATCCATTGAAATAATGCAATTTCGTTCTTTATTATTAAGGTTTTTGGTAAGAGACAAATCAAGTAACAAATCAATGTCAGGTCAATGTTGTTAAATATGTATTGTACACGTTAAATATGCATATGAGCTTGTGTGCACGTCTAAACAAAATTTATATTTAGAGATTTAGAGATTTCTTTAAATTATCGTTATGTTTTAATGTATGCATATAAAAATGGCATTAAATTGTGCTGGTGTAGTTGTACATACATATTCTGATAATTCCTGGTTCGGGCTATGCAAAGTTGTACGGTGAGATTTAATTAAGTTTCCCCTCAAATTTATTTAGTGATTTAGCTTAGTGATTAATTTTTTTCCCAACTTAATTTTTTACTACTTATTTACTAATTAGCAATTAAAAATGAATTTAGTAAAATCAGTAAAACAGTAGTTAATTTCAGTGTTGTTTAACTACACATAAAAGTTGTTGAACTACAACTACTTCGGTTTCATGTAGTTAAATTTTTACATTTCTAACTACATTCTAAAATCTAACCACTAACTACTTTCAACTGCTTTTTAATTACTTTCATTTATCTACCTTTTACGGTGTAGTTGAATGAAAGGAAAACTTGTACCTACTTTACTTAACTTCTTGTTAAAATCATTAAAATAAGAAAATTATTAGCAACAGATTCATTGTAATTCCCTTAAAAACATAATTACGTTCAGGTAGTTGAGATTTTTACTGAATTTGATCTAGCATTTTATCACTTTCTGAGAATAATTAAGGCAGCTAGAACACCATGAATTTAAGAAGATTTGAAAACCCCAATTTTTCATTAAAAAGAAATTTGAGATTAGATGACATGTAGTTAAAAAGTAGTTGTAAAGTAGTAAAAATGTAGTTGGTCAACTATACCTTAATAGGAGAAAGTCGTTTAACTACATTTTCCAACTACTTTAAAAAAGTAGTTAAATCTTAACTATAACTATCTTTTGCAAAAAATTGTAGTTAACTACTACGAAACACACAAATTTAATTTAACCAAATTAGTTTGCAAAATCCGTCAAATAAAACGCAAGTTGTTTTATCATCGCAACTTTTCACACCATTCCAAAAATCCGTTTTATTTGCGAGTAAAATCATTCCATTCTCGTTCCATTCCATCCAAAAATCATTCATTCTATGGCAAATAAAACACACCCATTAATCAACCTAACGACGAAATTTGTCGCCCAGAATTTTAAAATAAATTTCCACAAGGGAGAAATATCCTGCTTTTGACATCGGGTGCTACGTCAATTAATCATATATGAGGAATGAATATGCAACTCACCTATTTCACAATCACGGTCTCTGTATCAGTCTTCTTTTTGGCTGCGGCAGAGCCTTCTTTCCACCCCGTTTTGGAGACGCGGATGACGTAGCTTTGCGTTTTGTCGCAGTTTTCTTCTTGTTGGAGTACGTCTTCTTGGCAGCCGTTGTTGTCGTCGCACCGGCACCACAAAAACGCAGCTGGCCCCCCTGAGTTTGGCGTAGGTTTTACCACAACAGCGACAGGGGAATTGGAGCGCTTCTTATTCTTCTTCTTGTTCGGCTTGGGAGAAGCTGATGCCTCGAGGGGAATAGACCCGTCGTCTAGTTAACCAAAAAAATCAGATAATTAACTCATTTTTCTCCGCTTTGGGAATATGTTTCATACCAATTAAATGTGTTATCGATTGAGAATAATTTAGTCAAAATCGTACCTCAGCCAACAACGTGATTTTGATAAATTTGCAAATTATTCCACCAAGACAGTTGATATTGTTGTCGTTGAATCAATGTTTTAGTAGTTATCTCGATTGTCTGCAAAATAAACAGTTGATTAGTGGAAATTCATTATCGTCACTTATGATGACAATCGAGCGACTTAATTACTTATTCGATTTCCTCACCAGAAACTGAGAGCCGGTAATTTTTCGCTGTCATTTCGTTATTTGATGTCCTTTGCACAATTACTGTGGGAGGAAAGGAAACTTTTGTCACGGCTTGGAACCAGACGGAGAACAAGGCGACGAACAGGGTCAGGGTGAGCCCAGTCAAGGACACGGTCTTTGAAAGACGATGACCTCGCTTGACCAACGTGGGCTGAATGGAGGGAATTTTCCTTGAAATGGCAACTGTAGAGTGGCAACTGCAAAGTTGCCTACAGCATTTGGGTATAACGCTTCACGCCTGAAACGAACAATTATTCATTATATTAATAATTGAATTAATATATTCCAATTTATGATCTGATGAAGGTATCTGTATGTGCCGAAAGCTTGTCAGTAAACTCAATTTCAAAGATGTGTCCTCCAATGCCGATCAATCAAATTATATATGAATAAATATATATTTTTTAGTGTACAATTTAAAAATACACATACCTAACACCCGACCTAATACAATGGCAAAGCGAATTGTCGAACTTTTAGCAACACAATCGATTGTAAATATTACTCAACTCATTTGACTTAAATTAAATTAAAGTCAATTGAATAAAATTAAAAAGTTAGTCAAGTAGATTAAATTTTGTGGTTAGTGTGGAGGAGAGAGAGCGAAGTTTGCCATGAGTTTGTTGGCTCAAAGTTGGCACACTTTTCTCTTGGCTACGCTGAGATCGGCGAGAAGTGTAGATGCGAGTACGCGACCCTACGAGAAAAAATACGTGTAAGTAGCCATCTATATAAGCGAAGCTCCTCAGTCATCAATGCCTCTACCCACCACTGCCTATTCAATTTTACTGTATGCCCCTTTGGACGCGAATACTACCATGGAAAGGTAAGTATGCTCAGTCCACTCTACTGAGTGTCCAGCTACAATGTGTGTAACTGGCACTCAGGGAGGGCTGCCCCAGCTGCCGAGATATGAGGGATCGAACCATAGACCTTCCGAGTGCTGAAAGCCACCGGTTCTCACCCCCAAGCCAAACAGCCATGGCTACGTAAAAGTACAAGTAAAAGTGTGTACGTAAAAGTAAGTTGATAAATTTTGCACTTTCTAAATTTAATGCGCGTTTTCTCCTCTTCGGACGCAAACGCCCCCACTGGTAGATCGTGTCTTTTCCAAATTTCATACTAACTAATTGTTAATACAATTGTTACGATGGACACTAATTTACTAAAAATCGGAGAGCATAAGCAGCTAGACTTTCATGGTTAGTAGTAGTTGAAAAGTACAAAAACTGTAGTCAGATATGGTCGGGGCATCATAATTAAAGCCGTTTTTACATGCATTGCTAATGTAAAAATAACCTTAATTTTAATACATCGACTCATAAAACTGATGCATTTTGGCTTCATTTATCTCAAAAAATTTTACAAATTGAGTATACACTCTTAGCAACTTGGTAAAGAATTCCTAATAAGCGTCTTTACCGAGCTCTTGGTAATGACGCGTCCTACAAAAATTATACCGGATTATTACCGTATCAATACCAACCGGGTAACTGGCCTTCCACCACAATATTTTAAGTTATCTTTATAATTTTGGTAATAAATTCCTACGAGCTGGTAATTATATCCTTCAAATTTAGATAACATTCTTTACCATAATTTTAATCAAGTGCACTACAAGTTGTGGTGCTGACGAGATCTACATTTTGGTGTGGTTTATTACCATAGTGGTAAGAATTTTAATACATTTGGTATGGATTGTGAGACGCTACACAGTGGCGCATTTTTCAGTTTTAGTTTCTGCTCAGCTCAACTCAAGTCAAAATGGCGAAATTAATCCTATTCTGCCCGTGGAAGAAAGTGATAAAAACTTCTGGAAATTATATAGAATTTTTGGAAACAGGTAAGTATCAAATTATCATATGTAGGTGCCTTGAAGATGGTGATCGAGCACGACCACCATCTTAATAGGAACGAGTAAATAATAATGTTATGTTTATTTTTTTCAGTGAAGCAAAAATTTGAGTTGGAAATCAGAACAGAGATTTTTCTGCAAGACGTCAACCGGTGTGGGCTCATCCAAAATCGACTGGAGATTCATCGGAATTTGAAGGGGGGACAGACGAGTGTCAAAAACCATAGTTTGCATTATACTTAAATTTTATACTTATGTAAGTATGTTTTAAAATGGTTTTACAATAAATATAATTGATTGAAAGATTATTGTAAAGAAAATAAATAAATGTATTATTTTCGGTGGAAATCTGCACAACATTTGGTAATAATGGGGTATACATATAAAAAGCATTAATACCGGTATGAGTAGCACGCCGTGTACAAAGTGGTATGGTTTATTACCAGGCGGTAGACATTTTACTACATATTGTAGTACATCTGTCATACATCACGGTATTGATTTTATCCCTAAAGGTGTTCTTTATTACCACTTCGGGTTCAATCAATTTCTTTACCAGCCGGTGGTTATTATTACCGTTTTTGCAGAGTCATATACGTGTGCATTTTGGTAATGATTTGGTAATGATTTTATTTTGAGTGTATTATTTTTACTAACTAAATTATTAGAAGCGGAAAAAGCAATCTTTCATAGGTAAATAGCAAAAATGTTTCAAATTAAACTAATTTGGCGTCGAAATTGGCAAAAAAAATCTGAAAACTTCAACATATAAAATCTTTCCAGTATGCATAGAGTATAAAACTGTAGACAGAAAGTTAGTAAGAGCGATGCATTTTGGTTTAATTTTTCTACCAAAATTTTATAAAAATTATTTAAAAAGTTTGAATTAACCTCGATTTTGGAACTGATCTTTTATTTGTACTGTTCACTCGTTAACCTATTTTTTAAACTGAATTGGCTTGGAAATTTTCGAAATATTGGAAACTCAATATATAAAATCTTTCTCACGTGATTTCAAGTTAAAAAAACTTTATGAGGGCAAAAACTAAAAATGTGCACTTTTGGTTTCACCTATATTCTAAAATTTCTTAAAATGCTTATAAAATTTTTAATTAACTAAACATTGAGCAATGAGTAGGATCTTCGATGTTTTATTAAGTACGCTATTTGTTAAATAAAATAATTTGGCTTCTAAATTTGCAAAAAAATTTGAAAATTTTATACATGTAAATTTATAACTGTAAACAAATAAACCTGATAAAATTTTGCATCCTAATTTAATTTTTCTACTAAATTTTTATAAAACAGGTATAAACTTTTAATTTTTATTAATTTAAAACTAAGAAGATTCAGCGACTAAGGAAGCAGAGCTAAAGAAGGATATTTCATAGTTTGATAGCCAAATTATATATTAATTAAACTAAATTGGCGTCGAAATTTGTACAATATTGGATTTTCGATATGGAGAATGTTTCTAGTGATTAAAAAACAGGATAATAATGTGAATTTGGATTTCACTTATGTTCAAAAATTTCTTAAAATGAAAATAAAATTTTGGTTAGTTAAAATTCTAGTGTCAACGAAGGGGATCTTTACATCTTACTAACTAAGCTATTTGTTACTTGCTAGGCGTCGAAATTTACAAAATAAATCTCAAAATTTTAACATAACAAACAAACAATAAACAACTTGTTTTTTATTTTTCTGATAAAAATTATGCATAAAACCCAATAATATTCTGAATTACGTGAAGTATGCTAGATTCCCATCTGCAATAACAGTTAACTTCAAACTATTTTATAAAATTGAACCAATTTGGCTTGGATGTTTTGAAAATTTGGTAAAATCTAGAATATTAAGTGTGATTTAATGTGGTCATTTTATTTTTGGGAAATTTGAATAATCGTGAAAATCATTGTAAAATTCTAAGATAAATCTATAATTAATTTTTTACTAATAAGCTACTTGAAATACTCATTTTTCTAAATTTGCGAACAATGGAAATTTCTACGTGTAAAATTCCTTGATTTAAATTTATTTAAAGTGAACAAACCTAATACAAATGTAAATTTTATTAAAAAGAGTACAAAATTCAGAACGAAATTAAAACCAAAATGTCCTTCAAAATAAGGTTTACAAAAACATTTAAATTGAATTTCGGATACAGATCGATGAAATATTTTATTTAATATATATTTACGAAAAAGCGTCAAAATATTTACGAAATATTATGAAAACAACCTTAAAAGTAAGAATTTTTACATTTGTATTTTTAGTACAAATTCTGTTGTTTTTGTGATCCAATTTCTTAGAGGAAATACTTACAAAATATATGTAGGTACTTTTTTAAAACAATTTCTAAAATATCTACGTCTTTTTTAAAATAATCTCGGCATTATTTATAAATAAATATATACATGTGTCTGAAAACTGCGACAATACATGGGGAAAATTTATTTTGTGATCTATGCATGGAACACACCCTCAAAGTTTGACCATCAGTCGTTAATAACGACTCGTTATTAAATGAAAATGTTGAAAATAAATTCATATCCGCCCTCTGTTAATAAATTCTCGAGATTTTAATTTAAAAAAATATATACTTTTCTTTCTCCATTTCCTACCTTCAGAAACTTAACAGGCTAAATAATTCTAAATTAAGCTCTTTTGGGGTTAAAACTTGTAAAATAAATTATAAACCTTACAAAGAAGCAATTTAAGCAATCTTTACTAACTTTGTACAATCCGTAAATTTTGCACCATAATTTTACAAACTTTTATGAAATAAAGTGACGCCCTTGATCTGAGCAAGTTTTAAAAAATTTGGAAGCCAATTTTCCTTCGAAAAACTTTGTAAGTTTACAGAATTTACGGATTTTACAAAGTTACAAAGGTCTGCGTGAAGTACCTCTTTGACCTTTTTAAAAATAAAATTTCGTCCTCAGGTATCGTATGGATTATGAAACGTCCGTCTTCCCAGCGATGTCCGGGTTTGGAAGAGGAGCGAGCGATTGGGCGACAGCGACGCACCTCGCGTCACACCCACTCCTACTTTTCCGCATGATGCAGCGCTACTCCGTCATCCTGCGCCAATTTTATGACGATGTCAACGATAACTTGGAAAATGGTAATTATTTGGTAGCGGAACGACCACGCGGTAAACTTTTACCGTGAAATAGTATTTTATAAAAATACCGAACTATTGGGAATTACTTTTAATACACGTCGTCATCATGGTACGGCTGGGAATCTTGTTACCAAAATTTTTTTGTTCCTAATCGTATCGGTTGTGGTAAATATTTTTGTTACCAGTTTGGTAAAAATTTATATCATCAAGTTAGTAAATACTTTTCTTGCATGTGAAAGATTTTCAAATTTGGTAAATATCGTTTTTACTATTTTGGTAAATATTTGTGTTACCAATTTGGTAAACGGTTCTGTTACTAATTTAGATAGTAATATTTTTTCTGTTACCAGTTTGGTAAATGCTTTTGGTCACCAATTAAAGTTCGAGTTCGGGTACAGTCTGTGCATCCTAGTGAGCGAGTTGACTTTTCCTGCTCGCCACTTACCAGTAATGTAAATGATTTTTGTCACCAAAACTTCTAATTTGCAGCTAATACAAAATGGATTGATTTCGTTTTGGTGGCAATAAATTCCTGAGTTTGTGCTTTACAATTTCCATTGGGCAAAAATTCCATAATAAATCTCAAAGAAAAGTATTGGACTGAAACATGTAAGTTATCATGTTTTTAGTCAAATACTTTTCGTTGAGATTTATTATGGAATTTTTGCCCAATGGAAATTGTAAAGCACAAACTCAGGAATTTATTGCCACCAAAACGAAATCAACCTATTTTGTATTAGCTGCAAATTAGAAGTTTTAGTCGGGATTGTTCTTCCTTTCTGGTTCGCGATGCCCCGTTTGGAGTTTGGGAACGGTCACTCTCAAAATCCAAAGCAACTTTTTACATGCAACTGCCTGCCTTGTTTACATGAAAATCAGCTGCTCTCTTCGCCCCGCCCCCCTCCATAGAAAAAAATCTCTCGGTACACAAGGAGACGCAACCGTCGTCTCTGTCTTTTAGTTATGAGATTTTTTCAACGTATATGCATTCTTAATGCAAAATTGTTTTGCAGATGTCATGCAGCGTTTAGAGAGTTTACGAGGGAACTACTTTTGGCCTTCTCAAACTGATCTGGGTGATATTGCTTCGGCAATTTTTCGACTTCAAGACGTCTACGATATCGATCCTTTAGATGCAAGTGAAGCAATTACAAAATTTCAAATTTTAATCACGCAGATAATACATTTCCGAACCGAATTTTCAAAAATTTTGAATTTATTTTCCAGCTTTCTGCCGGATACTTGCACGGAATTCAGACCAACGCCCATCTCACTGCGAGTCATGCGGCCGACTTGGCTGATCTGGCGCTCTCTTTCGGTGACTCTTTAACAGCGGGCGAGTGGCTAAAAGCTGCCCGGGAAAAGGTCGTGACCTTCGGGGACGAATCGGTCTTTCTCGACCAGCTCACCCACCCCTGGGGAAAAGCAGTCGCTCTGGTAATGCTTAATTGAATTTTTACCAATCAGTAATTATTTTTGGAAAATAGTGTTACCGATTTTTTGTAATTGATTTAGTTATTCGGTAGCAAATTTCTACTGGTTTTTAACTAATCAATCGATGAATTCGGTAAAAACGTTTACCAATTTTTACCAATTGAAAGTAAAACGTTTACCAATTTTTACCAATTGAAAGTAAAACGTTTACCAATTTTTACCAATTGAAAGTAAAACGTTTACCAATTTTTTTACCAATCGACGTAGTTATTCGGTAGCAAATTTGTATCAATTTTCTATCGATCAACCTACTCCTTCGCTCGGTAAAAATTGTGTTACTAACTTTCACACTAATCGATTTACTCCTTCGGTACTAAATATTTTACCAATTTTCTGTACCAAGTCTTGCATACTACCAAACCGGTCGATTTTTACCAATTTTTTACTACCAATGAATAACTAATTATATTTTAGCATGGAAAACTGTGGAACATCGACGACTTCCATATTCCCGATATTTTCGCCGAATCTCGCCGCCTCCTCCGAGACGCGCACGAAGCTTCAAAATGGAATCTGAGTTACATCAATCGCGCCGCAAATTATAAAGCGCTCTGTCGCGGGGATGACCTTCCTGGAAATCTGCGCCCAAAAAATGGGAACCAAAATGCAAAATGTTTCCTATTCCGAGGTCATCCATATTTTGCGGTGAATCCGCAATATGTTGAAGTACACTCCGCAGATCCCGTCATCCTCGAGGTGCACTACTTTTTTGGCGACGGCGTCATCCAGGTTCGCAAAATAAATCGGGTTTTTAATTAAATTAGCATAAGGCGGATATGAAAAAAGTATGGAAATATTTAAGAAAGTCAAACTATTCACGAAAAACCGTAAAAAAAACTTAAATTTAAACTTCACGTGCAACAGGACGTTAGATTGTAACTCGATTTCGAATATTTGGAGTTATTGAAATATTGACAAAGTTTTTGTATTTTGCTAAAAAAAGATCGAGGAGTAATGTTTATTTAAAATATGTAGGGAAACATGAATTTTCGTACAAAATTATTTGGTGAACATAATAATTCATATAATAATTCATTAGTTAAAAATTGCTAAATGTCGACGTCAAATTAAGTTTATGTTGAAATGTTTTTTTATAATTATAAATTATTCAAGATTTGTCTTCCATGAATCCTTTACGAATTGTAATTCGGTTTCGGAAATTTGAACTGGTTGAATCGACAATTTATGTGTTTTTGAAAAGTTGACGAAAAAAGTGGATAAGTTTCCCTAAAACGAAGCATTTCTACATCCTCAATTTTGCATTCTGTTCGAAAATTTCGAAAAAAATTGACTTTATGATTTTCTGTTAAAAACTTGACAAGTATTTCCATCAATTTTTTTATAGGACGTGAGCGACGCGGTATTTAACCCTCTCATGGAAGCTAGTGAGCATTCAAGCGGAAAAGAGGCCGCCTTCCTGCGTGACAAGACGACCGCGCCGGCCTGGATTTTCGCCAAGATTCCCTCCCTCGAAAGATCTTTCGCCAAATTGGAGAAAATTGTGGGGCGTCGTGTAGCTCGGAAGGAAGAGGAGGAAGAAGAACCATCTTTTTACATGCAGTCATACTCTGTAGGAAATTATTATCAGCCTTGCCTCCAGTGTGAAGAGGTTTGATAAGAATTTTGCACAGTTTTGCACACATCTTACAAGAATTTGCACACTTCTATTTGCTTAATTGGATTGTTTTCTTAATTTAAATATGTAGCGTGAAGACATTCTTGAAAATATTTTTTTTAGAATTTGCACATTTTTCCAGAATTCGCACATTTCTATTTCATTCATTTCAATGTGTGAGGAGATTTTTGCACATTATTCTTTTTAGAGTTTGCATAATTTGTGTAGACGTCTTTCCAGATTTTGCACATTTTTATGGATTTCTATTTCCTTAATTTGTTCGCTTTCTTCATTTCAAAAGTATGAAGAGATTTTTGGACATTGCATTTTTAGAATGTGTACACTTTTGTATACTTGTTTTCAGGATTTTGTACCGACCGATACCGATACCGATATTTGCCACGCTTCCTTCATTTTAATTCGGTATCCCTTTTAGCATGTCGTGCTTAACTTTGTAGATATAAATTTAAAAAATTCATAATTTTCATAATTTTTTTGTCACATTTTAATAATTTAATTTATTAAATTGCCCACGTAATTAGAATCAAATTTCAGAAATTAGAAGTCTACATGTATCAAATCTTGTTGGGTATTCGAAAATATAAAAATTTACGAAAATATCTTTTGGGCACATTGCTTACACAATTTTTGATATCAAATCTGTAAAATTTTGATAAATACGTTCATATTTCAGATTTTTTTCTATTTACGTTCCAAGACGAAAATATTTCTAATTTTAAATGTGCCGTAATTTACTTTTACATATTTTTTTGTAATTTCCACGCCTTTGTAGACTTTGGTTCTCATTTTCTGCCAAAAGTGGTCTAATTTTCGCCACTTTCTTCATTTTAATGCTGAATCATATTTTGCATGTATAAAATTTTGTAGACAAAAAAAATTAAACTTTTTTTGCAGATAGCTTTGCAGAATCCGATTCAAATTATTAAGTACAATTTTCTATATTTTTGTTATTCGTCTACTTTATCTTTTAGAACATTTCAATTTATTAAAACTTTCAAAAATATTTTTTGGGCACATTATTTTCACAAAAATCTATAAAATTATGATAAACTCTTTGCATAGTTCAGATTTCAAAATATTCTCGTACGTTTAAAAAACAAATTCGTTTCAAATACGTTTAAAAACTTTCAATTTTTCAATGTGGCAACCTTTACATTATTTTTTAAAATATTTTGTACACCTATCTTATCAATTTCTCCCGAAATTGATTAAATTTTCCTCACTTTCTTCATTTTAATTCTTAATCCTTTTTAGCATGTTGTATACTTTGTAGGCACAAAAATTCAACTTTTTTTAAACAATGTTCTGCAAAATCTGATTCAAATAAGATAAATCTGCGATACAATTTTCCATATTTTTTTTCTTGAACTTTTCACATCTAACGATCTTTTAGAATGTTTGCAAATATAAAAACGTTCTAAAATGTCATTTGGGCACTTTGTGTACACAATTTGTGGTATCAAATCTATAAAATTTTGCTAATTAAACACGTTCTTTGAAGAGTTCAGGATCTTTTGTCTGGTCCGAAACTAAATCATTTCTATTTTTTAATGCTTCATAATTTACATATTTTTTGCACACTATTTTTTATTGTTCATTAGGAGCTCCCCAACATCGTGGACAGAATTGGGGGTCGAATCGCCACGACGGAATTTATCGTATTTATTTTATTTTGTTTTAAAAATTATCAAAAATTTTTCGCAAATTTTTTAATCATGTTGCAAAAACCGACTGAATTTGCAGTTGGACGACACCGAGGCTGGAGGTGAGACCGTTTTTCCGCAAATTGGTCTCCGCATAAGACCGAAGAAGGGCTCTGTCCTCATTTTTCTAGACGAAGGCGTCGTCACTCAGGATTATCGGAGACTAAGGGCCTCCTGTCCGGTTCTTTTGGGTGGGTCACGTTCCAAACTAATTTGCATATTTTGTGTTTGGTAGTAAATGACCTTGAATTTGCAAAGCTAGTTGACCTTTACCCTTTCAAGTTTCAATTAAATTCACAGAGGTCGATAAAATAATTTTTTTAATTTCCTAGAAATATATTAACACGACACGATTTCGAAATACATACCCCTTCCCCGTCTTGTCTTCTTGGGTGGGTCATGTTCCAAACTAATTTGCATATTTCGTAGTAAATGACCCTGAATTCAGATATCAAAACCCGGGTGACCGTAACTCTTTGAATTCAGAGAGGTCACAAAAAGATTTTTTTAATTTCCTAGAAATATATTAGCACGATGCGATTTCGAAATGCATAAGTTGTACTCCTCCCCCGTCTTCTTAAGTGGGTCGGGTTCCAAACTAATTTGCATGTTTAAGAAGTGACCATTAATTTACATAAATCCACTAAATTTTATTGACCCTGACCTTGACCTCTTCATTTCACAAAGGTCAAAAAATTGGCCCGTAACATATTTCCATTGACGATTGTGAGATATTAAGATCTTTTTAGCTAGACAATTCCAATTTATCGATGCGTTTATTTATATCCTAACACTTGCGCCATAGTTAAACTATAATAACATGTGCGTAAGTCGTTGGTAACTCGTGAACTCATACGTAACAAATTATGATAGAAAAATGTATGTCAAAAATTTACGATTTTACCATTTCGCGAAATATAAAATTGAAGTGTCGCCGAAAACTATCTAACTTAGGATTTTTAATTATTCAATACTCAGAATTATTATCGACGGCGTTCAACCTTTATTTTTTTCTGCAAATAATTTTTTTTTCAATTTTTTTTCTGGCAATTAAAAAAAATTCTGTAAATTAAGCAAAAAAAATTATCATGCAAAATAAGTATATAAACTTTTTTTATTACATAATTCCAGGACAAAAATGGGTGGCGAGTAAATTCCTGTATGAGCGGGGTCAATGTCATCCTCTACTTCCGGTCGGTAAAAATGCCTTTTTAAATCATCTCGTAACTTCTTAATTCCGGTTTATCAACTCAAAATTGTCATAATGGGGTTGAAATTATTATAATTATTTGTTAATATTTCTGTTTTTATAAATGAATAAATAAACCGTTATTTTATTTTAGAGAGATTTAGTTAAAAGCGCAAATATTAGCATAATTTCGTGCTTGGTCAAAACGGCGACGCCGCCGATCGTACCCTAATAGCATTTTAGGTGCCGCCGATAAATCTAATTTCATATTCCTTCAACAATGAGACGCAGCCGAAATATTAGAAGAATTGGCGCCGCCGACGCCGCCGAAATATTAGAACAATTGGCCCCGCCGACGCCGCCGAAATATTAGAACAATTGGCCCCGCCGAAATATTAGAAAAATTGGCGCCGCCGACGCACCCACAAAATTGGACGTCACCCTCCGATTAATGTTATTCGAAGCCAATATTAGAATCTGTTTCCGGTCATTTAAATACAATTTGCTAATTACGCTTTTCATATACGTCGTTAAACAATTACAATTATTTGTAGACTTTAGGACAATATCAGAAGAAAATTAATTTTATTTCAAAACCTAAACCTATAATTCGAATTTTTTAAGATTTAGAAAATTATGGAAACATTCTGAATATAATATCGTTCCTGAAGTAGTCTGAATTTTTGCTGACGTCGTCATCGTCCATTAACCGAGATGACACAGCGACCAGATTTTGCCCACATATGGCAGTAATACCCTTTGCAGCACTTTTTAGTCCCCGAGTAACAGGGACGCATCCCGCAGCCACGCTGAAATTGAGAAATTTGATTAAATTACGATTTATTTCTTGAGCCAATTCACGCAGTTCTTGACAACTTTGTAAAATCTGTGCGTTTTATAAAACAGTTTTACAAACGTTTATGCACAAAATAAAGAGACGCCCTTGATCTGCGCAAGTTCACAAAAATTCGGGAGCTTATTTTCCTTCGAAATATTTGTAGAATTTTATACCAGTTAGTTTACGGATTTTACAAAGTTACCAAGGCCTACGTGAAGAATTTTTGATTTTCATACGTGATCTCCCACAACAGGAAGAAGGGTGATTGAACAGAGGAACCAAAAAATTATGATGAAAGTCGCCACAAAAATCTGTTTATTTGCCATGTTTGTGCAAATTGAGTGAGACAAATTAATGAAAAATGTTGGCAAATAATTTTTGTATGAGTATGGAAAAATTTGATGAAAAATATAATTTTTTATGATCCATTGTGTAACTTTGATAACACTCTATGCGACAATCGTAATAATCAAATTAATTTATTTGCGTCAGGTTGTAAAGTTTAATTCGAGAACTTTGCTTTTCAAGATCATACCTGTTCAAAAATTTAGCTTTCATTCAAAGTTCAGTCATCCCGATTTCTGACTGAGTATTTTCATTCACATTCCCTCCTTTTCTTTCAAATTCACTTCACTTCATCCGACTTCATTTCTTACCATGTACTAAGCATAGGGTGAAAAATGAAATGCATAAGAAATCATTTCATTCACGGTCATTCATCTGAAATAACGGAATCCTTTAGTCATTTTCATTCAAATCGCAGGAAATCCATTTTCATTCATTATCGCTCACCATCATAATCACTCAAATGAATGAAAGTGAACAGATATGGTCCAGATTCTAGCCGAAATGGACCATGGTCCACTGGACCAAAAATGGTCTACTATTGAACCACAAAAAAATTGGTCCATGATGGACCATGTCACGAGGTGGTCCATTTAGTGATCATTTTTTTCATGACCTCTCGATGGACTATGGACCAATTTATTACAAGTTATTGTCCAGACAAAAAAAAAATCAAACTCCAAAATGACTGAAAATATATTAAGGGGTGATCTGATACAGTCTCACCGATACCTGACGGGGAGTGTGTAACTATGTCCTCCCATAAGCTCCCATGTTATCGTTTTAAAAACTTTCAGCGTCGTCAAATGACCATAAAATTTCGATTTTTTGCATCAATCGACGCGTATATTTAGTCTCCACGAAGTTACAGAAGTTTTGATGGATACGTTGAGTATACATGAAAATATGCGACTTTTTCTGATTTTTTTTCGTGAAAAGAATTATGGTGTGACCATGAAAGCGACTTTAAGGTCAAACTCCAGTAACTTTGGGAGTTGAATATTTTGACACATTTTGCAACAAAAAAATCCGATATTAATGCAAAAACAAAGGTGCTCAAATGTTTTGAAAACTTGGTTTTTAGAAATTACAAAATAAACATGCCCGTCAATTCTAGATTCCCCAATTTTTGCTATGTTGCAGGTCTTTAGTAGTAGAACAATAGTCAAATTGGACTTATAGTCGAAATCGACCTGCGTGACCTTGTTTCGGCGTCAAAAGGTTGGTAGGTCAAAGGTCACCGATCCCCACAAATGAGGTATCATTGGAAAGGTCTCGGTGAGAGGATTCCAAATATATATACTTTGTTTGGTGTATGACCACTCCCTCATGTTCCAGAAGCAGAAGAATGCAAATCTGCAATTCTCCACAATTTAACACAGCAAGTAGATTGCGAGCTAACATGCAGTAGATGGGCACAAACTCAGAAATTTTCTCCGGTCTCTGGAACATGAGGGAGTGGTCATACACCCAATAAAGTATATATATTTGGAATCCTCTCGTCGAGACCTTTCCAACGATACCTCACTTGATAATAAATCCCAATTACAGTTTCGAAAAATTAATTTTAAAATAAAATGAAAATTGTATGAGTTGAACGCCAAGTGACTAGTGAAAATGTTTAATATTATTAGAATCTAAACCTCGCTCTTACCCCTCCTTAAGCAAATCATAATGTTTACATGAAATAAAAAAAAATAAAATAATCCTTTAAAGTCAACAGATATCAGTTAAAAGCAAACTGGTTTCCAATCTATGACTGTCCTTCTCACCATATAACTCTGGTGATGAGTCGGATCTTCTCACAGAGAACGGACTCTGCGAGGGCTCCCCTTTCTGGCATTGCCAGACCGTCTGGCCGGGCTCACCCAACCATGAGAGGAGCACCCACCCCGTACTAACACCGAGCCGAGTAGGATTAGCAAATAGCTTCCCGGACAGAGAGGAATCGAACGTGTGACTGCGTCGTGACAGTTCCGCCCCCGAACCCCTAAGCCAAAGGGCTATTGCTTTACATAATCAACGATATCAAAAAATTCAGCTAATTCGTTATGTTTGCAGATTGTGAGAATGAAGTTGACGAAAAAGTAAAGAATTTTTTTACGAGTATGGAAAGATTTTATGAAAATTCAATGGTTTACGATCCATTGTGAAATTCATAGCGCTTTATTTGGCAATCAAATTTCTAAATGGAGAAACCAAATTTATAGAAAAATATAAATCAGGTTGTGTACGAGCACAAAATAATTCAATTCGAATGCAACAAATATGCAAAAAATGCAAACAAATCGAAAAAGCGTAAAAAATTATTCATAACTCTTCATTTTTGTTTAGAGAATAATTTATAAAGAAACATCCATATGCCAAAAAACTTGGAAAACATTTATTGAAAAACTGAAATTAACAGCCATTAAAAAAGTTGCAATTTTTGACCTTCATATATCCAATTCACCTTGTACATAAAATATATCTCGCTCGACATAAATTTTATGAAACGGCATTAAAATTTTTCATTTATTTGCATTGTAGATCTTTCTTTATTTTTCGCGTATAATTTTTGAATATCGTCGGTAGCGTTTTTTTCACTTTTGAAAATAAATCCTAATAAAATCCAATTAATTGCAATGTCAATGTCATTTATTACATAATTTGCAAGGTTTTATTAAATATGTAGCTGATTGCTGGTAAATATTGCCCCACTGCAATGCGAGCCTGCCCGACTTTCGGTGGTGGTGGTGGACGGCTGGATGGACAGTCAGTCAGTTTTGGTGAAATGTAAATCAGCCGATCATTCGCAATAACAAAACAAACAAATCAGAAAATTAAAAATATGTCAAATTGTCAAATTACTAGTCGTTATATTAATTAATTCACACTTTAATTCCCGACATTAGATAAAGTTTCGTGCGAAGAATGGAGTGTAAGTAAAAAAACGGGGTCTGGTAAGTAAAAGTCTAAAAAATCGTTTTTAAAATTTTAAACACCATTTTTTTTAATTTTTCATCACAATTTTAAATTATAATTCATAATAATATTTAAAAGAGCCACAGATAACTTTAACTGTTCTTCCGTGTTGTCATTAACCTTTAATTTAACCCAAGAGACAGGAATTTTCCAAGAAGAAATGAAGTCGTTGTTCGAAAGTCGTGTTTGGTTTGTCTGTCCTCTTTCTTTTTAACTAGCTAACTTGCTTCATATTTTAAAAAAAGTTGAAACTCGGATCGGATCCTAGTTTATAATTAGATCGTCCAGATCGAATCGGATTTTTGCAAAGTAGGAACGAACGACCACCATTATTTGTTATTCTCGTTCTCGTACTTGTGTGGTTAAGGTTTTTTTAAGTTCGGTTCGGTGTGCGAATAAGTTTTCGCACATATATTTAGTGTAAAATCAGGTTATCTAAATGTCCCGGTAGAAGAAAAAGACAGGACAAAGTTTCGTCTTCTTCCGGGTATTGCAAATTTGATTTGTATTTCGTCTAGTTGATTAAATATTGCAGAAAATTGATATTTACAATATTTGCGAAAAATTTACCAAGTTTTTTTTCATATTTTTTAGGCCGTGCGAATAAAAACCAGTTGTGACGAAGACTAAAAGGAGGAAATTGTCAATCAATCATCACCTATTTTAAATTTGGACGTGGCGACGAAAAGGACGTCGCAATGTCGTCTTCATACAGAACGAATTTTGGTCCAGATTCAGTCCAAGAATTGACCGACAATATAAATCTAACACATGAAGATTTCTTACGGGAAGATGACCTCCAAAAGAAAGCCGATGCGCTGCGATATATGCAATGTAAGTAAAAATTAGGGATGATAAGGTTGGCGCAATGTATCGTTTTTACCGCTATTTCACGTAAAATTTATTTAACGATAAGATGATATTTTAGTAACTTACGCCATAGTTTTAAGCTATTTACAACATTGGCGCAGGTTGATACTCATTAAATTTATTGGTAATTATATTAATTATGCAAATTTTCCCCCTAATTTTCACAGCTTACGCCATGCAGTTCCTCTACCTTGTCCCGCACGAGAAAAAGTTCATATTTCCAGAAACTGAACGTGTCTTGCATCAAAGTGCCATGAATATAAATGACTTTGACCCACGTGAGGCGTCCGTGGCTTTCGAATTTTTGGGAAAATACGCTCAAAACATTTTAGACCAACCGTGGCGAAAGGATTTTCATACGATAAAGGTACAAACAAATTGAAAAATTGAAATTTTTGGGAATTAATGAAGGAAATTTATATATTTAGTTAACGTCCGGATTTTACGTCCACAATATAAACGCGCAATTAAGTAACGCCCACGAAATCCTAGTCGCGATGGGGTACGTGCACGTGGACGAAGTGACGCTTAAAGTAGTGCCAAAATTGGATGAGAAAAAGATCAAGAATGCATCCCGTGATATGATCGTGGCCAGTCAGGAGTGCCTCGTGCGTAGATTTTTGCATCGTTTCACATCTAAATTTTGCGAATAATATATAATGATTCAAATTATTTGCAGATCTTGTCCCAAATTTGGCAACGCGTCGCGGACCAAGAACCCGACTACCCACTCACGACGGGAGAAGTGTTTGAATTCCGGCGGAAATATTTAGGCGACACGGACACGATTTGCAAAACGATGTTGATGGACATTCGGCGTCGAAATTTTGAGCATAAAATGCATCGCAGCAGTGGCAAGAATTTCGTCCCCGTGGATAAACTGATCGATTACGAGGAGCGGATGGACATCGATGGTGGGAGTGGAGTTGACGAGGGCGATTTGGTCGAGAAAGTGATGCACAATACGAGACTGCTACACCTTCAGAAGAGAGAGGAGCACATTTACGACCCAGTTTATCCGGGGGATCGTGTCGTCAATATGGCAAATGGGTCGTCGTCCAGCTCCACGATGCCGTCGTATAATCGGAATTTCCCTCTTTTTCCGCACCGTGGCACGTCCGCCTTCGTCCCGCTGATACCGGATATTAGTTCGAGTAATAATAAGCCACACCCGTCCCGAGAATCGCTCAATTCTCCGCTGATTCCACAAACGGTGGCGAATTTCGTGTCAAAAAGTAGCAGTCGAAGGTATGAGCCGAGTAGGAATGGGAGTAGTCAAGCGTTACAGTTTAGTAAGATTTCGGCCGAGGACATGGCATCTTGGGTGGATAATAGAGACAGACATGTGCAGCAGCAGGGGGAGAGGAGAAAATCTGAAATTGGAGGGGCAGGAGGTACATACATAAATGTTTGTATATTAAAATACTGTGAATTTTGGGGTATATTTTTGACAAATTATTTCTAGTAAATTCAAATTTTTTGGTCTCTAAGAATGGTCCAACGAGGAAATGACTGTTGTCGAAATTTGTATATTTTTGGTCTAAAATTGTTGCAGTGTTGACAAAATTTCCATACTTTTTACCTAAAATGGTAGAAATATGGACCCATTATTGAAATAATAGTCTAAATATTTCCAAAATACAGATATTTCCGAAAACCTAGAAATATTAATCTAGGAATATTCAAAGCAATTTAAAAATTTTGTCTTTTAATTCCTTCCAGCGTCCGCAAACACTACGCTAAACTATTCAGAATGGTTATCCGGTGGAGGACAATCATCTTCCTCCTCCGACCAACAACCAGCCCCACACCGCCGCCGATATTCTGAACGTCCCGCACTTTCCGTGGATCCATCGTCCTCATCAAACTTGCAATATCTCGCTCAAGGAGGTGGTGACAGTCGATCCCGAAAACCCATCATGCCCGACGACGTGTACCGCGACGACTACTTTCCCCGTGTCATAAAACCCACACCGATTCATTCTTCGTATCAAGCACCGCGACAAAGTACGACGAACTCGAACCATTGCTACCCACTTTCTTCGCCACACGAGGAAAGTGGCGGGGAAGAATTGTTAAACGAGGCGTTAGCGTATCAATCAAAAGTTAATGGTTCTTCCGGAGCCAGAGCAGGAATCCGGACCAATCTGAATCATCACCACTCATCTGAAATTTCGTCCGCTGCGACGTCGCGTATGATTAAGAGCGATTGGGAAACGGACACGAGGTCAATTTCTTCAGGTTACTCGAGATATTCGGATAACGAGAATAATAAGAGATCACCCAGTTCACCGGAGGTGACGGGGGCAGATTGGGGCGAGGATACGACGGGACGACGAGAACTTCCTCATATGTCGCAAGCAGCAAGGAACAAGGCGATTTCAGGTAGGGATTTATTTCTTGGAGTCAAATTATCAATTTGCACGAATTTTATTGCTTAATTATGTACATGGCGCAAGTTAACAAAGTAGAAAAGTATGTACTTTGATACGAAAAATGACGGAAAAAATGCATATTTAATTTTTTTTCGGAAACATTTCGTAAATATTGGAGCGTTTTTTAAAAATAAACTACATAGACTGACTGACTTGATTCCTCCCCCACTTGCGCCACAGCGCCAGTGTTATAGTTTTACCATTATGACGCAAGTTAGTACAGTATTTATGAACCAAGACTGATTTTTCATTTATTTCTGCAGGATCGTCCTCCTCCTCCTCAAGCAGTGGACGTATCCCCGTCGAATCAAGAGAACCCTCTGCTCCACCCGCACCACCAACCTACCAAGCCCACTCCCACCCCCGCTCTCCCGTCGTAAATGCCCCCACCACCACCACCACGGGAATCAATACTTTGACCGACGACACTTTTCAAGCCGCCTATTACCAAAAAATTCTCGAAACTCAGCAGGCAGCTAATCGACACCTGCTCGATAGAGGTGAACCATCCACCAAGGTTTCCTCCTCCACGATGACGACGCCGCCACCACCGCCCGATGTGGACCCCAACCTCAACTCGATTATTCCTCCTCCCGGCGTAAAACCCAGCCCACCCGAGAAGCAAATTCTGATTCCTTGGGATTGCAGATTTTGTACGTTTCGAAACAAGCGGGCGGACCGGATTTGTGAAGTGTGTTCAAAAAGTAGAGATTTTGTGGATGAAGACGAAGAAGAAGAGAAATCAGCACCGCCGCCGGACGTGCCAAAGTTGTACTCGCAGCAAGTCGTCACGACCCCGGTGGAAGGGGATATGATTCAGTGTCCGCAATGCACCCTGCTCAACCCGAGGATTAAATTTGAATGTGAAGCGTGCTCCTACAGGCTCAGAAATTTGAATAATGCCAGCCCCAAGACGTACGTCTAGAGGAAAATAGTACTATGCAAATTAAGTGGTTATCATCAAATCAAAGTGAGAATCCCCACTTGTAGGAATATATTTAATTTTGATTAATATGCAAATATTAGCGATAAGTGTATACGAAAGTGAGAATTTGTTTTCTGAGAAAAATTGTATTTAGGGTAGATTTTTACTCTGAAAATGAAATATATTCGTGATGCTAAGGTGCCTTTTTTAGTAATTTGCTCCGCAACGTGTTGTGGGTTTAAATATGTATGGCGCAAGTGAGGAGTAAAGCTAAATAGTCATAGTCGGTCTCTCTAGTGTGTGATGTTTGTTTTCGCCAAATGATTTTTTTTGCCATCGATGTATTTAATTTACTGATTATTTAATACTTACTTAAAAGCTCAATAATTTTGATGTGTGGATCAACTATCTACATAATTTAGTAGGTAAATAATTGATCCGTTAATTTAATTGAGGAAGTAAAATGATAAGAATGAATCCTTTTTTGAGGGAGGAAATAAAATGATTTTATATGCGAAACGAAAAATAACGGGTTCCAAATGTCATTTTAAAAAAAATAATAGAATTTTTTTTAATGGGTAAAACAGGCAATTTAGAAAGTAATACTCTTATAATTTCGTTTTTACAAAAAACAGACATGTGTGAAATAACGGGGATGAGAGTTTTTTTAAAGGTGACAACATCGGTATTTTTTGTTATGATTTGCTGTCATTTCGGAATTTTGGAAAAATTCATAATACCATTAAAACAAATATAGATTTGTTACAATTTGTTGAGTAATTTATGTAAATGCTTTTGTAAGATGGCTCGAAGCTATTTTCTTTAAAAAAATTCCAGGTATGGTATTGATTTAAAAATGCGACCATTTGAAATTTGAAAAAAATCATGTGCAATTGCAATGCCATGATTTGATGCCAGTCCGAAATTTTTGAAAAATTACAAATATATAAAAACAACTATAGGTTTTGTGGGATTCTTTGAATAATTTATGGAACTGGAAGTTAAACGGATTTTATTTCAAGAAATTTCCTGCTGGTGTGATAACATCGCTTTGAAAATAATAGCGTTTGAATTTGCATGAGATTTCTTAATTCATTTTTTTTCTTAGTCCAATGATAAATTTGAAAAAAATCATACGCAATGTTATGATTACATTCCAGTAGAGAATTTGGAAAAATTCATAATGCAATTAGTGCAAAGATTTGATACGAGTTTTATCATATGACTTATCGAGTAATTTATGAAAATGCTTTGGCAAGCCGGCTCAAAGTTATTTTTGTCAAGGAATTTCCAAATAGTGTGATGATATCGCTTTAAAAATAATACCATTTGAAATTGCATTGGATTTTTGAATTCTCGTTTTGTTTTGATTCAGCAACAAATTCAAAAAAATCATGCTCATATTTAGTTATGATTTGCTGCCATTTCGGAATTTTTGAAAAATTCATAATGTCCTTAAAGCAATTGCAGGTTGGCAAGATTCGTCGGATAATTTATAAAAATGCTTTGGCAAGCCGGCTCAAAGCGATTTTCATTAAGAAGTTTCCAGGTTGTGGTATTGATTTAAAAATCAGTGCATTTGAAATTCCATGAGGTTTTTGATTTTATCTTGGTTCATTAAAAAATTTGAAAAAAATCATGTGCAATTGCAATGTTATGATTTGATGCCGGTTCGGAATTTTGAAAATGTACAAATATAATCAAAACAACTGCAGGTTTTTTAGTATCACAGTCCAAAGAAATTTGCTGGTGTGGTATCGCTATAAAAATAATAGAATTTGAAACTGCATGACATTTTTGAATTCACGGTTTATCTTAGTCTAATAAAAAATTTGAAAAAAAATTATGCGCAATGTTATGATTTGATGCCAGTTTGAGAATTTAGGAAAAATTTAGAATTTTTAAATGAGTTGCAGATTCGTAAGCTTTTTTTAGTCGTCTACTATTTGATGCCGGTTGGATTTCATAAACAAAGGATTTCAGATTCATAATTCATATATACACGAAGGTGTCAAGAAACGACGAAATGCTACAAATTTTGAGGACTAAATTATGTACAAAAAAAAACGAAATTTTTTTAAATATCTTGCATGTCGGAAATTAAAATTACAATTTGCTACATTTTCAAGATTAAATTGGTGCTGAAAATTTAAACAAAAGCGGAAACTTTATTAAAATCCTGCATTCAACAAACGTTGCGAATGACAAAGGGTGAAAGTTAGCAGCTTTCTCCATCATGACATGGATTCAAGCCTGGTAAGAAATTTTTCCGGAAAACCCGGAGTTTCTCGAGTCGAGTGAAAGCAGGGTGAAAGCAGATTTAGTTTCAATCTGGTTTTCTAAAATCGACCACATTGTCATATTTTCTAATTTGCTCTCTCTCGATGCATCTATAAATTTCCGAAAATTTGAAAATTTCCTAAAAATACATAATCTCATTATGTCTCCCAGCCCGAAATTGGAACCGATTGAGTCAGAAATATTAAAAATATTTGAGGATTGTAAATCTCGGGGGATGTCGAAAGAAGAAATTCGCGATGTTTTCGCCCCCCTCGGGCTCCCCAAAGTGGTCAACAGGTTGAGTGAGGTTGGGAAGAAAGGTCAAGGTCACGGGGTCGCAATGATGACGACCGTGCTAAAGGAAAAGGTCAAAGGTCACGCGTGGGTGAAAAGCTTGCTGATTTTTTTGACCGTTTTTGCGGTGGGTGGAGTTATCGCGGCGAGAAATGGGGAGGAAATGAAAACTTTGAGATTTCACGTGTTGGCCGTAGTTCGGATGGCGCTTATCAAGGTAAGGAATTTTTATGTAGGGTTTGATAAGCAAGTTATGTTAGGGTAAGATAATCAAAAATTCGATTTTGTGAATTTTTTTTGCAAAATTGCGAAAAATTTGAAGGATGAGATATTCAAAAATTTGATTTTGAATGGAAGATTGTAAATATTTTTTGCGAATTTTCGAATATTTTGAAGCTAATTTTGGCAATATGGAGATATACAAACATGAAAAGATAAATATAGCTTATCATAAATAATTGATTATCTATCGCAGATCCTGCCGTATTGGAATTGGACGGACATGTATTACACGCGATGTATGGTTCGAAACCCGTTTTTCGAAGCTCCCAATCTCAACTTGGATGATTGCAATGTACATAATTCTAAATAATAATAATTATTATGCAATTAATTTGCGAATTATTATAATGATTATTTTTTGCAATGGTGCATATTTAGCTTTGTGAATCTCTGGATGAAATTGCACGGATGGCGAACGTGTCGCAAACTCTTGTGAACGAGGAATTTATTCGACGCGAAAAGCCGTTCATTATCACGGACGGGATGGATGATTGGGATATCATGATGACTGATCAATTCTGGTTCGATAACATTACGGAGGTTTGTGTGCAAAAAAATTGCGAGAATAGTGCAAATTTTGGACAAAAATTAAAAATTGCAAAAATGAATTAGTAGGTTTGACAAAAATTAGCATAATAATTTACAAGAAAATAAATAATTACGGGGATAATTAATTTATAACAATTTCAAATATTGTAAAATTTAAAATGTGCAAAAATGAAAATATTAATTATTAGCATGATCAAAATTTCTGAAAAAAATACCCTCTCTGAAAAAATTATTTTCGTAATTTTGTATTTAGATTTACCTGCGCCAAGCCAATTTCCAAGTTTGCAATGTGAACACGAATTTGCGAATTTCTAACGGAGATTTTACCCGATTGCTGAAACGACTCTATAATCCGAGAACGCAAGGGTGGTTTATTCACTGGTTGGTAAAATTTGAATAATTTTAATAACAAATTGGAAAAAGAATTTGGCTAATTTTCCTATATTTTTACAGGGAAAATTGTCAAAAGGACATGGCGAAATCGGTGCGACAATATTATCGGCGTCCTTATTTCATTTCGGATTCGTTGGACTTCACCGGATCCAACTGGGTCTTGATGAGTTCCGATTTTAACGGCAGAGTCTACAAAAAGGTCAGTTTGGCATGCATAAAATTAGCATATAATTCATATGGAATTATCATTTAAATAAAAATAAGGTAACTTTATTCACAACGTTGATTAACTTAGCACATTATTCAAAATTAATTTTAAAATATATGTTTAACCAATTTTTCTTAATGAAAAGTTCCTTAATTTTGTTTTATTTCGAAAAAGCGAGGCTTTGAAGCCGTTAGCAGTTTTATTATTGGGCCTCCTCAGACACACGAAAAAATCGTCGTTTCTAATTTCGCTAAGTTTTTCGCTTGCTTCCTGATAAGCGAGCTCTGGGATAAGCGAACAGAAACTCAACTCAGAAGTGGGGTTAAGGTCGGTTAGCTGAAGTCGAAACAAAATTTTACAATTTTCATAATTCTTGCCATGTTATCGATAAGCGAAAAACAAAGCAAACTTCGAAGCGACGATTTTTTCGTGTGTCTGAGGAGGCCCATTATTTGTGAATGAATAAATAATTAAGAGGTGAGTTGACAGAATTGAATAAACAAGTTCACTGAATGAATGAGTAGTATTCAAATGAGTTTGTGAGTAACAAACTCATTTGAATACTATAATTCACTCATTTGAATACTACAAATTGTGAGTAAATGAGTTACAATTATAAAAAGATTTGTGAATGAATGGACTTATGAATGAATTAAGGAATGAATGAATGAATTAAAGAATGAATGAATGAATTTTCGAGCAAACAGGAGTTTTAAATAAAATTAATTTGTTATATATTTTTATTTAGTTCAATTTCGTGAAAAACCTATTTGAAAATTTTCGTAAGAGTATAAAATGATTAAGTTTTTATATTTATTAAAATTTACTCAGTTTACAACTTCAGAAATTAGAATTTTGATTTTACAAAGGACTTAAAAATACGCAAATCTGTAACATATCTATCCAAATCCGTAAATTTGACTAATAACATTTCATGAATGAAATTAGTAGCAGGGAAGCTTTACAAAATGTGATAAATTCGACAAGAAAATTATTGAAATTAATAAACATAAAAGTATTGTGAAGTCTTTATATTTAACAAAATTAAAAGAATTTACAACCTTGTAATAAATTAGGATTTCAATTCAAAATTCCAATTCCGTAAGGTTGTAAGTACACCGTGTTAAAATCGAAACTTCTAATGTTTGTACAATTTTGACCCAACCCAAAACCTTCTTTTGATTGATCCCACCTGTAATTTAATTTTACAAATAGTACAAACGTTTAAAGAATGAAATTAATGGCATGCAAGCTGTACATTTTTTTTACAAAATGTCTAAAAAAAAGTTTCAAATTTATGAAGACAATTTTTAAAATTTACACATTGTTCCACGCATTTATTTAGATCGAAGGGACGGACAGTTTAATGTTGCTGCATCAAGTTCGTGGCTCCAACCATGTGCGGATCAGTCCTCGCGAAGGTCAGGTCAAAAAATATATATTTTTTTAAATTTCGAAATCAAACCGAAGTTCCTCTACTTAATTTCAGCGTGTCGCGGACATTGTCCCGAACTTTTGGGAACATTGAATGAAGGCGAAATTCGTAAGAGAATTTTATTTTCAAAATTTAAACATAATTTTTAAGCTAAATTTGTTAGTGTTTTTTACCATTTGTAAAATTTTCATGCCATTAATCTCCTTCGTGAAACACTTTTGATCCAAACTTGTATTACAGATTCATTGTTTTCGAAAGGGAATTAAAATTCTAGTAATTTCGTAAAGGCTGTAAAATGTGTAAATTTTGTTAATTATAAAAACTTTATAATTTTCTCGATTTTCGAAAATTTATAATTTTCCAGTATTTTTTATTTGCTTTTTGTAAACCTAGTAAACTTTTTAGTCGCTTTTCCATTAAAACTTCCGTATAATTTAATACTTTTGGTAAAACGGTGACTTCCTCGACCTGACCCCACATGATAATAATAAATTTCATTTTCTTCTACGATTTTTTAGTCGTGGTGACGAATCTGGTCTGGATTTTGGAATACATTCCTGGCGAATTTGGCGACAATTTGGCCCTTGCATCAGAAGTTGCGTGGCCGTCGATGGAATAGAAAATTCGGGATCAAATGAAAGTGTGCAGATTTGTATAAAAAAATTAGACGAATTGTTAGTGGAGAAAGTAGTGGAGAAAGTACAAATGAATATATGATGAAAATAAATTATGAAATTTGATGAAATTTTGCACAATTTCTTTCATAATTATGTAATGCATTTTAGAAATGTAAGGTCTAAAATTGTATTGTGCAAAAATTTATGCAAAAACTTGTTTTATATTTTTGCATGCAAAAAGATACGCTGTTTTAGATTTTTTGCATGTCTCAGCCGATCCTGGAGCGGCAAAGGTTTAGATTTCCATTCCGGGTTGATTTTTCATGTGATTTTATTTTGATTAAATTCTATATTTTTATGAAATTTCGACGGATTTCGACATATTTTGTGTAGGAATTATGCACAAAATAATTTGGCGTGCCCGTTCGATTGACTTATCGTCATTGTTGGGTCGTGTGAAATTCCGTGTTAATTTGTTATCATCAAGGAGAACTTTATCCTTCCAGGAATCTCGACCTTATCAAGATGATTCTGATAATCGAGCCAGTTTTGACCGTGTCGAGGCTGCCGATGTCATCGTTGTTGGTGGAGGTCATACATATAAACTTTTCTGCTTTTGTTTCAATTGAATATTACATAAATTATTAAGATGCAAAATTTTTGCACGGAATTTGCGAAAATTGCGAATCTGATAAATAATTGGTCTTTGAAATACTACAGGTCACGCTGGGACTGAAGCGGCCATGGCGGCGGCGCGGATGAGGGCTAAAACTTTCCTTGTGACGCATAAATTCGACACGATTGGTAATTTAGAATGAAATTTACGAGGTTAAAAAAGTTAACCTTTGACATTTTTAGGAGAGATGTCCTGCAATCCATCCTTTGGTGGGATTGGGAAGGGTCACCTTATCCGTGAGATTGACGCGTTGGACGGAATTTGTGGCAAGATTTGCGACATGTCCGGCGTTCAATATAAAGTAAAAGAAAAACAAACCTTGATAATTACTTGGATGGATACCTTAATTTAATAACTAACTAAATTATGCAATGTCTAGGTCCTTAATCAAACCAAGGGACCCGCCGTGCACGGTCCAAGAGCTCAAATCGATCGGAAACTTTATAAACAAAATCTTCAAAATGTGATCCGCCAGACCAAAAATTTAGAAATTATTGAATCATCTGTAGAAGATTTAGTCTTGGAGGGGAATCGGTGCATAGGGATCGTGCTAGGTACTAATTTGCGTTATTTAATTATTGTTAATTAAGGGATTAATTAATTGCAAAAGGGGTGGCAAAATACATTGTTTATAAAAATACAACAGTATCTTTAGCTCCGTTCTTTGGAAATCTAAGTCCGAAGGACTTAGATTTCCGGTAATTTGTGAGTAATTGTTGTTTATTCTCTTTGTTCAGAAAGTGGTCGTCTCATTAAATCCTCCGCCGTTGTAATTACAACGGGAACATTTCTCCGTGGGGAAATAAATCTTGGGCTGGAACGCTACCCGGCCGGAAGAATGGGCGACAAACCGGCGATCGGATTGGCAAAAACGTTAGAAAATGTGGGATTTCGGATGGGGAGGTTGAAAACGGGTAATTTTTTTTAGACGAAAAAATTAATGAAGCGAATTATTGATTCTGGAAAAATTTTGCAGGGACGCCGCCACGCTTGGATAAGGGGACGATTGACTTTACGAATTTGGAAATCCAACCAGGCGACGATCCTCCGATACCGTTTTCTTTCATGAATGACCGGGTTTGGTTGGAGGTAGGATTTATGATGCAGTGCTCCGAACGGTACGGTATCGGTACGGTATCGGGACGACCCGATCGGAACGCTGTACCGATTGGGCCTTTCCGTTCCGTACCGATTCCCGAAGCTAGGTTCTTATCCCGTCCCGAACTGTCCCGATGATTTTTCCGAACCGATACCGTACCGTACCGAAAACCGACGGTTCGGGACGGAATGTCCCGATTTTTTTACGAAAAAGATTAATTAGTGGCGGGTTATACTATAGCAAAAATTTTGTTACACCAACATCAAATTTTAGTCAAGAAAGGACTTCCCCGCTATCCGCCTATTGACAACTATTATAAAAGTTGTCGTACTGATCTGATATTTTGTGCATGTAAACTAAGTAAAATTGTAAAATATGATACCGTGTAAGATGTTTCTCTAGTTTTTTTGACAAAATCTGTTTGCTATCCTATAAGTTGTTTTTGATTAAATAATTAAGTCGTTTGGCCCAAACTTGATTTAAAATGGCAAATGTTTTAAAAAGGCATACATTTAATGCCTCTCCAAAAAAATGGGAAGTACCCTCCCAATATTTCAGAAGTACCCTCCATTGAACCCTACCTCCTAATGTTATTTTTGAATTAGGATTTTGGTGGCAAAATACCTCTTAAAATAATATACGTATCTGCAACATATAATTTTGGAATTTTATGTAAAAAGCGTATCATTTATTTACAATTAGAGTTAACGCTGCCATAAAAACATACATTTTTAAAAACTACATGGCAATCAAGGCTTTTGTGGACTTAAAAGGTCCTCCAATCAAGCTTCCTATCGATACAAAGTGATACAGTTTTGGCTTCAGGACAACATAAAAAATTGTTTTTAATTTTCCGAAGTACATCTTTACAAATATACAGTACCAGTCTTAAAAAAACTGGCACGTTCATGTCGACCATTCCAATCAGTGCAGCAAAGTAGAACTAAGGGGTTAAAATTTTCAGAAATTGTCTTCAAAACGTGAAATTCGGCACGTGGTAATGCCGAATTTTTAATCTTAAATTCTTTATCGCTTCTCAGGAATGAGTATGAAGTAAAAAGTGAGCAAAGTGTAACCATGGTTGCACTTTGGGTACCCTAGCCCCTACACCTTTTATATAAGTTGCTATTTTCATCTTAAAAAATTGAGTATGGTGGGTAAACACTACTTATGCGTAGCACATACAGCCTTGGAAGTTTAAGATTTTAAAGAACTCCCACTTGTCAAGGGGAAGGACTTCTTAATACTTCAAAAATATGTTGCCAAATAATAGAAAATATCTAACAAACATTTAATCCCCACAACGGAGATTGGTAACAATCCGCCGGTCAATTCGGACAACAATTTAGACGCGGACTCTGTACAGGCTAAATGAAGTCTGTCTGCAGGTTTTCTATTTTGTGTTACTGGGCCTAAGTCGTCATCAGACCCAGAGTATGAATCGTTATCAAAATTATTGAGTCAAAAATATAATAAGACCCATCACAGTTAAGAAATTTACATAGAATTACGATATGCAAAATGAGAGGCTCCTTCCATTTAACAGGAGGGAAAATTTTGAGCATTAAGAGGTTGCTTTCCACTTAGGTAACTTCTTAAATATTTGGAGGGTGATTCCCATTGTTTTGGAGAGGCATTAAATTACTTCCTTTTAAAAAGTGAATATTTCACGAGGTTAATTTTGCACTAATGCTATCGAGTCAAATTTTAAATTCAACGAAATCCTAGTAAAATTCAGTCGAAATCACTAAATAGTGACCGGGAAAGCTTTCGAACCTAACCCTTAAATAAATGCGTTTTGATATTGCTAATTAAAATTAATAAAGTGTTCTAACTTGTTCATGGGCCTCCTCTTAAGAAGTTGTAGAGGTCATGAGTTTGAATTTATTTTTGTGACAAAACTAATTTAAAGTTACAAAAGTTTGAAAATGTCAATTTGCAATTGACGAATAGTTGAGCAGGGACACTCAGGCTAAAATAGGCTGCACTGGTTTCATAATGCAGAATTTAACTCGCCGTACTACGAGTTTACTTAAAGAATCCCTTCGTCAAAAACAAAATAAAAAAAATTTCGGAACGGAATCGGGAATACCGATCCCGATACCGTCCCGAACTTATCGGGACGTGGGCTTGTACCGTTCCGAAATCGGGATTTCCCTATTTCTTTTTCGGGACAGCGGATCATTTAATACCGTACCGTTCCGATTCCCGACGGTACGGTATCGGGACATACCGATACCGATAGGAGCACTGTTATGATGGTTTGAAATTTTGAGTTTTCTAAGATATTGCGGTGCATCGAAGTCAACCGGATGGATTTGATTTGAATTTCGGCCCGCCTCCAATCTTAATCAAATGGGCACGTGATTTTGGCGCGAAGAAATTCTGTCCGGTTGACTTCGATCCACCGCAATATTTCGAAAGGTGAAAATTATAGGAAATTTTCATGTCCAATTTCAAATTTTATTGGGTCTAAAAACTAACAATTTTCTTCATTTAGCGCAAAATACGACAGATTTTGTTAACTTTGTTAATTTGTCATTTTTATTTTGCAAAATTTTAATTTATTTTAATTTCTCCCCAGCATCTACTAGTACCAACCTATTATGGATTTAACTTATATACTTATCCTTACAAATTTTACTTATTGACTTTGAAATTCTGATTTTTAAAAATATCAAAATTCAGTTTTTACAAATAATGTAGTGTCATTCAGTTCAGGGTATTTAAATATTGGCATTTTTCATGATTATTTTTTTTACACAAAATGTCAACTTTTCCAACAAAATTTGTGAAAATCTAGTTAAAATTTTATTTTAATACATACGAGTAGATCCTTTCAAAAATAAATTGATTGAAATTAACCAACCTTTTTTTGCAAATCTGTAGGCGAAGGATCAACTCTTATGTCACATGACACATACCGATGAGCGAATCGAGGCCATAATTCGTGCCAATTTAGAGGCGAATCGCCACGTGCAGGAAGAATCGTCCTCCGGACCACGCTACTGTCCCTCCATCGAGTCCAAGGTGCTCCGCTTCTCGGCGAAAAAGGGGTCGCATCAAGTATGGCTAGAGCCGGAAGGGTTTGATAGCGACCTCATCTATCCAAACGGCTTGTCATGCACGATGGTCCCAGAAGCCCAGTTGGCCATGCTGCAGGTCAGAGGTTACAAATAATATCGAGTAATTGATATCGAGTTGAGATATTATCAAAAATTGGACTTAAATGTTTTATTACTTTTGAGAGGATAATTTTGATTTGAGCCAATCGTGCCATGTTTTTGGCGAATATTAGCAAATTTTGTGTCAGTTTGACAAAAAAATGCAATTAAAAAATTAAAAATTATATCTTGAATTTCAATATTTGTCGATAATTGTGAATTTTTGGAGAATACAAATATGGATTTTTTTTAAAGTTTTTGTCGAGAACTTCTAAATTTGATGTATAGAATTAGACGTTTTTGTGTAAAAAATTGTGAATTATTTTCCCACATTTAATTACTAATGTAATTTTGTAAATTGTTGTATTTTTCTTGCAGACGATCCGAGGTTTGGAGAAGGTTCGGATGGTTCGAGCAGGTTATGGTGTGACGTACGATTACATCGACCCCCGCGAGTTGGAGAGGGATACCCTGCAAACGAAGAAGGTCAAAGGTCTCTTTCTCGCAGGGCAGATCAATGGGACGACGGGATATGAAGAGGCTGCAGCCCAAGGTGTTCTTGCCGGTGCAAATGCGGCAGCCACGGTGCGTCATGACATTTTAGAGATTTAAATCGAAATTTTAAAGAAATCTGGCATTTTATGAATTTGTTTTATAGATTTTTTTATTTTGTAAAATCGGTGTGCTAAATTTAGTGAATAGAAGCTGATCAACTTTGCAAGTTTTTGTCAATTTTGTGTGTGATTTGTATTTTGTTTGCTTTGTATTTAATTGGATTTCGTACAATTTGGTTAATAATTTTAAAGATTGTAAAATCAGTCTCTGAAATTTTGAGACTAGAATTTGCTAGAAATTTTGATGCGACATGAAAATGTGACAATTTTGTATTTATTTTGGTTATACGATTTGTAACATGATTTCGTACCCGTGGGATAAAATCGTCACTTGTTTTTTGTGTAGGTGTTGAACCGACCGCTTTTAACCATTGACCGATCTGAGGGTTACATCGGCGTTTTGGTGGATGACCTGACGACACTTGGGGCTCCCGAACCATACCGAATGTTTACTGCTAGGGCGGAATTTCGCTTATTTTTGCGATCGGATAACGCCGATATTCGACTTACGAGGAAGGGTAATAATTTATAAAGTTAAAAGGTCTTCTGGTTTTGACAAAGAATTAGCTTTGAAATTTGCCAATTTTTTTGCAGGCCATGAAATCGGACTGGTGAGCAATGAGCGGTTCGAAAAGATGGCAAAGCTGGAGAGAGAGCTGGCCGAGAAGAGGTCCGTGATGGAAGGAATCGTCAAACCGTTGACGGAATGGGGGGATATTATCAAAGGAGGAAATTCCAGCAGTATAGTATTTTCCTCACGTGCTAAAAAAAGGTGACCGTTTTTTAAAAATTAGAATCGAATTTTTTTCATAAAATCCAGGATTTTACTGCAATTTTTCTCCGATGAAAAATAACTCGGCTAGAAACTCGACCTGTTTTTGAAATATTCTGTCGATTTTTTTAGCCTGTTTGACATCCTAATTTTCGACCACATCTCGATGAAGGACATCTCCACCTCGATGGCGTCACAGCTGCCGAGCGACTTTTTTGAAAATGGTGAGGTCATGCGTCGCCTAAAAATTGAGGGGACGTATGCCCATGCCGTCCTCCTACAAGGTGAAGACATTAACCAGCTCAGGCAAGAGAGGAGACTCAAGTTTCCGGAAAACTTTAATTTCTCAGAGTAAGTTTTTATTTTTTGGGAGATGAAATAGAATTCTGAAAATTTTTAAAATTTCTATTTTTATAATAGTCCAAGGATAAGTTTGTCGACGGAGGAACGGCAAAAATTGGAAGAAGCTCAACCCTGTGATGTACGTTGGCGAGTTTTAAGAAGTTTTGTCGAATTTATGTTTTTTTTCTGTAGAAAATTGGGAAATTCTGCTGCATAAAATTTCTGTAATTTGTTTCCCAAATTTCTAATTGTGCCGAATGCTAAAAAACTAAAACAATGTATTCCCAAATAGAATTTTAAGAGATTTTATCTTCTAGAAAGTTCGAAATTTGGGAAATTTTGGTAGAAATGTTTCCTAGAATAATTCCCAGAAGTTTCAATTATGACGAATTTATCAAATTATGACGAATTTGTCAACTTTTAAACGTGTCTCCGAATATTTGCAAATTATCAAATTTTTGCCTCAGTTTAGTATTTTGTCTAATATTGTTTTGTATGAAATTAATCCATTTTTTTCTGCTCCATGAAACAGATCGCCTCTGCCACCCGACTCCCTGGCGTCACGCCATCCGCCATCCTGCGACTAATCCACTTCCTAAAGAGGCACCACGAAGAATCCACACCTACCCCACCACCACCACAAATACCTCGACAAGAGGCGTCGTGTTTATGATAAGAAACACAAAAAACAGTGTAAAAATAACTAGTCAACGACATACGAGATTTTTTTATGGGTACAAAATAAAGATTTAATTATTAACTTTTAATTGTGGATTTGTTAATGTTTCTTGCTCGATTTGACGACAGTTACCCATCCTTCTTCGTCCGGTTGTGTGACGGTGTTGTCTCCAGCGCGGTGGGAGGAGGAGGAGTGACCATTTGTCGGAGTTGATCCTGTTTCCTCGGTCTCCATCGCCTGTAGAAAAAAAAGTATTAACTGTAATGATACTTCTTAACGGATATTTTCGGGGAGATTATTTAGATAAGCAAACGGGAGGGATCTTTTTGCAAGTTTACAAAAATAGATGTGTACCCTTGTAAATTTGCAAAAAGCAATTCTGATGCAGAATAGCAGAATTAGCCCAAAAATGGTGAAAAGTTGCGTTTTTCATACCTGCACTGTATGAATCATGTGGGGGTTTTGTATTTTTTTACTAATTTGCATAATTTACGAAGGAATTTGCAATTTTTTGACTAATTTACACAGTTTGCATACAAATTTGAACTGGTTAAGCCTATGGCTTAATTGCAACTGAAAATTGGCAAGTTTTTGAAATGGATTTTTCATACTTTGAATTTTTTGAATAATTTGCACAGTTTACGCACAATTTTGCGCAGCTTAAACAAGAATAATTAATAATTATTTGCAAATAATATGTAAGTTTTTTAAATAGAAAATTTTTCATACTTCTTCATCATCATCTTCGTCAGAATCAGACTCATCCCCAGGAGCTTGTTGATGTTGTGGGGGTGGTTTGACCGCAGCGGCTGCGGCATCCATCTCGACATGAAGTTTGGTCAACTCCTCCGTCTTCATGGGATCCATAGCGAGTCGAAAGTGGGCGCAGAGACGGTCGCCAATCTCATCGAGGGAATTATCGTCTACAATCGTGTCCAATTCTTGGTTCATTATGGTGGCGAGAAATTCTGCGACTTCGTCCGCCATGAGGTCATCTAAAAGGTCGAAAGGTCAGTTAAAATCATGATTAAATTTAAAAACAATGCGATTTACCATTCTGATAAAAGAAATCTTCCACCGCGCCGCGCATCCAGGTCGCTATTTGCTTCCCGTACGCGCCCCCTTGTCCATTCTGGACGGCAAGCTGGACAGTAGACATAATTAAGTTTAATTGACTACAAGTTAATTGTAGTTAATTTAATTAATGCTTATTATTTGATTTACCTCGAGAGCCGTCCAGCTTGTCAATATCTTATCGACGGAGAGGTGAAAGAGTGGAGATTTATTTTGAAGCGTGTACAACGGCATGGTTTAAATTAGTTTAATTAATTGAACAATTAAAAGTTAATTAGAAACAGTCACATTTTCAATTCCACAACTAAACACGTGCTGTTCTGTTTTACAGTCGGTCTTCTTTCCCCAATCCGCGGTACGAAATCTCGTTTTTGTTTTGGTTTCACATGTGCGACGATAAATAAATAAAGAATGCAAGTAATAATTTGATTATAAATTCAATCCTGGTTGGTCAGATAAGGGCTTATCTTTAATTATTTGAAGTAGTTAACGTAAAACAACGCACCATTTAATTTAACTATCGTGTTTGTCGGATTAGTTCCGATCTTCTATGAAAGAAAACATTAACTTTACAAATTTTAAAACTTTTAAAAATTAAAAATTAATTAATAAATAAATTAATAACTATTGCATCGAAATTATCCACAATTTTGCAAGACGTTAAGTAACGTCATCGTCGTTATCTTGCTTTTGGTATTCAAATCGAGCTGAAAATATTAACCTCAAAAAACTTTAAAAATCACAAATTACAAATTAATCCAAAATATCCTTAATTGTTTTAACCATTAATTAAACATTAATTAATCACCACCAAGTTCAAACTTGCATTGTGGTAATAAATATGTTCGGATCTCCTCGAGGTCATCATGACGCCAACAAGATATCCTCCCCCACACAAGAAGTGGTCCATATCTGCCCCTCAATTAGCACGATTGCCTCCTCGTCCGACCGTGTCAACGCGCTTTACTCCCCTTTTCGTCCCAGACCCTTAAATCCGGAAAGTTTCGACCTCAAGTTAAAATTTTGGACGAAAGCTCTCGACGAGTGGGTCACTTTCTCGGAAAGATTGACCTTTACCCTCAAAGAGGTCCAGAAGGGGATGATGATCGCTCAAAAAACTCCGGCCTGTTTGGAAGACGTGCTGGAATTTTGTGCCAAGTAAAATTTTTAAAATGAAAATTTTGACGAATATTTTTGAAATTTTTTTGTTTGCAGAGATGGTTCGATCGTTTCTACGAAGGAATTTTACGACACGTTATCCGCATCGATAAGCTGGGTCGCGTGGGGTCAAGTTAACGCGAAACGTTTGGTGGGAAAGGTCATCCCCTCGCTGCCCGCAGCCCCGTGGACTTATTTTACTCGTGGCAAAACCCCACCGGAACAAAGATATGTGCATGTGGGTCATTTAAAGGTGGAAATAATAATTTGTTAATTACTAATAATTAATTGTGGTTAACTAATTCGTACTTGATTTTTTAGGATCTCGTCGACACTCTGTCGAAATCGGCCCCCCTAAGGAATCGACTCCTCTCGCTGGACACTTTTACTGCTTTGGTAACTTCGCAGACGGGAATTTCTGACCCCGGGGAGCTGTCCATCTTGCTCGATTATCTCAGGGCGAGGAAGCTTATCGAAGTAGATAAGGTGGGAAAGGAGGACGTCGTCATTTTTGGGGATAGCTTAAAAATATCCGATGTCGACAAGGGCCGTTATGATGTCAAGAGAAGTATAGAAATTCATGAAGAGAGGTTGGAAGAGGTGCACGTGCAGATGGAGGAGGCCGTGATGAGGGCGAAGGATGCCCTAAAACAGGGGAGGAGGGCGAAGGTGGGTGGGAAATTAAGGAATTAATTAATTGGTTAGTTAGTTAATTAAGTGGTGGTTAATTTCAGGCCAAGTATGAATTGAAAAAGAAGAAAATGTTGGAGGCGAGAGCGGACAAATTATTGAGCGTGGTTGACAGTCTGACCGTGATTGGGATGAGGTTGGATGAGGCAGAGTCAGATGCGCAGGTGGGTGGGAGACCAAAATTTGGAGAAAATTTGTGAAATTTCATAAATTTGACTTATAAAATTCATAATTTTGTTAAAAAATCAACGAAATTACAGATTTTGCAAGCCTACCAGTCAGGAAAACAAGCATTGGCGGATGTCCTAAAGAAAAATAACTTGACCGTGGACGCCGTAACGGAAGCCATGTTGGACGTACAAGAGGTAAAAATTAGCTACAAATTACCATAACGTAACGAATATTAAAATTGCTGTCGTGTAGGTTTTGGAAGAAAGTGGAGAAGTCAGTGCGGCCATATCGCAACCCTTAGACGGAGGACAGACCGACGATTTGGAGGAATTGGACGCAGAGTTGGACGCCCTTTTGAAGGAGGACGCAGAAAAAGAGGCGGAAAAGAGGAAAGGTGAAGCGACAGAGGGCGACGATTCTTTCTTGATGAAGAGATTGGTCGGATTAAAAGTTCGCGAGGACGAGGGTAAGGAAATTGATGACCTAATTTTCATGATGATAAGCTAATTTCAGCGTAAATAATTCATTCATTACATTCCTGACATGGATAATTTCTCCATTTTTTTCAAACAATTTACGTTTGAATATGTTAAACGCCAATTCTGAATGTTTTATACTGTATTTAGTAGTAAATGAGATAAAGATGTGTTGTAGATTTGAAGTGTTGTTGAATTATGAAAAATAATTAGTATTTGGTAAATTGTTTTTGTAATCAATATTTTTTTTTGTTCACAGACGGTTTTGGCGACGCTGGTGTCGACGGTGATGAAAACGTCTCTTCACGAGACGCGGATATTTCTAGTGAAATGTAATACTCGAGGTCATGTTGGCGTGTCATCAGTCCCTTGTTTTAATTGGAGTGCCTTTTAAGAGAGAATTATAAAATAGTTTTAAAGTATTATTGTGCCTTTTAACTAAAATTGTGGAGAAAAAACAATATTTTTTAGCATCGCCAACGTCAACCTCCGCCGAGAAATAATGTTTAATATAATATGTGATATCTTATTATTATATGTATGTACATACAGCTAAATAATTAATTAGGGAATATAATAATCACGGATTTATTCACACACTGGATGCATGAATAATTGTATGCATACAATGCATGACATGACGAGATTTTCTTGTAATAATAAGTTGGACGAACAATAAACATCAAATTGTTGGATGTGCAAATGTATGTATATATAAACAAAATTCATGCGCATCATTTCCATGCATAAAAATATACATTAAATATGGGCAAAAAAAGTTGACCAACATCATGACCTTTTTCTACGAACGGGGGATCACAGGGTCTAAATTGTCTCCATTTTCATTGACAACTTCCACTAATGCTGGTTTTGCAGCCATCTCTGCTTATTAGCGACCTACGACCCATATTAATTTAGCAATTTTTCAATTGATCCGAAAAAAATCTGAAATTTTGCATATTTCATGGAAAATATACATTTATATTTGCATATTTATGCATATACATTTTGCATGGAAAAATCAATTTTCATACTAAATTATTTTTCTATAAGTGATCCATCTCATTTTCAAAATTCTTAATTATTCAAAGTACACTTGATAATTAAAAATGACTGGGTTTTAAATAAGTTAACTATTTAAAATAACTATGTTCATCTTATTTTGAAAGCTTTATAAATTATTTTGTTCTAAAATTCATCAGAATCAAAGTTGTAAAATGTTAACGCCAAAGCAGAATGATGTCAATTCTTTACATTGTTTGAAAATATTAATAGATAGTTTGTAAACGACGTGTAATTTAGCAAAATTTTGGATGCCATGATGCTAATTTTTCAGGATTCTTAAATTTTTTAAAACATTTTAAACATATTTTTTGTAAAATTCTCGTGGTACTTTAGCCAGCCTGCAATTGCTTTTGCAATTCAGTGAATTGCAAAGCATAGGAAAAATTAATTTTCATATAAAATTATTATTTTTATAAGTAATCCATCTCATTTTCAAAATTCTTGATTATTCATAGTACACTTAATAATTTTTAAAAAATCTCTGGGTTTGAAATATTTAACTATCGTGGTTTTAAAGCGTTTCAAATTATTTTGTTCTAAAATTCATCCGAATCGAATCTGTAGAATGTTAACGCCAAAGCAGAATGATTTTATTTTTTTGCACTATTTGAAAATATGATAGGTTATCATCCATGTTTTTTGTAATTTATTAACAAAATTTTGATGTTTTTCAGCATGTTTACAAAAAAAACAAACATTTTTAACATATTTTTTTGAAAAGTTCACGTGGTATTGCGATACAACCAGCTTGCTTTTTAAGATAACCTTGGGCATTACGAATGATTTCGTAATGGATGGAAACTATGCTATTTTAAAAAATACCTAAAAATACCCAAAAATACTAAAAAAATATACGCATAAAATTCTGAAAAAATACAAGTCTTATTTTTGTAGGTTCGTAAATTATTTTGTTCTAAAATTCACCAGAATCAAATTTGTAAAATTTGTAAAGTGTTAACACCAAATCAGAATAATTGACATTTATTACATTAAATAAAAAATTTTTTAGATAATTTAAATCTGGTTGTGTAATGTAATCCAACAAAATTTTGGATGCCAATTTTTCAGCATGTTTACACAAAAAAAAAACATTTTCAATATATTTTTTTGAAAAATTCATGAGGAAATTCATACAACCAACTTGCTCTGTAAAAGGGGAGGATTGCCCATTACAAATAATTTCATGATGGATGGAAGGAAACTATGCTATTAAAAAATGCCCAAAAATCCCCTGAAAAAATACTCAAAAATGTAAAAAAAATACCAAAAAAACCCAAAAAGTTGCAAGTTTGTGTTGTTTTCATAGATAGTGGTTGTTTTATAAGAAAAACGGTAGAAAGTGAGCATACCTTTACACAACATCTCTCTGTGCACATGACCAAATATTTTACATACATATGTGCATCTAGCCAATGTGAAATTCTCAGAAATAAACAGACTTTTACTGCTGCGGAGAAAACCAAGTAGGGAAATGCACATGGATCTCTTATCTCAATTTTATTATTAATTGGTCTCTTAATAAAATTAGTCATGATTCATGAATGAATAGAATGTGACAAGTTATTTATTACTCAAATAGTTGACGTTATTGAGTCATTTTAATTCAATTCAACATTTAGTTTAGACTCGAGTTTCTCGTGCGTGCCAAATTTGTGTGATTTTGCATTCATTTCATTACATTGTCACCCGGAAGTAAAATTTTGGTGAGTGGGAGGAATTTGTGCAGTATTTTTTTAGACTTGAAATTAATTCGAGTTTAATTTTTGTTTCAATTTGCAGAAGATGACGGCGATAAATATTTGGAGCAGTGCGTTCTTATCAGTGCTTATCTTGTGGAGTGGAGTAGATGGTAAAAATTAAACAAAGAACGTTACAGATAAGTAATTTAATTGGATTAATTAATAAATTATTTAATATTAAAATTAGGAGCTCACACGCAGCAAGACTCCGGAAAACAAACGTGGTCGTGTAAGTGTAACAAATTAAATTTTTAATACGTGGCGCAAATGGGAAACGCATCATAACTTTTAGAATTTTGAAAAAAATTAACATGTGGCGCAAACGGGAAACGCATCATAATTTTTAGAATTTTGAAAAAAATTAGCATGTGGCGCAAACGGGAAATGCATCATAATTTTTAGAATTAAAAAAATTAACATGTGGCGCAAGTAGGAAACATATAATTTATGGAATGTTCCCATTTTTTGCCCAGATGTGGAAGTTCGCCCCGGAGCCCACATGTTTTGGTGGCTGTACTACACCACAGCCCCCGTCCCCACGCCGACGACCCGTCCACTCGTCCTCTGGCTGCAAGGCGGCCCCGGCGCGAGTTCGACCGGCTTCGGAAACTTTGCAGAAATCGGACCGCTCGATGTTTCCCTGCAGAATCGAACCCACACGTGGCTCAATTATGTGAATCTCCTCTTCGTCGACAATCCGGTCGGATGTGGGTTCAGTTATGTGAACGATACGAAGCTCTTGGTCACGAATAATTCCCAAATTGCGGACGATCTGGTGGAAATGTTGAGCAAATTTTTGGACAAAGTTCCCGACTTTCAGACCACGCCGTTGTATATTTTTGCGGAATCGTATGGAGGCAAAATGGCGGCACAGTTTGCCCTCAGAGTGTGGAAATTGGTGGAGAAGGGGAAGATCAAGTGTAATTTGAAGGTAATTGATGAGTAACTTGTGCCATAGTTTGCGAAGTTAAAAAAAACAGGCGAAATACTTTTCTTAGTGAGGCAAATACCTACAGGGAAAAAATTATTAGCATTGCGATGACGCCAAAGGTCTCGCTCCGATTTAGACGAAACCACGATAAATATAAATACTTAAATAAGCACATGTTTCAGGATTTTTCATAACGCTCAGTTTCAAGTAGTTTCAACGAAGTCATAACGGTAAACGTGTGCTAGAATTTGTAGTTTTACTGTGAAATTTTTCTCGCGAGTGAGAAAAATTTATTTTAAAAAAATCGTTGATCTGATAAAATACCATTTTTTATCGTTTTTTTAACTGGTAAATTTCACTTTCGAAATTTACTGTGAGTTTTCATCTCTTCGGATGGATGTAAATATCTCTGCCAAACGTGCCTTTTACAAATTTCATATTGATCAAATTTATTCATAGATTTTTTACACGTTTTAATTGAAAAAAATAAAGTTGTCTTTGTGATTTTGTTTGACAAATAATTTTCAAAAATAATTTTTGAAAGATATGTTTAACCAATTTTTGATAATGAAAATTTGTTTAATCTTATTTTATTTCGGAAAAAATAGTGAGGATTTGAAGCCGATAGCAGTTTTATTATTATTTGTGAATGAATAAATTCACTTATTGAAGGATTGGAAAAATTAGTAGTATTCAAATGAGTGCGTAAATGAGTTTACTATCATAAAAAGATTTATGAATGAATGGACTAATGAATGATTAACTGTTTTTATTACAAATATCTGGTAACTTGCGCCATAACTAAACTATCTATAACATTGGCGCAAGTTGGAATATAAACTCGACTTGATAATCCTCCACTCCTAAATTTTACTCTTATCTTACAGGGCGTCAACCTTGGCGACTCTTGGATAAGCCCGGTCGACTCTGTCCTTACTTGGGCGCCCTACCTGTTTTCCACCTCGCTCGTCGACAATCCCGGATTCGCCGCGGTGAACGCGTCCGCCTACGCGGTGAAGGCAGCCGTGGACAAAGGTCTCTTCCCAGAAGCCACGGCCCTGTGGGATCAGACGGAAGAAATCATCAACAAGGTCACGAATGGAGTCAACGTGTACAATATTCTCGCCCCAGTTGACCCCGATGATGTCAGCAAAAGCAAAAGGTCACAAAATATGGTTGAGGTAAAATATAAATGATGAATTTTGTACCACTGGATTTTTGAGGGGGATGAGAAATTTTGTAAGGAGAATTAGGGAACTTTGGAAAGGTGGAATGTTTTTGAGGAAGAGTGAAAATTTTTGGGGGCAGAAAAATTGGAAATTTTGAGGAGGGGTAAAGTTTGGAAGGGAAAATGATGCTATTTTGATGATATTTTTGATAGATACTTTGTGACGACAGGAAAGGTTTTCAGAGAAAATGTATATAGGAGTTTTCGGTGGTTGGCAAATTAATGCGGGTTGGGAAATTTTAACTGGAAAGAAAGTTCAGGAACGGAAACTTTGAGATTTTGATGAGAATTTGAGAATTTGATTTTAAGATCGATCCAAATAATGCAATTTTATCCTGGAAAATGTGTTGCTTTAATTTTTAAAATGTAATTTTTTAAGGAACCTCAACCAAAATCACCATCCGTCGCAGAAATCATGTCGCAATTCTTCACTCATGGACAAACCGGAAGTGCGACATTGCCTCGTCACGACCATAAACGACCCTTGACCTCAGCTTATCTCCGGGCCACGTCGCCCGACCCCTTGACCGTCCTAATGAACGGGTCGATTAAAGAGATGCTGCGTATAATTCCACCCAATGTGACGTGGGGAGGCCAACAACACCTCGTTTTCGACGCGTTGAAAGGCGACTTTATGCGGCCGGTGGTGCACGTGGTGGAAAACTTGTTGAACAACACGCCCCTCGCGGTCAACGTGTACTCGGGACAGTTGGATCTTATCGTGGATACGATGGGTGAGGAAAATCGGGAAATTTTGGGAGAAAAATAAGTAACTTTTTGTGCTAAATTGAGAATTTTGCATGTAAAAATTAAAATTAAAATGAGTCATTTTTTGCGGAAGTATCAATTTTTCTTAAAAAAATGAAGGGAACTGTGTAATTTTTGTGTTGAATTAGGAATTTTAAATGTAAAATTTAAGGGAAAATGTCATTTTTTTTGTGCTAATGATGCAATTTTTGCTGCAAACTTAAATGAAAATTTGTCATTTTTTTTGCGCTGAATTAACAATTTTTGTTACAAAATTTAAAGAAAATGTGTAATTATTTGTGCTAAATTGTAAAATTTTTGTTGCTCTAAAAAAGTGCAAAATTTTGAAAGAAATATTTTGTTCTTATGCTGCAGGGACAATGAAATGGGTGGAGGAAATGAACTGGGCTGGCGTCCCGGAGTGGTCAAAGGCCAACAGAAAACCCGTTCTGGTCAACAATTCGACCGAAATCTTTATCAAAACGTATAAGAATTTCGGCTTTTACTGGGTTCTCAAGGCTGGCCACATGTAATTGAATTCTTATATTTTTTCCGGTTTTAAAAATTATTTATTGCTTTAAAAAAATGAATTTTCAAAAAATCGTCAAATTTTGACGACTCTAATGAGGTTTTATTTTAAATTGTAAGGCGATTTTTTTTAAAGATTTGTCTGTCGTTCAGTTCAAAATGATTGAATTGAATATTAATAATAAAGTCAGAGGTTTCAAAAATTCGAGAAAATTAAGTTTGGCGACCATAATGATATTTTTCAAAATTTATAATTTCAAAAAGCCTTAAAGGTTAGATAGACGCATTCGTATAATGATTTATTTGGTTTTTCGAAAATGTACAATTTTGACTATCCGAATTGGAACATTTAAAAAAATAATTACAAAACATTTTGAAGATGTACAATGTCGTCGTATTAATTAGTCCAGAGTGGTGTCAAAAATTCATTAACAAAATTTGGTAAAAAGTTGTAAAATTTTGACGACTCTAACAATATATTTCAAAATTTAGAATTACAAAAACAGCCTTAAAGATTCGTTGGACATCTTAAAAAAAATAGTTTTTTTATGTACAATTTTGACGACTCTGTTTTAACATTTTGAAAAATGTAGAAGTTCAAAAAAGTTCAAGATGACTTTACCACTGACTTTTCTTTCGTAAATTACGAATCGTAATTGTATGTACTGATTAAGCATCTAATTTTAGGGTTCCAGCCGACGCGCCGGAAACAGCGGCGGAAATGTTACAGATTATCACACAACTTAAAAAGTGAGCCTTCGGAAGAAGATAAGGTGACGCCAAAATGATATTCGAGAGACTGCAAAGCCTGATAAAATGGTGCATGCTTAATTTTAGGGCGAATTTTTTGCCAATTTCTGGTCACAATTTATTACCAATTATGGTGCTATTTGTATGTAAATAAGTATAACAATTTATTCATTCAGATTTTTTTCTTTGTAATTCATTTTATTTTTCATTTCGTAATTTATTTCATAATACATTTCAAAAAAAGCTAATATGTTTTTGTAAGTTTTTGCAAACATTGCACTTCCTGTTCTGTTCCTCCTCCATCCAGGTTTTAAAAAAATGTTACATAATATTTATTCCTCTTTGTAAACTATCTCTTAAAAAAACTCTGCAAAATATCAGTGCAGAAATCATGCAAAAATTGTACCCATTTAAAAAGTAATTATATCAGAATCCACGTGATAAATAATTTCGCACAGAAAATTGTTCCAAATTATAAGAAATTTATGAAATGAATTACCTTAATTTTTGCGAACGAACCATGAAACCTGGTCTGGACGCCGAGTGAGTGAGAGAGAATCTACAGATCACATTTAACTACCACGCGTAATATGTAATTAATTAATTAATTAATCGTTAATTAAATTCCTGAATAAATAAGTAATTAAATTACTGAAAAAGAGAGAGAAAGCTAAAAAAATCATCATCATCACCGAGTCGACCTCTGGGGGTCGGACTGGGGGCTTGGCGTTGCCGTAAAATCGCCCTATAATTTCCTAACTACACTTCTTTCACCAAGCCCAACAACATCGAAATGTTGTGACGATATGGAAATTTTATGTAATTTTGGAAATCAAGTGAGTGACATTTCAATGCCTACCTTTTTCGAATCAAAATACCCACACCGACAGAAACAGAGAGTGACAGAGGAGGAAAACACACCGACGACGATACATATTTCTTAATGTAATTTGTGGATGATGACGTGGTCCGTCGGCCGGTCCGCCTGCACATAATTTTGAATTTCCGGTCACACAAAAGTTTACACAAATCTACACGTGTTCTTATTTTTCTAACGTTCAAAAAATGGTCGTGGGGAAAGGATGGCATTATTAAAATTGACATTACTACAAAATTTCTGGGGACAAAATTTGCCATATTTTTATCACTACAAAATTTCCGGGGACAAAATTGCCACATTTTTCGCCCGACCTCATCATTTTATACACATTTTCTACTAATTTAAGTCTGTTTTTTTTCTAATGTCAAAAAATTCCTGTTGACATCACAAAATTTCCGAGGACAAAATTTAAGTTCCCATATTTTTCACACGACCCTATCATTTAATACACACATTTTCTGCTAAATTAATAATCTGATTTTACTTTAACTGTACATTTAATCAAAAACACAACAAAATTATAAACATGTTTTAATTACAAGAAGGAGGAAAATTCTAATTTCTGAGAAATAAACGTTAATTTCTAAATTTCTGCAAATCTACAAAAGTTCTTCTGTTATCTTAGGAAAACAAAAATGAAAAAAAATTCAGCACTAAACCCGATTTTGGTTTGGTTTCGGTGTCGTCGTTTTCTTTTAAAATCTTGGCATCATCATTCCCCTCGGTTGATTTTGGTGGTGGTGCGGGTTGTGGTTTCCGTTCTGTCCGTACCCGTAGCTCGGGTTCACTGTGGAAAATATTAGGGCAAAATTAGTCCACGTTTTTTTCGAAATTTTGTAATAAATTGTATCATTTTTATATATTTTTTAAATCAATACAGCAATACATACATACATACAACAATTTTGAGGATTAATTAAGACTGTGCACACACGATTTTTCATGAATTTGATGAATTTTGAGGGAAAATAAAATTAAAATAAAAGTAAAATTTTGCAAAATTTATTTTTTTTTGAGAGAGAGAAAAGCGAATTTTATTTAAAAGAAAAAACGTGGAGATATGAATTTATATAAAACCTGGCGTAAGTGGGAGTCCGTTTACACAGGCGTGATATCTGAAACAATGAGTTTTTTTGTGACCCACGCACCAACCACGAGATTTACATATGAGCACACACAACAACAGCACACGATTGAGATAACATGATGATGATAAGCAATTTAGAAATTTTTGAGAAGTTTCATAATTTTGGGAACAAATTAAATTTGATGTGATGAAGATATGTATGTACAAACGGGGGGTGGACATGTATTTATTTTATGGTGGAAATATTTGAGAAATAAAAAAAGGAAAATTATAAATTTCCGAACATTTTTTGCCAAATTCTTATCGTTACAAATTCAATACTCTAAAACCCACCATGTCATGATATCTATTTTTGTAACATAAAACGCCAAACATATTTTTTGCTTAAATATAGTCGTCGAATATTTACAAAATGAGAAATATTTTAGAAAATCTAGAAATATTTTATTTTTAAAAGATCTTGAAATTTTAGTAATAATCTCACAAATATCGAAAATAAATACATATCCGCCGTAAGAAGATGATAAAAAATTGAAGCGATACGATAAGCATCACAATTTTTAGGCATTTAAGAAAGCAAAGAGAACGAGTGGAAAAATAAAGTGGTGAAAGTAGTGACGCGAAATCTGGTATTTCTGCATAAATATCTTAAAAATTATCACGTGTTTGGTTAGCCTTACATATTTTTTGAAAAGGTGAAAAAAACGAATCGAAATTGGAGAAAGTTGAGGAGAAAGATGTACTATTTAGCAAAAGTCAAGTATTTTATAAGTAAATTAAAGCGATAGCATAAAGCATGTGATCTCCTTAATTTTTTTTCAGGGTAAACTTGACATCAAAAAATGTACAAGGTCAAAATCAGAACTCACAAGATCACATCCTCTATCTGTGCACAAGAGACAGTAAATAATGATAAAATTATAGAATAAAATTTAAATAGAAAGAATTTATCCAAGTTTTTTTTATATCTTAAAAGAAAAATATTTGGACTTAACTTATTCGACTCGAGAACGAGATGGCATATTTTTTTTTACGGAAAATGCATTTTTCTCTTGGCGAACTGAATGAGCTGATGATGAGCAAGGAGGAGGAATAGTTTGAGCTTACCTGGAGGACCGCTGTTGGAAGAAGAGGGGCGAGGAAACTGATTACCTCCTCCCCCAGAAAAATTACTGCCTTGCGGTGGCGGGGCAGAGCAGGAGGGTTGAGATTGTGGTTGTGGAGGGGCTGCTGCTGTGGTTGGGTTGAGGAGCATGGGTGGCGCCGAGATGGAGTGTGAGGGCACGACGGGCTTCTGGTATTTCGACATCCGGGCGCGGATTTGCTCCTGAGGAGAAAAATAGGTAAATAAATTGCGAAATCAGTGATCGGCTCATCGGCATATTTCTTGCGAATTTTTTTCGCGAACATGGCGATCACTGGATGACTTACGAGCGACAAGTCTTCGAGTGGGTGGATAATTCTGCTCCCAGATCCGGGAGGGATGATGGAGGGAGCTTTTTTCACTTCGACTGGTTTACTAGCAGGTGCAGTGGAGGATCTACATACCCAAATAATTTTTAATTTGCAGTTTTCTTTGCATAACATTTAGCACACAAATTACTCACCCGTACGCCGGAAATGTCGCGGAAGGTCGGGACCCCATCATATTGTTAAGCGCGGCGGCGGCGTCAATCTACAATTAAGATGGACATAAAGTTATGTGGAATGGAAATCGCTATTTTTTAGTTTCTTAACTGACCGCATTATTCGCCGCAGAATTATTAACGGCCGCCGCTGTGGCGGCCGCGGAAGGAAAGAGCGGTCTGACAGGGACGTGTTGCGGCTGCATTCCGGGATGAAATTGATGCGGGACGAACATTCCTCCCCCTCCGCCACCCATCATTTGCTGCATCTGCATCGCAGCCATAGCGTTATTCATCCCGGCCGCGCCAGCTGCCGCCATCATGAAGGGATTCGCCGTCATCATGCCGTGATGGAGGCCCATTCGGTTCATCATGCCGGCGGCGGCCATCTGGAAGAAGGGAGTAAAAAAATGGGTTAGACTTTCTGGGGAATTTACAATTATATTGAAATGGCGACACGGAAGGAATGCGATCGATTTTAGGGGGACGAATTGTGGTAAAAAATTTGAAATTGATTTTAACGCTGTAAAATTGTTGTAACAAACTTATGATAGATTTTGAAGATGTAAAATTGAGGTAAAATATCGTGGTGTCAAACTTGTTATCGATTTTGACCATATAAAATTTTGGTAACAAATGTGTGCTCGATTTTTTACCCTAGAAAATTTTGATGACACTGTAATCGATTTTTTGACGTAAACTTGGATAACAAATGTCATTAACATTAACATAAGACTTGGATAACAAATTTTGGTTACAAATTTCTGTACTAATCAATCACATTCTTTCCGCCCCGCTTTTTCCATATTATTCAAATAACTTCGTTCTGCACGGAATGTAAATATACATTGTTCATCATGTGGTTTTGCTGCTGGGGGGACATGATTTGATGGTGGGGATGAAATCCTGCCGCCGTCATGTTCATCATATTGGCCATGGCGGCGTTATTATTCATCGCGGCAAGGTTCATATTCATAGCGTTAACGGGAGCAAATTGCTGCTGGTGGTGGTGTTGGGGATGGTTTAGCATCATTTCCGGTTGCTGTTGTTGCGGAGGGACGAGGGAGACTTGTTGGTCGAGTTTGACCCGTTTTGGGGGCCCTGATTCTGGTTCATCATCCTCCTCGGAGGACGAATTGTTTCGTCCGGACGATTTGGAGCCGACCGGAATGCCTCCAGACTTTTTGAGGGCTTCGTGCTCCTTCGCGTCGGCGACGGGGATCCCTTCCATGCCATAGATTTCGATTTCTATATTGTTCCGGTGAGGCAGAGCGTTGGGGATTTTGTCGATGGTTTCTTTATGGACCTGGGACAATTGAGGGGGATAATTTTAGTTAGTTAGATAATTATGAAGAAAGAGAAAAGTAAACAATTAAACTGATTATGAGTTTTAAAAGAAACGTATGACAATAATAGCTTTTGGATCAAGTGACGGAGTTGACGGTGCGTAATTTACGTTAATTAGTTAATTAAATCCGACCAAGAATTGATCAAAGTAAAGTAATTCAGTTTAAAATTTTGTCTTTAATTCAAACGATTAACGTTTGGATTAAAAAGTGACTGGTTGTACCAATTTGGTAGAAAATTATAGCTTTTTTTGTTGGTACGGTGTGTTATTTTTATGGGAAATGAAGGACCACACCCACTCTTTCGTAACTGACCTGCATGCAATGGATGACAAGGCCGGGACCAGTATACAACTTCTTATGACAAACTTGACACTTGAAGTGTTTGGCTTTTTGATGTTGAATGAGTATTTTTTCATCTTCAAATTCCCTGTTGCAATACCTGTAAAGTAAAGAAGGTCAAGGGTCACGTTTTTATAAGACAATTGATTATGAACAACTAAGAAGTGCTGGATTATCAACTGGAATTAATTAATTGTCGAATTAAATACGAATTTTCAAGTTGACTCACCAACACCACGGCTTTAAAGGCTTCTTCTTCTTCCTTCCCATTTTTATTTAGTTCTATTCAAAGGAAACTAATTTTAATCACTTTAATTCAAATTTTACCCTACTTATTCAAAATTTTGAATTATTTCTTCTGGAAAAAAATTGTCAAATTTATCCTTCAAAAGTCAACTTTTTGATAAATCAACAAACTCAAACTTCCCGCTGAGCCGGGGTACCACGAGACTACGAGCGGCAGGCAAAAGAGTAAATAATAAAATGTAACATTGACAGTTTTCAGATTTTGCTTTAATTTTTAAAGAATAATAAAAATAAATTAACTAATTCAAGATAACCCAAGTAAGATAACGAGTTATCAATCTTTGCTAAAATGCCGGGTCCTGCCGATAACAATTTCTTCGCTGAGCCGATGCAAATTGATTATGAAAACGATAACGACAACGGTCAAGACGGGGAGGGTGTTTATCTCGTGGAAGATCCTACCCTGGTAAGATAAGCAGCTATCAAATTAACCAAGTAGATAACTAATCACTTAATTAATTACACAATCAATCTGTTCGTTCAGGATTTAGAAAACTACATCAACTCCTACACCGGCTTGGCGAAACTTTTTCGTCTTATTCACATTGCCGATCACTGCCCAGTTCTGCGCCTGGACGCCCTAAAAATGGCGATTGCCCATGTAATGACGACCCACAATGTGGCCATGTACCAGTCACTCCACGCCAAGATGAGAGAAACTGTCGCCATGATGTATGTAACAATATTAACGGCCGGGTTATTTTGTTTTAAAATGGATTATGGACCCCTCGCCAGCGATGAACAAAAAATACAGTATTTTCAGCTCCGTTCTTCCAGGGCTATTTTAACCAGCAAAATACGATAATTTATGACAAAGCAAGTCATACGAAAATACGTGTTTTGTGAAGAGATTAACTGCTATCGCTGGAAAAATATATGGTTTTCAAGATTTTTTTTTAAATAATGCATTTTGACACCAGTAAAAAGTTAATTTCTTCACAAACCATGTACATATTTTCCTTTCCCGTTCCTCCCCCAGATTAGATTAGATTATCATCTTTTTGTGACTCTAACAGCCCTGGAAATCCAAGCCCTTGGAAGAATGGAGCTCAAAATTCGATATTTTGCCTGCATGTGCCCCTCACCAATTATTTCTATCCTTAATTAATTAACCCCCACAGATTACCTCCACTCCCCGATGTTGCTGCTGGTCTTGATGACGTTGCGCCAAATAATGACCCCCAAATCCCGCCGGTTGAACTTCCCTCCATCGACATGCCCTGGATTGAACAACGGGCGAAAAAAGCTGCCCTCAAATTGGAAAAACTTGACGCGGATTTGAAAAATTACAAGTCGAATTCCATCAAAGAATCGATTCGTAGAGGACACGACGACCTTGCGGAACATTATTTGGACACGGGTGACCTCACGAATGCCCTGAAATGCTTTTCTCGTGCGAGAGACTACTGCACCTCGGCGAAACATGTGGTCAACATGTGTCTAAATGTTATCAAGGTGTCAATTTATCTTCAAAATTGGTCTCATGTCATGAGTTTTATCGCAAAAGCGGAAACCACGCCGGATGTGATGGATCAAGCGAAGGTGGGAGAGAAATTTGGAAATTGTCAAAGTTTTGAGTATTTTTTCATGATATTTGAGTCAATTTTGAAAATTTTTCCAAAATTTAATACGGGTTTTCATAATTTGTAGCCAATTTGACTCAAATTTGAGGATTTTTTCTCATATTTGACTTGATTGTGAATACTTTTCTGAAATTTTACAAAATTTTGAGCTTTTTGGTTTTCTATAATTTTAAATCACATTTTTTTGCGCAGTCTACGTCCAAGGAAAACCAGCAAATCGTCACGAAGCTGAAGTGCGCAGCAGGACTGGCAGACCTGGCACAGCGAAAATATAAAACAGCGGCGAAATTTTTTCTCGAAGCGAGTTTCGACCATTGCGAATTCTCGGATATGTTGTCCCCTAACAATGTTGCAATTTATGGAGGACTCTGCGCCCTCGCTAGCTTCGATAGAGAAGAGTTGAAAAAGTTTGTCATTTCAAACAGGTACGCATAAATTACGAATTGGAGCAAAATTTGAATTATAAATTTTCTGAAAAGTAAATAGAAAATTCCTTGAAATTCAAACAGATTTATTTTTTGAAAACGTCTTTGAAAATGTGTTTTAAAATTATGTAATTAAAAAATTTTTTGCAAAAAATACGACGTTTAGTTAATTTTGTAAGTCTTCACATCATTTTAGTTCTAAATCAGTTAAAAATGTATCTAAATTTCCCCAAATTTCCTAAAAACTTGCCCCGTACTAATTTTGATTTTGAATTCCAGTTCATTCAAACTCTTCTTGGAGTTGGAGCCCCAAATTCGTGACGTGATTTTCAAGTTTTACGAGTCCAAGTACGCCACATGTCTGAGTCTTTTAGCCGAAATGAGGGATAACTTGGTGTTGGACTTGTATCTCGCCCCCCACGTGCGGCCCCTCTACGCCCTAATCAGAAACAAAGGGCTCATACAATACTTTTCTCCGTACGAGTCGGCTGACCTCTCCCGCATGGCGGCATCCTTCAACACAACCATTTTCGACCTGGAAAACGAACTCATGGGGCTTATCCTCGATGTAAGTGAAAATTAGCACGACTTAATTGACACGTTTTTGGGGAAAAGAGGAAGAAATTTTGTGCACTAATTTTAGAAATTGTGATGACTTTTACGATGATTTTGTTTCATGAAAACTTAAAACTGCTACTATTTGGCAAGGAAATTGTGGATCCAAATGTGGAAATTTTAATAACTATTTTGTTGAATTTTGTTTAAAAAATTACGAATAATTGTTTTGTGCGGAAAATTATGTCCATTGCACGAAATGTTTTTGGAAGTTTGTGCAAGAATTGTGTAAACTGCTTTTCTTAGTTTGTAGTTTCAGTATTTTTTTAAAACTATAAATTTTGAAATTAGAATATTGTTAAACTTTTGCAATCATTTGTTTCTAAAATTTTGTGTTTAATTTTTTCAGGGTCAGGTCGAAGCGCGGATCGATTCTCATAACAAAATCCTATTCGCGAAGAAGATTGATCCGCGTAGTGTGACCTTTGAGCGCAGCCTCCGCGTGGGGGACGAGTACGAGCGGAAAGCAAAACTCATGATCCTCCGCGTCGCCATGCTCAAGGCGCAAATCCAAGTCAAAGTGAGTTGCGAATTACTTAATATGCAAAAGTTTGCAAATAATTGATTTCTTATTTGAAAACTATGTATTTATACAAATTTTGGACACAAAATAATGAAAGACATGGCTTCTTTATAATTAAATATGCAAGCTATTTGCAAATTGTGTCAATTTTTTTAGCAAACTATTTACAAATTATGCAAATTAATTATGGTACTAATTTACATACTTTTTTACAGTCCCCCGTCCTCCGCAATGGACAAGGTGACGCTCCTGGGAACAGCAATTACCGAATTCCACGCGAATAAAGAGAGATTAAAATGTGTATTAATGTACATAAATTACGTTTTGTTATCGTGACCCTGTTCAATTTGAAGATAATTTAATTACTTAGCTTATCTTGGTTGGTTAGCTTATCTTGACTGAATTTTTTTTTACAAACACCAAATGTTTTCGATATATCACAATATTAAATAAGTTTTAATTTCCGGTAATTTTTTTAGTCAAGAAATTAAACGTTAAATACAATTTTAGTCAATAAATAATATTTAAACGTGTTTTTCGACTGATTTGGTCTATTTTACAATTGCAAAAACATTCACTCCCAGTTTTATAAACTGTGTAAAGTAAAAATATTTATATTTTGTAAATTGTGCAAATTTAGTAACATTAATCATGTACAGGACATATACGAAATTTTTGCAAAATAATTAGAATAGATTTTTCACCATTTTTAGGCCTTTTAAGATGGCCTTATAGATTTACCCAGATGTCTGTCTGTCCGTCCGTCTGTGCGTCCGTCTGTGCGCACGATAACTCTCTTTAAACACATGCTATCGACTTGAAATTTTGCACACTTCATCTTCGGGCCAAAAGTAAGGACGAGTTCGGAGATGGGCATGATCGGCCAAGTAGTTGGCCGGTGGGGGTCTTTTCCACCCAAATGTGTTGCCACTAACTACCAAGATGGCATTAATGCCATCTTAAAAGGCCCCGCAAAGTTGCTTGGAGTAGGTTTTTCCTTTATAATCTTTGTAAACTGGTCAATTTTTTTTGTAATTTACTACATTACAAACGTCTGAACGAACTGGGGAATTTAGTCGACACACATTTTAAGTGAAAATTTTCGCTTGAAATTATTACAATTTTCCATAAAATAATTTTATGTTAAGCGATCTATGTTGTTCATTTTGCGGGGGAGATGACGCCAAATTATTATTATTACTCGTCGACATGCTTCGTTTCTGGGGCTCATCTCCGTCAAACTTATTTACCCTGGTGCGCTCAGCCTGCTCGGGCGGTTTGGTTTTGTCCTGTCGACACGAGGCGCAAGCGGGGTCGTTGCTGTCTGCCTTTTCTCGAGCGAAGAGGACGGTGTAGTAAATGTAGATGTGGAGGACGAAGATGATGAGGAGCATCTTGATCAGGCCGAACCATCGCGACACGGTCGCAGTCATCGCCTCTTTGGAGGAGGAGAGGCGAGATAACTCGATTATCTGAAAATTTAGGTCACAATTTTGGAAAAGTTTCATATTTTTCAACAAAATGGTGCTGAAATTGTGGAAAAATTGAAATTTTTTTGGACAAAACTGATCTTGAATTGTTAAACGATTTTAAGAAATGTGTATGGAGGATTTTTCTGAAAAAATGTGTAAACTTCTTGGAGCACAAATTTTTGTAAAACTTTGGAAGGACTCGAATTTACAGAAAATTTACAGGAACCAAAATTTCACAACATTTTAAGCAATGTTTTAAGCAGAATTAATGACTTTTATGCTAAAATATGTATGACCTGGTCTCCGAAAGGACAATGGTTTTTGCAAATGAAGGTCAACACCAACCCGGTCACGACAAGGAAAAAGGTCACCGTGAAGAGGATGCTCCACTAAAATAATGGTCACGATTATTACAAATTAGCACAATCCTTTTCGCCAATTTCGCGTGCCGAGCGACTTGTTTAGCAAAAAATGTAACATGTGGCGCAAACGGGGGGCATATTTAATGTCTTCTTACCACGATGACACTCTTCTTTGACGAGAACTCATTTCTGACCGAGAAGAAGGTGACCTGCACCAGGGTCAAGAGTGCGACGGAGCATCCCACCCCCACATAAACGGCGAGAGGAATGAGGAAATCTGAAAACGACTCGATTCCAGAGCAGCATAAATAAACCTCGAATCCGAGCAGGGCGATAGTGACGACCTGATAACAAAATTATGGAAATGACGACGACATTTAAAAAGATAAGATCTTATATGTACCAGAATTGGGAGGAGCCAGCACAGCAATGCCAACACTTGCATAGACCTGGCTTCACACATTTGCAACAACACGTGCAAATCTTTTTGCAACATTTAGCACAACAGCAGGATGACTTTTTCGATTCGGGTGGCATTTTGAAGGGACGCCCAGAAAAATTTTGCACGTGCCAAATTATCAAGAGGATGAAATAAATTATGCAAATTCGAAGTATCTTTAGTTACTGACTTCCGGTGAAAATGACTGATTTGTCGTCAAAATAATACTCATTTCAACTCATTTTCCTCATAATTTCCCAGAAATTTAGCTCCCAAAATGTCTAAAAACGTTCGCGTCTCCTCAAAGAAGGCGTTATTGCCTTTGCCTGAGAAACCCGCTGCCTCGCCATCCACTTCCGGAACCCGTCGTAAATCTACGTGGCTCACTTTGGACCATGATTCAGCAGCTCGAAGACGTTCCAAATCGATGTCACAGATTTCGTCGAAACCGTCGTCCATCCTTGGCCATCACCACCACGATCGTGACCGCTCCCCCGACGGCAGCGGCGGTGGTGGTGGGCAGACCATCGTCAATCCGAGAAGTCGCTACTATTCGGCGGACGTGGTAAACTTTACGAAAAAATATGGACTCATTAACGCCATCAAAATCCTGACCGTGGCGTGCATTGGATTAGGTGGGGATGAATATGTGTAAATTTACGCGTAAACTGTGTAAATTTTTTGTATGATTTTGACGCTGATAATGCGTTCCAAATAATTTTAAGGCTCGAATGGGTTTTTATCAGATTACATTCTAGTGAATTTTTAGCTTTTAGCAGATTTCTGAAAGATTTTTTTATAGATTTTAAGCATATTTTTCTACATTTTTACCAGATTTTTAAAACTTTTTATCAATTCTAAGAGATTTTTAGCACATTTAATTTTTATAAAGTTTTTTTCCAGTAGATTTTAACAGATTTTTACATGATTCTCAATTTTGCAAGTTTACAAAGATTGACATGAATTAAAAATTGTTCCATGTTAGGAATTTCGTTTACACAATTTTTTTCCGCGATTATACCAATTACAGGTTACTTACAATTCATTAACTGCTTAAAAATTTAGAGAAGTTTCTTTAACCCCGATTTTTGCAAATCTTGCCAATTTTGTAATACAATGTTCACTAAGGAAAGTTTATCTCCTTAATTAATTGGTCGCAGGACTGTTCACCACGCCGGGACGAATCTTCAGCGAGGTTCGAAATGAGGGAACGACGCTGCTCGTGTGGGGACTCTGTGGCGCTGGAGCGTTGCTCGGTTCCGTCGTTTACGTCGAGATGGGCGTCACTTTTCCTGCTTCGGGTGGCGATTATGCGTAAATATGCTAATTAGTCAATTTAAATAACGTGCTAATTAGTATCCAATTAATTTAAGTAATATGCAAATTATACTCTGCGCAGCTACTTGAATGAAGTTTTTGGCTCATCTATCGGATTCTTGTACCAGTGGGGAGCGAATTTTATTTTTGGGTGTGTCGTTTTAGTACTAACTTGCGCCATAATGTTATACTTTGACTATGGCGCAAATTAATGGACCTTATCACGAAGTTTGGTCTTATCTTATCTTGACGTGACATATTTTTTCTAGCCCTTGCACCAATGCAATCCTGGCATATGTCACGGCACAGAATTTGTTGGCCCCGTTTATCTCCAAGGATCAATACGTCGGGGTCACCATGCTTGTCGCAATTGCCGTGATAAGTAAGATAAGCACTTATCAAGACGATAGGAATTTCAGAATTTTTCAATTTGAGAATTTCAAAAATTTTGATTTTAATCAAATTACGAAATGAAATATGAAATTCCAATATTTTATTTGGGCTTTTTTTCAGTGTTCCTCTCGTACTTGGTGTCTGTGCGACCCACGTTTCCCGACGAGGTGCGAAATATGACCTTTTTCACGACCGTTTTCATCCTGCTGACCATTTTGCTTGGTGGGGTTGTCCACATAGCAAGATTTGGTTAGTGTATAATTAAAATATTTGCATATATTATAGCTTAATTTATTTATTACGAACTACCAACTTGCGCCAATGTTATATTATAACTATCAATGGCGCAAGTTAGGAAGAAGTGAAGTATTACAAACGCTGATCTCAGAAATTAATTCTATTTTTACTTGAATTAAAAAAAACTGGGATTAGATTAGATTTGGTTTAGATTTTCGAGATTATTTCTTCTTTAATTGGTCCACGATTGGGATTAATTAATATGTAATCCGGATTAATTTCGTGATGATAAGGATTAAAATAAATTCTGGATTACACAATTGTGTGCGATTTTGGGATTAACTAATCCGGATTAAAATGAATTAAACTTTATTTTTAGGTGCATTGACCCACACGCATTTCCGCATTAGAATAAACGACGTGCGGTATCCGAAGCCGACGCAAAAGTTGGGCAGCGTTTCGAACGTTTTGAAGGGGATTTATCTCGCCGTTTTCTCATTCTTGCCACTCAACACGCTCAACTTGATGACCGAAGAGGTCCGCGTCCCTTCAAAGTAGGCAAAAAAATACCATTTTATACAGATAAGGTCCTTCTGGTTATATTCACGATGTCGACGGGAAAATCTACGTCATAACCTTACGTAATTAACTAATTGATAAGTTAATTTTATGCATGAAGGACGCTGCCTTTTGCGGTGTTGGTTAGCATTCCGGTCGTCTTGGTGACCTATTTGGGCGTCACATTCCTCTACTTTGCCGTCCTGGATGAACAAATCGTGCTCGATAGTGCTAGCTTGCCAAATGTACATTTATAGAAAGTTGAACAATTCATAATTTTGCAGTGTGTCAAATTTTGACTGGAAATTTGTTCTGTTTTTGAAAATTTGTAGGCTTTAATCCAGCAAAGTTTCTTGACGCCGGGGTTCTATCCGTATACGGACGTCGTGATTCTACCATTGGTCGCATTCGTTGTCGGTGTCACGATGGCGGAAAGGATGACGACATTCGCACGGTGGGCGAAAGTGGCGAATTTTTAGTTTTCATACTTTACAGGAAGCCAAAATTTCATGAAAATTATAGTTTTTCGCATTTCATGGAATGCATTTTTTTGTATTTCATGAAATTACGATTGTAATTGAACTTGTATTCTTTGCATTTCATGGAATCCATTTTTTCTAATTTCATGCAAATTGCATTTTTTCTAATTTCATGCAAATTGCATTTTTTCTAATTTCATGCAAATTGCATTTTTTCTAATTTCATGCAAATTGCATTTTTTCTAATTTCATGCAAATTGAATTTTTTCTAATTTCATGCAAATTGCATTTTTTCTAATTTCATGCAAATTGCATTTTTTCTAATTTCATGCAAATTGCATTTTTTCTAATTTCATGCAAATTGCATTTTTTCTGGTATGATTTTTCTGAAATTGCATTTCTTATCAAAAATTCGGTTTTCTAAACAAACAAAAAACAGAATTTGAGATTGAACCAGCTTTTATTGCAGATTGATGTTAATCGGGACGAGGATGGGACACGTGCCGAAAATGTGCGGACTTCTCAGCGTGACTTCGTCCTTCCCCGTGGTGGCAGTGACATTAATGGTAACATATTTAAATATACAAACTTACCAACGCCAACAAATCGTTTAACTATGGCGCAAGTTACGGCGAAAGGAGTGAGTATATGAAGACATGAAGTATAAATTATGACAAATTTTTTGGCAGGCGTTGCTCTCCTGCTGTTACGTCGTCCTAATTGGATTTGTGGATTTGGAAACGTGGATGATCTTTGCGACCAACGTGAACCTCCCGTTCGTCGCCTTGTCCGCATTTTCCCTCATTTACATGCGCATCAACAAACCAGAGATACAGAGACCCCTCAAGGTGAGTATTTGTAAAACGCTGAATTTTGTACATTTCAAATGTGCAAAAATGTGCGTTTTTGGGAACAAATATTGTAATTCTTATAATTGTTTTCACCATTTTTATTAAACTGTACAATTGTTTGGATGGTTTTGACACCTCTTTTTAAAAAATGCAAAATTCTACAGGAGTTTCGCATTATTCTAAAGGTGAAAAAATCTTCCACGGTTTCGACACAATTATTTTTAAAATTTTGTAGGGTTTTAGCCACTCTTTTTTTTTAAAAATGCAAAATTCTGACTGTTTATACTAATCCAAAATTTTTGCATAATTTTTACCCTGTTTTTGTTTCAACTAGTTATCCAAAATACAGTATATTTAAAAAAATCTTTCTCTCTGCAAAATGAAACGCCAAGCTTTTTATTTTTCTCTTCTCTTAAATATCAACTAATTAAATAGTTAGTACATAAATGTCGTCTAAATTATCTACGAAAAATAAGTACTTTTTAATAATTGTATTTAAAAAAATTTGTTACATAAAAAACCTCGTATTTTTTCATATTTTGATTTTTCCGGGTTAGTTTTACCAATTTTGTGTGCATTTTAAAAAATTGATTACTAATTTAATCCATTTTTTTCCTGTCCAGCTGCCGCTCATCGTACCCACAATATTCGCCGGGATGTGCACGATCCTTTTCATAACGCCCATTTTCACGCTCCTTCTCGATGTCACCAACGGCATCAAGGATAACAAGAGGGTGCAAAAGTATGTCGGTTTCCTCGCCGGTCCGGCGCTCCTTGGCCTCACCGGAATTCCCATTTATCGCATCCTCATTCGTGGGGACAAGTCTCACCGCTGCATTCGCCTCGTACACGGTAAAAGTCGTCAATTTGCACCAAATAGTTTAACTAGGGCGCAAGTTAGAAAAAAAATCGCCTCGTGCACGGTAAAAGTCGTCAATTTGCACCAAATAGTTTAACTAGGGCGCAAGTTAGAAAAAACTTGCATCACTTTCGATATAACAAACTTAGAGGCAGAAGCCAATTTGTGTGCATAAAAAAAGTTGTTACCTTTGCAAACTTATTACGCCAATGTTATGGTTTTTAACTAGGGCGCAAGTTATAAAACAATTTTTGGCATAATTTACTACTCTTTTGTCAGTAAATTTTTGTTGTTGCGCCGAATTTTGGTTTAGATTTATTATGAAAATAATTTCAGAGTAAATGGTTAATGGTTAAACGCCGTTTGTAATAACTTTTGATAATTACATAAACGTTGTAGTATTTTTAGATAGTTTTATATCCGCACACAAAGATGTTTTTTTTGCATACATTTTTGCATACATTTTTGCATATATTTTTCCAAAAAAAAGACAGGTTAAATAAAAAGTTACTCAAGAAGTTCGAGAAAAAAATGCATAAAAATGCATTTTTTTTTACCGATAAGTGCGTGCATAAAAACAAAGTTGTTAACTTTGCCAATAAATGTTATGGTTTAACTATTTGCGCAAGTTTATGCAACAACTTGGCATCATTTCCTAAATAAAAAAATTCGAGACAAAAAGTTCATAATATTTTCAATTTTTTTCGGCGAAATAATTAAAATTGTGCCATTTTTTTACAGATAAATTGACCCTGTTGGCACAAAAGGTGTTCGTCGCCCTACCAGAAGGTGCCTTAATGAAGAATAAAAGACATAGCCGATAAAAAATATGGATAAATAAATATTTCTTTAATAAATTCGTTTAACAATATAACAACAATTTTTTAAATTTTCGTCTTTTATATAATTCACTAGAGGACTAAGTCGTTATTTTTTATTAGTGTACATATACGTGGATAAGGGAAATTCACCCTCTTTTGCACCATCCCGATAAGTACATAATTATTTTGCGTATCACAACAAAAAAATAGGGTAACAATAACATACATAACAATAATCATAATAATTGCGCAGCATTACGAGCACCATGAAAGTTAACGAGATACACAGCCTTTCAATTTCTCCTTAAATCTCACGCCAACACGTCGTTGGCACGAATTTCTTTTCATAAAGTGACTTGTTTTCCACTCTTGGCAAATATTTTTCTATCCAGTTATCACGGGTCAGGAGGATAAGAGTGGATTTAAACTTTCCTCTGCATCATCAGAATCATCGTCTCCACGACGGAATTTATTGCCCATGTTGATCTCCACACTGCCACGAGATCCTCGAGATCCGGACGGTGTCGGTGTGTTTGACGAGGAAGGTATCGCCGCCGCCGCCCCGTAATCTCCACCCGCTGGAATGTCCCCCGCCTTTCTGAGTGGACTTTTCTCGCCCTCTTGAAAACTGAGCTCTAACGGAGCAGCGACGTGGTTTTTGGTTTGGAGAAAATCGCCCAGATCGGAGAACGAGACAGGGGTTGCGGGACCAGAATCGGAATTTTCGGATTTTGGCGTGGATGCGGCGGCAAAGGCGTGAATCCATCCGGGAGAACAGTCCACGTAGACGAGTTCTTTTCCGTATTCGGATTTTAGCAGGGTCACGAGAGAGGTTAATGCAAGAACGACGGTGTAGTCGAATGTGTCCCACTTTTGGAAACTTAGCACGATTATGGGGACGGAGGGAAATTGGGTGGCTGGAAAGATAATAAAGATGGAAATTAGACATTATAAGAATTTTAATTTCATGAACTTTGATGATTTTTGGCAAAAATGGAACGATTTTTCTTAGGTGAAGCTATGGTGATCTAACGATTAAAAAACACCTAAGTATGCATTTACTACAACGTTCAAAACTGACAAAATCACATTACTTTACCATTTCTTAACCGATTTATGTGAAATAAGTTCCGAGAGTTAATTATGATGGTCTATTTTTGGATTCCAACTCTGGTCGGTTGTGAGCCTACCCATTCCTGAGATATTCTCAAAAAACAACCTCCAAAAAGTGACTTTGCTTTATACGAAAAAATTGAGGACCTAAATCAAAAATGTACTGTGAAAAAAAGTTTCTAAATATTTTTAGCTTTCAATTAACTTTGAGATAATCAAGATCGGATAAGAAATGGCCACAATATTCATAAATGCATGTATCATTGCTCACGTGGTGGTATTGCATATTGCTATGGTTCGTTGCTATTGCGAGTATTTTAATCGCACTTCCCTTGGCTAAGCCGCCCGTTTTAGGGATCTATCTTGTTACTTAAACACTTGAAGATTAACAAAAAAAATGTGCTCAAATGTCAAAACTCATTCCAAATGTCGAATAAAAATCGATTTTCTGCAAAAAAAAATCACTCCAAAACATTCAAAAACGGTAAAATTTATACTCATGAAACATGAGAATCAACAAGAAAATTATAACAAAAACCATAAAAAATTTTAAAATTGCATTCAAAACAACAATTTTCATATTTTCAAACTTTAGAAAATTTAAAACGTCACTCAAAACACAAACACTAGAAATTTTCCCTCAAATTTCTAGTCAAATTCAACAATTTCTAACTTTCTCCTCCCACAAAATATAAATTTCACACTAAAAAATCGTATAATTTTTTGTCGTAAAAAATTCACCCACCCAATTTAGCCACGCTGCTGCGAATATAATCCACACTGGGAAAATTGAGTCCACTCCGGTCGGGTTTAGCGTAAAGGAAATGAATATCAGAAACCGGGTCGTGCCTGAGCTCTGGGTCCAGCCCGGGCTTGAGTGACTTGAGGAGCAAGACGCCCAAAGACAGCGCCACGCCTAACATTATCCCGTACTCCATCCCGAGCAAAAGGGAGGCTACAAAGGTCGCCAGACAAGAGAGGAAGTCCATCCCTGCAGATAAGATGAGAAGCTAAAGGTTATCATGGCAAGAGGGTGTTCTGAATGTGTTCTGTAATTTCAACTTTTTCATTTTTTGATGATATAACCGACGGTCAAACTTTTTAGGTGTATCGAAAATATTTCAAAATATTTTTCATTATGGAATAGATTTATGTATAGGTTGTTTTCTGACATAAATATCTAGATTCTGCTGATATTTAAAAAATACGCACACTTTTTTGATATTTTTTTCAAAATACATATTTTGTAAATACTTCAACGACGTGAGACGAATTTAGTTTTTGCATGCAGATTAACGTATCAAAAATAGATACAAATTCATGTTAAGTTAAGGTTAGATAGAGTGCAAGGTTAAAGGTTAAATTATTTACGATTTATTATCCACATGACACGTAACGCCTTGACTTCAATCATTGGAATTACAGCGGAGATTATCACAGCAGCGAGACTAGCTTTCGGAATGTAGTAAAACGTCGGCGTCAAGAAGGAGAGAGAAAGGAGGACCAGGATTCCTGCAAGGGGTCAAAGTCAGGTCACTTAATTATACGTAATAACGCCTAGGGTCAAAGGTCAGTCTCATTATCATTGATATCTATGCGCTCAAAATCTACATTATTGTTGTTCTTGTTATATTTATTACGATCGACCTTTGACCTTACCAAATTTGTCATCAAGTCAAGGTGAAAGGTCAATCTTTCTTTTATTATCACAAAAAATTCAGATACATAGAAAACCTCCAAACCCTCTTGTCAGTCTACCCAAAATTTCACTCTATGATTCTATAATTTTTTATTGAAATCGACCTTTGACCCAGTTCAAAGGTCAAATCATCACCCACTCACCCGTCCACAACCCTCCCATCGGACTCTGCACCCCACTCGCCTCATTCACTGCGGACCTCGAGAAGGATCCAGAAATGGGAATCGCTCCAAAAAACGACCCCACAACATTACTAGCGCCCAACGCCAACATTTCCTGCGTGGCATCGATTCTCTGTCCACACGAGAAAGCCTTCGAAATCGCGACATTCTGTAAAACCGAGATCAACGCGACAATAACAGGTCCCGCCCCGAGGAGGGAAAACGACTGGATAACGGTATGACGTTCCGTTGAAGACGTGGAGTTTACGGGGAGGGCAAAACTTGGAATCGCGATGGGGGGAAAGCCACCCAAAACGGGGCCGGTCAGGGCGAAGGGGACCACGCCGGAGTAGAGGTAGGCCGTCAATGTTGTCGCGAGAACGACGAGGACATTGCGAGAGACGGAAATCAAGTAAAATATCTTCTTCAGAACGGTCCGTGTCCTGCTGTGGCGAGAAATTTGCAAGTCTTTGAGTCCCTAAAACAAAGGAAAAACAAGGCTTAAAAGGTTTTCTTCAACAAATTTTTGCGAATGTTGAAGGCTAACTATGGCGCAAGTTGGAAATAGATTGAAAAAATTCGAAAGTCTTCTAGCGTTACAGTTATGAGATCTTCGATTTAAAAGTTTGATCTGCATTTTTTTACCAAATTGCGCAAATGTTATAAATAATTTAAGTATGACGCAAAAGTCATACATTAATTAATTAGTATTGAAATTACGCACCCGCATGATCATCAACATTATGAAGGAACAGACCCCCATGACCGCGTCGGGCCAGCCAACGGAGGTAAAATTAGTCAGGATGGCGTCCCAGTAGCCGATGAATCCCGACCCTTTGGGACCCTTCAGGCCGAGCAGGTTCTTCAATTGGGAGGACACGATGGTCGTCGCCGCTCCCGCAGTGAAACTTAATTAAAAAGGTTAACAATTTCGTTAAAATTAGTTGAAATTAAAATTAAATCAGTCGCGTCTCGAAAAATTATATAAAAATGCAGCATTCTTTTCGAACTTACCCAAGCACAACCGGCTCAGAAATAAAATTTACTACCCAGCCTAAAATAAAAATCAAGAATTATAGATTTGTGAACTGCAAATTTTTAAATTTTAGTAAATCTGGGAATGAGACAGAAATCTCACCGACTGAGTTTACGAAATTTTGCAAAAATTTTAGAAAGAAACAAAAAGCAACTTCTACAAATTTTACGCAGTTTACGAAATGACTCAGCCCCAGATTATGAAAATCATGGGATGATCAAACGTGCGAAGTTGCATTTCGCAATTTTGGAAAGTTAAGAAAAATCTAATAGAGAAAAGGCACTCATTTCACAAAAACTGGGCGTTAGCCAAAAAATCTGTCCATATTTTTTCAAAAAAATTAATCAATTATTATGCAAATGAGTATATTATGCTGAAATACCGAGGTGAAGCAGGGCCATTACGAGTTCCCAGAAGCCAGAGTAGAACGCGGTGAGGATCGCGCACAGGGGAAAGTTTGCCCCACAAGTTTCGAACGTCAAGAGTCCCATTACCGCCGTCGGACCGATCGTAACTTGACGACACGAGCCAAATATCACGTACAAGAAACACCCCACGTACGAAGAGTAAAGTCCAAACTGTGGAAAAGATACTCAGAATTTGGAGAAACAAGGAGCAATTTTGCAAAATAATAATAATCAAATAATCATGTGCCAATTAAAATTCTATAAATCCTGAAAATTACATTTTCGAAATTTTGCGACTATGAAAATTAAGCATAAACTTAGGACACTCTCAAGTCTTTTTAGATTTCCATAATTGTGCAATAAAATTACATACGAATCCCGATAATATATAAAATATGAAACATGAATAAATATGAAATATGTTTTTAAACTTTGTCTCACCCTAAAGAAATTCTAAAATTTCCAAAATAATAATAGGTTTTGAATTCAAATTATGAAACGATTTTTCACCATTTTCGGATTTGTTCAACTATTATTTTTCAAAAATGTTTTAAAAATCATTGTACTATGTATGAGTCTCCGTATTTTTTAAATTTCGATAAAATGTACAATTTTGCAAATTCTTTCCATTGAAATTTGGCAAACTATAAATATTTTTTTTTAAATCGTTCAACATTTCAAAGTCTTGCTCACCTCCGGCGTAAGTCCGGCGATGGCAGCGTACGCCATGGATTGTGGAACAACGGTGAGTCCAACGGTCACTCCGGCGATGATATCCTGTCCAAACGCACGTCGTCCATATTTCGGGAGCCAGGTCACAATTGGGAGACGTTTCCTCAGTCCAGTTTTACATACTGACCAACAACGCCCCATTCTTCTCCCCCCGTCTAAAATGTGTGGGCCGTCGTCACCTATGCAAAACAATTAGCATAATATTTAATATTGGATTCCCTTCCGGTTTGTAAATACCAGCTTCTACGAATTAACGTAAAAAATAAGGGACAAGTGACGCCTCCACTTGCGCCACATGTTAAAAAAGCTGTGCATATAATGTTAAAGGAAAGAAACGTCAATTTTCCCTCTCCATTGCAATTACATAGCAATTTCCTTCCCTCAGGAGAAATCTTGTCAATGCGATTATCGTAAAAATAATGGATGCGGTGACGCCTCCATTTGCGCCACATGTTAAAAATCCTATTCATAAGATGTCAGAGTAAAAAAAATGTCGCTTCCCCCCATCGTAAATATTTCCCAATTTCTAAACCTGATCAATGCGAATTATCATTTAAAAATGTCCCACAGATTTTAAGTGACGCTTCGACTTGCGCCACACGTTAAACAAAAAAAACTATCTAAAGTGCCAGTGTAGAAAAAATGTAAATTTTTCTCTCCATCCAATTTCCTCCCCTTAGAAAAAATCTAGCCATAATCCTAATTAACTAAACTCACCCTTATCCCCAGCTTCTTTATCTCTCGACACCACTTCTGGTGTCGAATTATTATTGACGACACGTGTCATTTTTTAACCAAGACGAATCCCACCGACACGATCAAGGTTCAAGCACAGACTAAACGTATGACATCCTCTCAACCGGAAAATGATGATAAAGACGAAAATTAAGCGATAATCATGACACGATGTATTTCACCCCGGCCAGAAATAACTGGTCCCAAGAAAACTATGTTATTTTGCAGGGAAGGGATATAAAAAAATGATGATAATTTAACAAAAGGCTTGTGCTTAATAATTCTTATCGGAAATTGTGTTGACTTTTTGTCTCACATAAATAATAATGATGCTAAATTATCGAGGAGACGTGCCAGTAGACGAGACGAGACTGTAATTTCTTATTATTATTACGGCAAGATTATCCCGTTATGGGTGCAATTCTTATTTTATTATGCCTCCTTTGGCTTGCAGGCTAAATAATCCGGTAATAAATTTGGTAACAAAAAATCTCCTACTAATTTTGGTTGACGATCAAAATTTTGATTTTTTGGAAACTTTTTCGGCAAAAAAAATCGTTACCAATTTTGCTACAGCATTATTTAGGGTGCATGTATAAATAAAGTGAAGAAAGTAGAACGCATGCAGAAAGCCAGACCGGACGACAAAGTGCTCAACGCAGGGAAATATTTAATAGCATTCCTTTCAGATCCAATTTCCATACATGAATAAATTACCGGGAAGATTGACAGCATGCAAGAATTTTATTTACTTACTTGCGTAACTAAATTGTTATCATTACCATTTTATCTGTATGTCGTGTAAGTAGGCAGAGAAAGAAGACGAAATTTATTAGCAATGCGTCCCCCCAAAAGACGCTAATTAATTATATTATGTAACATGACTCACTATTTCTGCATGCAGAGGACTCATGCAAATCTAAAAATAAATAAAATAGAGATAAATATGTATGTAGATGAACAGAAGGAAGAATAAAATAAGTTAAGCTATTTGATACCTTGCGCCATAGTTAAACTAAAACATTGGCGCAAGTTGTAAGTAACGAGTCTAAGTATAAAGTCATCTACTGTTTATTGATAATAAAGAAACGCATATTTTTATGGGTATCAGGTGTGTCTATTTATACTTGACTCGTTGTTTCAAACTTGCGCCCATGCTATAATTTAACTGGCGCAAGTCGTGCACATCTAAAAAATAAATAAAATAAAGATAGATGAATGAATAAAATAAGTTACTATCAACAAAGAACAGCGTATATTTTGCGATAAAATCGAGCTTTTTACCAACTTGCGCCCAAGACATTGTAATTTACAATTTGTAAATTTAACTATGGCGCAAGTTAGAAGTGAGTTAAAGGATAAAGGCAGCTTTAATAAATATGTAATTGAATTAGTTCTATATTTTTTAAACCTTCGTCTTCATCGCCGCCATGATTTGAGAGAGGTGAGTCTGCTTGAGGAGGTGGTGGTGGTGGGGACGCGGGGGGAAGTCGAACCGCATGTCCGTTTCCAGTCGGTCGCGGGCCGGACCCAAATCCTCGCGAGGGGAAAGAAACTCGCATTCCGGGAGGCGATCAGATTTTCTACTTCTTTTTGTACTGTCAGTCTTCATTCATTCAGTGGAAACGCGAGACGAGGAGAGAATCTGAAATTAGGGGAAAAGTACAAACAGTAATTAGTTAACTGGTCTGGTTAATAAATTAATATAATATTTAACTAACTCTTGTGGAATAAAATGAGTAAAAACTATAATGAAGGAATTTGGAGAGGATTTTCGAATGACAGATTGGTTCGATTTACAAGAAATATTATCTTGGACCAAAACTGAGAAATTAAATTCTGAAAATAATTAAAAAAGGTGTCGAAAAACGTCAACAAACTTCCAAAATTGAAATAATAACGGCTAATTAATTAAAATTTTCCGAAAAAACGACTAATTTTGGACAAGAATTCAGTTGTGATTCAGTCACAAGATTCAGAATTGAGTTTGAACAATCTTTTGAAACTCATCTTCATACTAAACTTTTATGAGCATAAAGTACGAAGATAATGGAAACGGTGTCAAAGAACGCCTAAAAATTTCAAAATTAAAATAATCAGATAAATTTATCTTACTAATTTTTAAATAAAACTAATAATTTTTGACTTTAAAATTGTCATCTCAGATTCCCTATGTGGTTAGATGCTCATATGATCTAGATTGACTTTCATACATAAACATAAATAAATTGTGAACATAATGAAAACGGTGTCAAAACAAGTCAATATTTCTCATTTTTTTCGGAATTGAAATAATTAATTTTAATTACTCATTTTTTTTTTACAGAAGTCCCCTTGACCGTAGCTCTAATTTGATGAAGGCCTTGATACTTTGATCTTCGAGGGTGTCCAATTCCGCTAAAATTCGTTCCCTTCCCAATTCCGGATTGAGGTAGCGTTGCGTCAACCGCTCCACGTACTCGACCCACACGCAGTTTACGCACCCTGAGCGGCAACAATTCGTGGGAGCGGTGAGGTCAAGATTCCCGTCGTCAGAGTCGATCTGTTCTAACGTTGAGGAGAAGGTGACATCTTGTGGGGAATGGAAAGGTCGAGCGGGGTCACCGGAACCAAGGTTGATGGGAGATCCTTGTGGCTGAGGAGGAGAAGAAGGGGGTTCGTCAGGTGCGTAGAACGGGTCAACTGGTCGGATGTAGGTTTCCGTTATTCGAACTGGTGACGACGGATTGGGCGATGAATTATCCGATGATGGCAATGATTTTGGCTGATTTTCTGATGATTTCGACGATTTTGGCGGATTATCGTCCAACGAACTGCTGAAGTTCCTTTTAGCACAGTGACCTGACTTGGCCTTCTCAAGAATAAGGCGACCTTGACATTTTTGGCTGCCGTGTGAGCACAATAATTTTTGGAATGTTGTTTTTGACGAAAGGAAGACGAGGCAGCGAAGGGACATTAATTTCTGAAGGTTTCAATTTATGTACTTATTACTTTTGTGGTTAAGTAGTTTCCGAGATAATTAACTGACATTTGAGACAAATTAATTTAATTGGCTTTGTGGTGACTAGTTGAAATTTGGCAAACACGTTTCATTCAATGACAAGTTTACGGATTTCTTCGATTTCTTCTTCCTCTACAGAAAAAAAGTACAGAGGGTTAGATTATTGATACGCTTATCGGCTTATCATAAAATTATAACCAAGTTGATAAAATTATAATTACGTTAAATAATTAACTAACCTTTCTTCTTCTGTACCTCTTTATAATAAATGTGACATCAAATTGAGTCGTGCCTCGTGGATCAAATATTGTTTATTTAAGTACTGCAGGTTCTGAGTAATTAAAAAGTAAACATTAAACATTATTCATGACAAATTAATTCAACAAACTAAATATTGCTAATTTTAATTAGAATTTGTAATTAGCATTTCTTTATAAGAATCTTACCACTTAACTTCTTCGTCCTGTCGTGAAATACGTTATCTGATTCAGAATAATTAAATAATTTCTTAATTATCAATTCGTAAATTGTAAATCCAGAAAGAACGAAAATATAGATTGTAAAAACAACTTGACCTACCTCCGAATACACAAGAAAGCCTGACTAAATTTCAATTTCCTCACCTTTCCTCCTCCTTCTGGCGTATCATTCTCTTATCTCAAGACTGATAAGGACTTATCACTTCTTGTCACATGAAAAATCCAACCCGCTGAGAAACATGTGATGAGAAAATCTCACAAAATTTGAGATTTGTTCCCAAATTTCAGTCTCACTTTTCCGTCACCACCACCATCTGCCCGGCCACCACTGAAATTACTAGCGTTGTCTTCTTCCCACTTTTCCAGCAATCAAACAGCCGACAAAAAACTAAACAATAAATTTCCAAAGTTTCAAAATTTCCTACAAATTTAAATTACATACCATTAATTAATTAGTCAAAGTTTCTTAAAATTTAAAATTACTCCTTCTTCTCTCAGCGGTGAGTTTGACAAGGAAGGAACATTTATTTATTTATATATTCTTTTCTGTCATTTACCTTAAATACTTGTTTGTTACTTTGACGTTAAACTTATTCAATTAATTAATAGTGGATTGATAAGTACACAAACATCTGATCTTCTTATCTCCTGAGTGCTGATAAGCCCAACAAATATATTTACAAGATGCCGTTCGAAATGCGATCTTCGGGCGGTCCGAACACCAAGTTTTTGGAAACTCCGGAAATAATTGCACAATTCGATTCTGTGCGGACTTGGTTGAACAAAAATTATAAAAAGGTAGGGAATTGGTGTAAATATTAATTAAATGATCAGTTAGTTAATTAATTCCTTAATTTGCAGTATGTCCAAGCCGACCCGCCCACCAATAAGGGACTCTCCGGCCTTACCGGTCAACTCTGGCAGTTTCAGGAGGATCATTTCGGTCAAAATCAGGCTCGTCGACCTATGACGAGAATACCGGTGAGGCGGAAACTTATTTTAATTTTAATATTTTGATATTTTTCTTTACACCGGGTTTTCAATTTTTTTAGACAAAATTCTTCCTCGATTTTAAAACGGGTGGAGGTCTGTGTCACATTTTGGGAGCGGTTTATAAATTCAAGACGGAGCAGGCTTGGCGACGGTTTGACATTCAGGTGGGTGTGGTATTTTGAGAGTCAATTAGTTCTAAATCATGTCACGATTTGATATAAATTTAAATTCTGCATTAATCTCCGATTCAAAAAGTGTCAAAAACTGGTGTACCAAATTAATCCCAGATTTTACAAATATAATAAATTTGCCCAAACTAAATTTTAATATATCTTCCCTTTTAGGCGGCCGGAAAGGTTGATCGTCATGTGGAAATGTTCCTTCAAATTGAAACGGCCCTTCTGCAAGCGAAGATCTGGACCTTGCCCCGCATCTTCTTCACGCCCCTCTGCCTGGAAAAGGAAAAGGGCTCGATCAACAATTACAAAGAGATCGCGCGGAAACATAAAGCCTCCATCGTGGAGGATGAAGAGTCCGCGACCCACATTGTCTACCCCACCACCGACCCGGATGAGGAGTATGCACGGCCCGTCTTCAAAAGGGATAAATACGTCATGTTTCACTTCTACTATATGCCGGACAACAGGTGCGAATTCAATTGCTTTGTTAAATTGCAAAATTCTGCTATAAAATTCAAAATTTTACTATAAAATGCCAATTTCTGCTGTAAAATGCAAAAATTTCTCTTTAAAATGGAAAATTCAGCCTTAAAATTCTCTAAAATCACAAACCCAAAATTCCATTAAAACTTAACTGGGTAATTCTAGGGACACCTGGGAGAAGTGTGACCTGACCCCCATCGACAAAGTCCCCCCAGACCAGCTGCCCCACCACTTAATCTCCGCTGCGGATCACAAATGGCGCGTCGCCGCCAACTGGCTGACCGACATGGAAGATCACAACGAATGGATGAACGAGGAGGACTACGAAACGGATGAGAACGGCGAAAAGCTGACTCATCCCCTTAGAATGACCTATGAGGACATGGAGGAGGTCGAAGGGGGCGGCGAATCCTCCACCGATCAAAAGGTCAAACCCGGAAAGAAAGGGAGAGGCGGAGGTCAAGCCGACAAGAGGAAACGGTCACCATCTCCACCTCCAAAAAATAGTGGGAAGCGGACAAAGAAGGGCGCAGCTGGGGGAGCGGGTTCCAGCGCGGGGGCTGCATCAACTCCGAGCAAACAAGGCGCTAGTAAAGCGGTCAAACCAGAATTGGAGGATGATTATTCACGTGACTTTGATGACCCTCCTAGCGAAAACACTCTCACGGAGGTTGCCGTTCCAAAAGTACCGGTTAAAAAATTGGAATCGGATTTTACTCCGGTGAAGGGTGAGTATAAAATTTATAATAATATTGAAAAAATTAAAATTCGTGGTGAATTTTTGTAAAATTTTGCAAAAAAACGCAAAAATTCTCCGGGTTAAAAATTCAGGCGTAAAATAATGCAAAATTCTGTTGTAAAATTTAAATTCTTATCCAATATTATATTTTTCCTGTAGGTGGAAACCTCGCCGATTTGGATGAGGACACTCCGCCCGCGGACAAGGGTGACCTCGACCTCGTCAAGATGCCCGACCTCACGAAAGGTACCGATCGTGAGAGTGGCTACGGAAAAGAGGACGCCGCCGAGGACAACGTGACCGAGCAGACACACTGCATCGTCATCCCTTCGTACGCCTCGTGGTTTGACTACAACTCGATCCACACGGTGGAAAAGAGAGCACTTCCAGAATTCTTTAATGGGAGGAACAAATCCAAAACGCCGGAAATTTACCTGGCCTACAGAAACTTTATGATTGACACGTATCGTCTGAATCCAGACGAGTATTTGACTGGAACAGCATGTCGAAGGAATTTAGCCGGCGATGTGTGCGCGATTATGCGGGTGCACGCTTTTCTAGAGCAATGGGGCTTGATCAATTATCAGGTGAGCAAGGTCATTTTAAGATGAATTTGTGTTGCCTTGAATTAATTCTGTAACCTTTGTAACCTTAGATTGACACGGATAACCGTCCCACCGCGATGGGGCCACCACCAACGTCTCATTTCCACGTGTTGGCCGACACTCCGTCCGGTCTGCAGCCGATCAATCCTCCCAAAACGCCGCAGCCTTCGGCAGCTAAACAACTGTTGGATTTGGACAAGAAGAAAGACGATGAGAAAAAGGGGGATGGCACCAGCGGTGGCGTTGGGGGGACGAAATTGGGGACAGATTTCGGTCTAAAGATCGATCAGTGAGTGTGAATTACGAGTTATGATTTAAAATTAGCCAACCACAAAGCGGATTGGAATAATCCGATTATTCCAAAATGTCTACGATTATTATAATCGTAGACATTCCTAGATAAGCATTTAACATGTATTTGCGAAATATGACCCGATTTAGATTTTTGAAAATCTGAACAATAATCAGGATTATTTCGGAAATCGATTTTATACATAGTAAATCCTAATGCATTTTTTCTTTTGCATTCTTTCAGGTACAGTAAAAAGAGCGCCGTTCTAAAGAACAAGAACGTCGCCGCGATAACACGTGACTGGACCGAGCAGGAAACCCTCTTACTTTTGGAGGCGCTCGAAATGTACAAGGACGATTGGAATAAAGTTTGCGAACACGTCGGCACAAGAACGCAGGAAGAATGCATTCTCCACTTCCTCCGTCTACCGATAGAGGATCCCTACTTGGACGAGGGGGTTGTATCCAGCACCACAAATTCGTCACGAGGTGCTCCCACAATCCTCGGGCCGCTGGCTTTCCAACCGATCCCATTTTCCAAAGCGGGCAACCCAATCATGTCAACGGTAGCGTTCCTCGCGTCCGTCGTAGATCCAAGAATCGCCGCCGCCGCGGCGAAATCCGCGATGGAAGAATTTGCCAAGATTAAAGACCAAGTTCCTACATCCCTGTTGGACTCGCATATGAAAAGTGTGGCGAAACATGCCAAGTCGACAGGGAAGTTTGACGCAGCTGCAGGTCTGAGTGACAGCGGGATCGCGGGGACAGCGCTGGATAAGAAAAAGGAGGACGCCGAGGCAAAAAAGAAGGACAAAGATAAGAAAGATAAGGATGAAACGAGCGAGAAAACTATTAAAAAAGAAGTCGAGGAAGAACAAGACGACAAGAAAGATAAGAAGGGTGACGATGAAAAGATGGACGTCGACGGGAAAGAAGGTGACGTAGTAAAAGCGGAAGTTGATAAGGTAGCTGATGCAGAAAAGCCAAAGGAAGACGACAACAAAGAGCCCGAAGACAAAGTTTCTGACGACTCAGAGGAGGACAATTTAATGAAGGATGCCAACATTCAGGCCGCCGCGTCAGCCGCACTTGCCACGGCCGCCGTTAAGGCGAAACATTTAGCCGCCGTGGAAGAAAGGAAGATCAAAAGTCTCGTCGCTCTCTTGGTGGAAACCCAAATGAAAAAGTTGGAGATTAAATTGCGTCATTTTGAAGAGCTGGAAACAATTATGGATCGTGAACGGGAGGCGTTGGAGTATCAAAGGCAACAATTGATCGCGGAGCGACAGCAATTTCATTTGGAGCAGCTGCGTGCAGCGGAAATACGCGCGAGACATCATGCGCATCAAAGATTGCTGAATGAACAGCAGCAACAGCAACAAGCTGCCGCTGCGGCGGCGGGGAATAATCCGGAAGCGGCCGCGGTGGCGGCGGCGTCGTCCGTGGCGACAGGGGGAGGAGCCGCGACGAATGGGTTGCCACTACCTCCACCCGCAGCACCACCAGCGCCACCGGTGGTGGGAGGGGCTGGGGGTCAACTACCCCCGGCCGTTCCAGCGCCCCCAGTACAGTAAATTATTTAGTGGGTGAATTATTTGATTCTTAATTGTGATGATGATTAGTAATTCACGGCAATTAAGTTTTAATTAATTATTTAATTAACTGATTTCTTATATTCTAGTGCAAAAAAGGTGTTTTTTTATATAAATATTATCCTTTCGTGTTCCTCTTAAAGTTTGGATGGGATTTTGTGGTGGATTTGATGTGTACATTTATGGTGAATATAATTAAAAATGAATTATACAATTAAGGGCCCGGGGGAAGATTTACTTGATTTTATGTTAGCAACAATAATTGCCAGGGCCCCAAGATTATTATCGCTCTGTTAGGTTACGACCACAATTAATTGACACCGTTTCTATGGGACACTCACGTTCAAAAGCTTTGGTTTTGTCACTGCTTTTGAAAAAGTTTCCCTCAAGTCCCTCAAGTTTTTGAAAAAAGTTGTTTCTTTTGTTCCATGGATACTCAAAATGCAATTCCTGCCATTAATTTGGCAATTCTAAGCCAATTTGTCCTCACTTTACGACCAAATATCTCCACTGCACAAGAGGGCAGATCGTCAAAAAAAACTCAAGTAAAATCTAAAGATATGATTAACGCATTAAACATAATTTAAAAAATCTGCCCTCTTGTGCATTGCTGAATTTTATCGTCAAAGTTGACGTGATTTCTAAGCAACTTCCCCCAGGCCCTTAAATTGTGACCGTAATTTGTCGTGTTGATATATTAATAAATAATTATCGATGTGTGTAATTAGAATCCTTATCGAAGAGATCTGAAGGTTAAATTAATTGATTCCAGCTTAAGAAATATTTAGTTTTTAATTGCTAGAATGAAGTTTTGTACAAAGAAAAGTATTTGTGTTTAATTACAATTAAAATGATTTGCTATTATGACTTTTTCGCTGTTTTTACTTTAATTAATCTTATTTAATTAAGTCGTAATAAGTATTTGTAAAAATCCCGTTTTTATTCATAACAAACTAAATAAAAGTAGAAAAAATATCGAGTTTTTTTCTTCGTCCGAGTTATTAATATGGGTCAGATTTGCATGTGACAATTGACATATTGCTTATCAATCAATGCTTATCATCATCTCACTCGGGTAGCATTTCATTCATGCAAATAATCTCATCTCAAAAAAAATCTGTGGTGGTGGTGGTGGTGGTGGTGGTGGCCACGTCAAATCCGAAATCTCTCAACTTCTGCTGCTCACACAAGCTGATTCTTTTGACAGTTTTCTATTTATTTATTTGCAAATATTTAATTTACCTGTTCAAACAGTTAACAGAGTAATAAATTATTAATTGTGGTTAAATTTTTCATCTGCTAAGTGTTAGTTTACTTAAGGATTGGTTAATTGTGATTGGCATCAGGTGAGTGAGCGAGGTGAAAGAAACCGCAATTATTTTGACAGAGATTTAATATTTTTCATTACTAATTGTAATTTACAATTGGTAATAAATTTTGAATTATGGATCTTTTTCACAGCGAAGGACCGAACAAAACGGGACAGAGAACTATTTTTGGACCAGTCAAAGGACAAGGACATTAATTACTTTTTGATGCCGACGGGACGACAAATTCGCCACGATCATCGCCCCCCATCTTCGATAAGGAAGGCAGTGGTTCCTTGACGTCTTCACACTTTTGTGGATAGGTCTTCCTCATCCACGTCGCTCTTGGCCCGTTGTTGTTCTTATCTTCTATGTTTGACTGGCTGTACTCGTCGTCGCAGTAACACTCCTCCTCGTCACGTCGGGGTCGAAATGGTCAAAATGGACTTGAAAAAGGTCTTCGTCATCGGAACAGCCGGTTTCGTCGTGATTTCGCTTGGTCTCTTTTACGTTCTCACAAATTCCACGAGAATCACGTCAGGGCGGAGTCAGCGTGAGGTGAGAGATAACGATTAAAGATAGGTTGCTAATTAATTAGGTTTTTATTTCGAGCTTCGCACTTCTGAGGGTTTGGATTTCCAGGAATGTTATACCCACAAGTAGACGAGAACCTACAAGGAGAAGCCAACAATCCTACAAAAATACGTGTTTTGTGAATAATTTAATTTTTTTATAGTTGTCAAAATACTTTATTTAAAAAAATTTGAAAACACGATATTTTTATAGCGAGGAAAAGTTAATTGTTTCACAAAAACTTGCATTTTCGTATGACTGCTGCCTTCTTGATGTAAATTCTCGTCTTTTTGTGGCTGGAACGGTCCCTCCAACCTGCAAGCCCTCGGAAGAACGGAGCTTAAAATACTGTATTTTGGCCATCCCTATATTAACTTCATCAATTAACCTTTACTTATCTATAGGTCAATCTGGAGAACATGGAGAGGAAACTGCAGTCCCTCGAGGAGGCGTTTCAAAGTCATAAAATGTCGATGAAAGAGTTGGAAAAACTCGCCATGTCGCAGCAGCAGAATGGTGGAGACCATCCTATCGTGGAAAGCCCACTCGACAATAATAACATCGACGACAACCCCGCCGCCGTCGCCAAGAATAATAATGATGTCGTCAAAATTAACAACAATAATAATGCCGCTTCCGCCGTTGAGTTGGGGACTTGTTCTGCCTCGGTCGGTTTGAAAAACAAGGCTGCGTCTGACTTCAATGTAATTGATTAATCATAATTCGAAGATTTGGGATTATTATTTGAAATATTTGTGTATTGTTTTAGATGTTGGACGTTTATGACCTCATAAAATTCGACAATCAAGACGGTGGTGTTTGGAAGCAGGGTTTCAAGATAAATCCGGATTCTAGTCGATTTACAGAGGCAAATAAACTCAAAGTTGTCGTGATTCCACATTCGCATAATGATCCAGGTTCGTTTTCCCATAGATTTTAAACGAATTTTTATAAAATGTTACCATTTTTTTTTTGCACAAAAACCAATTTTTTATTTATTTTCTAGGTTGGATCAAAACGTTCGAAAAGTATTTCGAAGATCAGACGAAACACATTCTTGACAACATGCTTATCGAGCTGGGGGCAAATCCTGACCTAAAATTCATCTGGGCAGAAATTTCATATTTCAACCTTTGGTGGACGGACCTCTCGACCGCGCAGAAGAAAGCTGTCCAAAAACTCGTGGAAAATAAGCAACTCGAGTTCGTCACGGGGGGTTGGGTCATGCCGGATGAGGTAATAATTTGGAAAAAAATGCATGCAACTCTTAAATCGCAGCTCGCAAACAAAAATCGAAAACCGGTTTTCGAGCGTGATGAAAAACCGGCTTTTACCAAAGATTAGACTTAAACAGTAAAATTCAAAATCGTTTTTTCATAAGTTTTGCACAATCGGAAAAACCGATTTTGGATGACCTGTGACCTTGACCTATCTTTTTTATTTCAGGCAAATTCCCACTACTATTCAATCTTAACCCAATTGACGGAGGGTCACCAATGGTTGAAGGGTCATTTGAACGTTACACCAAAAAATGGGTGGGCCATCGATCCGTTTGGCATGTCGCCCACCATGGCGTACATCCTTCGACGGTCCGGTCTCGCCAATATGCTCATACAACGGACCCACTACGCGGTCAAGAAACACTTGGCCAACTTACAACAACTCGAGTTCAGGTGGAGGCAGGAGTGGGGTAAGGAACATGAATAAAAAATCTGGAAATTTTTGAACCAAGATTCCAATTTTTTTATTAAAAATTTCCTGCAAATCTAAACAAAAATGAGAAAACGTGTTATCTTTAAATTTTATGAAAATTGAGATAAATTGTTCTTCCAGATGATGCCGATTCTACCGACATTTTATGCCACATGATGCCCTTTTACAGCTATGACGTACCACACAGTGAGTTTTTAACACCATTTTGACAAAGTTGATCATGTTTTCGTTTTTTTTCTGACAAATTAATTTCAAAAATGATTTCAGCTTGCGGTCCTGATCCCAAAATTTGTTGCCAATTCGATTTTAAACGTATGCGAGGCGTATCGACCATGACATGTCCGTGGAACGTTCCCCCGCAACCGATCGTAACCCAGAACTTGAGGGAACGGTAAACCCAGAAATTAATAACATTACTATTGAGATTTTTTTACTTAGATTAAATTTTTCTTAGATCGCTCACGTTGCTGGATCAATATAAAAAGAAGGCGATGCTCTTCCGCTCCAATGTGTTGCTCATCCCACTGGGCGACGACTTCCGATGGGAAGACAAACCTGAATGGGACGCTCAGAGGACAAACTATGCCAAAATTTTTGACTACATCAACTCCAACAAGGAACTCAATACGGAGGTACTAAATAGCTACATGTGAAAGATCGAAGGGATTTGAGAGTTTTGTTAATTTTGTGGCATTTTTGTCTTAATTTTCTGTAACAGATCGGATTTGGGACGTTGGACGATTACTTTGCCGCTTTGGGTGGTGAAATGACTTCCGGTAGGTTTATCCCGAACGTTTTGTCCGGAGATTTTTTCACCTACGCGGACCGAGACGATCACTATTGGTCGGGCTACTTTACCTCACGCCCATTCCACAAGGCCATGGACCGCGAACTTATGGGTCACCTTAGGTCAGTGAGATTTCAAAAATTATAGGATATTTACGTCAACTTTTTGTAAAGTTCGCAAAGATTTGCGAATTTATTCGCCAATTTACTTGCTAATTTACAAAGATTGGCGTGAATTGTCTTAATTTATATCAGTGAAGTCTTAATTTTTATCTGCAGAGCCGCCCAAATTCTGTTTACCACTATGTCAGCCGAGTTGAGCAAGAAGAAGGGGGTGACCTTGGGGGGAAACACCTTCGTTCGAAGCTTACTGGGCAAATTGATCAATGCACGAAGGGCGTTGAGCCTGTTTCAACATCACGATGGTAATTTTTTAAGAGCGAAATTTATTAAAAGTTTACAATTTAACTAAGTAATTCTGGATGTCCAGGTGTCACTGGGACATCGAAGGATCACGTGATGGTCGACTATGCACAAAAGTAAGGCCAAGATTTACGTAAAGTGATGCGATTTGGGGTCAAATGTACCGTTTCTGGTTAGAGATTTGAGGTCAAAAATTTTGACCTCGTAATTTGACCATTTGACTGTTAATTTGACCCGTAATTAATATACAAAAATAAGATTTGACCGTTTAAAATCTCAGGAAAAAAATATTTTTGAATTTATTAATGAATTTCACCTGTTGACCCTTACAGACTTCATACTGGACTCAACGCGTGTAACCACGTGATGCAGAAAAGTCTCGAGGTCTTGACACACTTAATGGACGAGTCCTTAAATCTGGAGGCGCTAGAGGCAGGGGAGGAGCACCAGTTTGAGCCCGCATTCTCAAAAGACCACCACCATGCTTTGCCACACCACTCGATCATCACCCTCGACGGGGAAGTGACGGACCGTTTGGTCACCGTACACAATCCTGGAGCACATGCTCGCACCATGATGGTTACCCTGTATGTGTCCACGTATTATATCAAGGTGGGTCTAATGTCAACGTACAGGAAAATGTTGGCTTTTGTAAATTTGACATCATTTGGTTTCGATTTTTAAAGCAAGATTTGTTGTTTGAGGAGAAAATATAGATTGCTTAATAGATTTTAAAATGGCTTTTTGAAATTTAGATTGTGTATTATTGTTTGTTTGCCTAAAATTAATTTTTTTATGAATTTATTCAAGTTTTATATTGTATTTGGATTCGATTCTTTTATAATTAGGGTTTTAAGTAAAAATTTATTAATAGATTTTGTGTTTCCGAAATTGTTTTTGACACTATTTTTTGTATCCCTATTTACACAGGTGGTTGACATTGAAGGTGAAGTAATCGAGTCTGAAATCCTGCCCGTGTTCGAAGACCGCACAACTCTCTCGTCAAACACGTTCCAGCTCAACTTCGTCACCGAACTGGAACCCATGGCCGTCAAAAACTTTATCCTAAAACATGACCCCACCGCGTACGACAAAAACTTAAAACATTTCAGATTTCAGAAATCTAAGCAGGATTTTAAAAAAATCCAATCATTTTTTCTCTAGGGTTGTGGATCCCCCCGAAATCACGGTGTTCAACTCCCCATCGGAAATCTTTGACCATGACAAGTTCAAAATTCAGAGCGTGTACGCCAACACGGATCCCATTTTCATTTCCAACGACCACTTGACTATCAACTTTGGCGAGACGGGGTTTGCCAAATCGGTCATTTTGAACGAAAAAGAGATTCCGTGGGAGGTCGCGTTCTATTCGTGAGTGTTTTTTTACACGTGGTTTGCTAGTTTTCTGTACGAAAAATTGTGGTTAAAATTCGAAAATAGGGGCTACAATTCGGATTAGATTCGTACAAAGCAATAATTTCAAGGAAAAGAATCGAATTTATTAAAAATTTATTTTGTGTGTGGCGCAGGTATGGCGTTAGAAAAGGGGGTGAAACTTCCGGTTTGTATCTTTTCATTCCGGACGGTCCCGCCACCCCGTTGGACGTTGGGACCAAACCCTTCATCAAAGTCGTGAAGGGCAGGTTCCTCAGCTATGTGGAAGTTTGGACGCAACAAGTCAAACATCGCGTCGAACTCTACAATCATCCTGGTAATGAAATACGTAAATTACAATTTTGATATATGTAGCAAAATCAGGAAATCTATAAAAAAAATTAAAATTGTTCAGATTGAAACAATTGCTAAATTGTAACGTCAAAAGTACAATTTTTCAAGATTTTTAATAATCCAGGAGTATCAACAGATAGATTATTAGACTTGTGATTCTAATTTCTCAAAACTTGTCTTTATTTATTTTCAAATGTCAATGTCAATTCCCTCAAAACAACTAATTTCCTCCCTCTTTCCCTTTTTCCAGGATTTGAACGCCACGCCATCCGACTCACGAACACCATCGATATCCGTACCGAGAGCAATTTCGAGCTCGTCATGCGTCTCAAAACGTCCATCTCTTCCGCCTCGTCGCACACGGATCTCAACGGATTTCAAATGGTTCGGCGCAAACGTTTAGCTAAACTTCCCCTGCAAGCGAACATCTACCCGCTCCCGGCCGCCACATATATTGAAGATTCCTCCCTGCGTATGACTCTTCTAACGAGACAACCCGCCGGAACTGGATCCCTGTCCGATGGCGAGGTCGAAGTCATCTTGGACCGCAGACTTATGCAAGACGACAATCGTGGCGTCGCTCAAGGCGCCAAGGACAACTTGGAGACCGTCACGGCATACAATGTCCTCTTTGAAGAAGTCCGCTGTCACGATGGGGACGTCGGCGAGGGAAAAAAGGCGGGCATGTTGTCACTCGCCGGACACGCAAGCTTGCACGATCTACTAAATCCATTCAGAACTTTTGTCAAGCCGGGCGTCGTAACGGTGGAGGCGTTATCGAGGCTGGCGGATTATTCGCCGAGGGGAAAAATGGGGTCGCTGGATGACCTCGGGTGTGACATTGAGTTAGTTGACATGACCTCCCTGCCCGTTTATAAGGAAGCATTGGATGACGCCTCGTACGAGATGGGCAGCGAGGCGGGCGTAACGTTGAGGAGGGTCGGGTTTGATGGAAGGTTTTTTAACGGGGGGATTCCCATGGGGAGATGTAGCGTCGCAGAGGATAGGTTGGGACGCGTAAGTAGTAATATATTATGCTAATTTATGCTAATTTTAGCCAGTTAATTAATAAAGTGACCTTTTATTTTACAGTTTCAACTGAAGGAGTTGGTGGGTGACCTTTTTGCTCCCAAGTTGACCCAGATGACCTTGTCGTACACTCATGAGGGGAAAACGTTAACATCGGACGAGCCAATTTTGATGAAACCGATGGAAATTTACGCGTTTAGGACGTACTTTGTGAAAAAGTAGGAATTTATTTAATGAACTGTTGAAGGAATGTTGATTAATTAAGTTTGGTGGAAGTCAGAATGTTAATTAGTTCAGGTTAATTAACTAATTAAATGGTCGAAGTCAGGTTAAAGTTAACTGTTGTCTGTGATGTTTACTCAATTTTTGTAAATTTGTGACCCATTTTTTTAACGTGATTATAATTTATGACTTTTTGGAACTTTGTAAATAACGAAAAATCCTAGAAGTTTATGAGCAGTTATTTAAAGTTAGTCATGGTGCTTACCTATAATGATAACCTCGATGTATTATTATTATGATAACCCTGCAACGGTTTGCTTGCAAATTAATTAATTATAATTATAATTAAACTAACTAATTGTTGTTACCATGTTTTGTACTGTACTTTGTAAATAGTAGATTATACAATCAACCTGCGCCAAATGTTATTTTATAATTTAGCTGAGTGAAACGCAGCTATTTAGTCGCAGAATTAGAATTGAAGCTAGATAATTGTTAAATGATGGATGTGCTTAATTATTAATTAATAATTAAGTTAATATAAGATGACAAAAAACTTCAAGATTCCTAAATGTTTGTAAATTATCACAAAACTCAAAAGTATTTATTCACCCAAAAACATTCAAAATATAAAAAAAGAACAAGAAGAAGAACAACATACACGAATACGAGAACATATTACAATGATGAACAATTTAATATGTAAATTTAATATTTAACGAGTTGTTACCAATTAATTATAATATTTAGTTAATCATTATTAAGATCATTCTTGTTGTTTGTTGTTTGTTACCAAAAAATGGGACGAAATACATTTAATATCTCGACAAAAAGAATTATAGAATGTTGAAAGTTTCATTACAATTTTGGGTGTACATTTCTTTTGGAAATTTTTAATTTGCATATTATTCGTGATTTAAAAAGAAGACAATGTAATTTACATATAACTCGAAAATCGAGATTTTAGACGGAAAATAGTTTGAAATTGCACTCGGAAATATTAAAACGAAGAAAAGCACTACATTCTGGATCGAATTTTGACCGAATGGTGACAAATTTTGGATAAATTATTCACTTTTTTCAGGAATATATAGATATCACATTACACACGTATTTATTAATAATATTTAATATTTAACTATCGTCTCGTCAATTAATTAGTTAATTATTTATAATTTTTCGTCACACTACGTACATATTTCGTGTTACTACTTATTATGCGGTAAATACTCTCAAGTTACGATAATTAGGTCACACAGAGAATCAAAATGGACTCCTTTTTAATCTTTCGTCCGATGGCAGGGCAGCATTTTCTTATTTCGTGGTAACTGGAAGGAGATTAATGAAGATCAAAATTATTTCATACAAAAAAACGCGTCGATTTTGTTTTTAGAAGCGTTTTTTTTTCTTAAAATTTCTGAGGAATTTGAAAAAAATTAATAATTGAAGCTCTTGATCTTCTCATTCTTGCTGCGCACGCTGCGTCGAACTCTATCCCGTTCCAGTTGCCAATTATTCTTGGCCTTTTTATTATTCAGGTGACCTTTGTTGACCTCGTCGTCCCTCATCTCGGCACGCACCTTGGTCCGCTCGAGAAGCCAGTTGACATCGTCCTCCTTCTTCTGCTGGGCGGTGTCGTGGTATAAATTTCCTCCATTTTCTTCTCCGGAGGAGGATTTGTGGTGATTGTACTTTCTCCTCTTGTGGTCATCATCGTCGTCCGAGTCGAGGTCAAAGTTGACGTTGTAGCCGGTCCGTTTATTATTATTGTTGTTGTGGGGTGGTGGAGGTGACTTTGACCTTGACCTGCGCTTTTTCTTGTCCTTGTTCTCGTCACTTTTCTTGTCCTTGGATTCTCCGCTGGCTCGTTTTTTCTTGTGGCGACGATTTCCGTTTCCAGATCCAAATTCGGAAGATTCAGAGTCACGTCGGGACGATTTTTTGGATTTTTTACCCTTTTTCGCTACCTTCTTGAGTTCTGGTTCGGGTTCTTTTGGAGGGGCGGGAGTAATATTGAGGTCAACTTTTTCATCTGGGGTGACTACTTCTTCAGGAACTTTGACCTCGTCAGTTTCTTGTTCTTCCGTGGGTGCCATCCAGCTCTGAAAATCGAGCAAAGTATCGTCGTCACCTTCATCGTCACTCTGTGTGTTGTACTGTTTGAAGAAGGAGTCAATATCGTCATCTAATCTGTCGCCATGATTGTCGCTATTTTTTGGGAGGAACTTGAGCCGTTCTTTTTCCACGTCGATTTCCGCTTTGAAGGGATATTCTTCCATGAAAGTGTCATACTTGGATTTGAGGGCAGTTTTCTCGGCTTCTGAGTAATCTTCGGGGCGACGTTCTTCTGCCAAACCGAGGATTTTTTGTTCCCGAAGTTCGTCCCGTTCGCGATGGATGAAGGCTTCGTGGGCTGTTTTGAAGACGGTGAGACTGGCTTCAATAGTTCGGATGGAGTCTAATTCTTCAGGCGATTTTTCTCGTTTGTCTGGAAAAAGGAAATTTTTAGTGAGAAATTTTGAAATTTTAGGAAATTAGTATTAATATTGCTGGTCAGAATTTCTGTGAAACGGCAAAAAACAGATAAAATTAAGGACAAATCCTGCAAAATTTGAAGCTGATTGTGTGATACTTTTGTTAAAATTTAATATCAAAAGTTGCCCGAATTTTTTTTAATTTTCCGAAGTTTGTAAAAAAATCCAAACATTAAGTGTCGAAAATCCTCTAAAATTAATATCTTAATTTTGCGTTAATGTTGCCACATTTGTGTCAAAACTTTAATATCAAAAGTGTCCAAAATTTTTAATTAAAAAAAATTCCCCAAAAATATACGCAAATTCGTCTCCCCCATTATTTTGTCCTCTTTCCTTACCCGTAAACAACTCTGACGGATGGATGTCCTCCCTTCTCATGCGTTTCTCCAACCTTTCGAGATGTTTAAGTTCATCCTGTCGTGTCAAATAGTCGACCGTTTCTTCAATCCCGTCAATCAAATCGAGTACGAAATCTTCCTCCTCAGCCTCCTCCCACTTCTTGGCTTCCTCCTCCTCCTCCTCACTCGGAAAAGGGTGCATCACCTCATCGACAAGATGCCCGCCCTCTTCCTCGTCGTCAAAATTTTTTCGTAATGGCAGTCTCGTTGGGGGAGGGGGCGCAAATGCTTGGTCGTCATCTTCCTGGTGGTCATTATTATCCTTCATAACGACGACGCCACCCATTCGGCGCGTGTGGTTTTCAAAGTTGTCAATCTTTCTCTGCAGCGAGTCCAAAGTTTGCACGATTTTTGATAACGTTTGCATCTGAGCGGTGTACTGTTCACGGTCCGTTTCAATGTCGGGTTTAACATGTTTGACCTCTTCTGGAATGACTTCCTTAACCTCGTCCTTGACTTCGACCTTGACCTCGTCCTTAACCTTGACGTCATCATTTTGTGCGAGAGGAGGATCGACTACAGCGGATTTTTGTTGTGATTTGTACTCTGTTTCGCACTCGTTGTACGCCACGAGATTGCCCAGACCAAGACCGACGGCGAGCACGACAGCGATCAGAACGCAAAAGGTAAGCTTCTGGTTGATGCGTCGATTTTCTGTGAATCGATACTGTTTAGGGCCCTTGTTCCAGATTGGCTATAAAAAATAAGGTGAATTCAACTGTAACGTTGCGGGACAATAGCTTATTCATTGACTGATCAAAATAAATAAAATTCCGTATTTTGAGCACAGTTCTTCCCAGTGCTTGGGTTTCCGGGGCTGTTACAAAAGACGAAAATTCATGAGGGGAATACAACAGCCATGCAAAAATACAGGTTTGATGAAGAATTTAACATTTATCGCTGTCAAAATACTTTGTTTATAAAAAATCGTGAAAATATAATGTAATTTGACAGCAACTAAAAGTTAATTTCATTACGAAACCCGTATTTTCGTCTGACTGACGTGTTCTCTACGTGGACTCTTGTCTTTTTTGGGTGTAACAATCCTAAATCCACCTTTTGAAAGAACTGAGCCAAAATACTAGATTTTGACAAAATAGTTTGGTCACCCCCTGTTCACTACTCACCCCGTCATCCAAAACGGGCGCATTAGATAAAGGGTCCCCCGATCCTGACTCCGTTGTAGCGGCCATACTGGCCGTCATGACCTCGTCGTCAATAATTTTGGGCTTGTTCTTCGTCTTCCTCTTTCGGAGGGTGACGTTGACCGTGGACTCGTTCATGGTGACGTCCATCATTTTTATATCGTCGTCGTCATCTTCATCTTCGTCGTCACCTTGTTCTTCAGCTTCAATCTCCATTTCTCCACGGTCGGCGGCATCATTCACTTCGGACGCCCAGGACTCGATAACCTCTTTTTTCGACTTGTTCGCCCCCACGGCGGATTCGGGAGAAGAGGAAGCGATAGATTGGAGGAGAGAGGATGACAACATGCGTACCGTTGGTGACGAAGAAGTTGACATGTCCGTGGTGGTGGATTGATCCAGCAGGGAAGCTGCGGCAGCGGCGAGTTCCCCTAAAATTTATACACACAAATTAACTTAAGGGTACTGTTTAAACCAAAATTGAAAAAAATTAACTGTTGTTGACGCCAAAGTAAAATTCAATACAATCTGGAAGAATGTGTGCAAAAATAGCACAGTTTGTTTCGTAATTTCAAATACAATTCTTGATAATTACAAAAAATCGAGAGTTGAAATAGAAAATAGAAAGAATTTATAAATTCTGTGGACTATAAAAGCAAAAGCTTTTATAAATTGACAGAAAATGAAGAACATGAAAATGTAATTCCAGCCTTATTTCTCATTTGGTCAAATTTTTTGAAGAATTTTTTTCAAACTGCAGAATTTTTTTCCTCATTTCTATGTAATTTGATCATAATTTTCCATTGTTATAAAGTTTCTGAATAACGGGATAAATTTTTTGACCCACCTTCAATGCTCCCATCCCCACAGAGGACGACCTTTTTAACCACGGGTGACCTATTCTTGGCCCCGTGACGTTTTCTAGTGACCTGTTGAAGTTGCAGTTCCTCTTCATCAGCCTCGCTCCAGTTTAACGCCTCGATACTGCTCTCGTCGAATTCTTCCTCCATCGCGCCCGTCGTTCCACTCCCCGTCCCACGCTCAGCAACCTTTACATTTAATTAATATAGTTTTAACTAATCATAATTAACTTTAATTAATATTTATTACGTACGAGCGAGCTGATATTATTCACACTGGAGGAATTATCCTCCGATTCTCCACCCCCTCCTCCGGTCGGCGGTGTCGTGGACATTTTATATTTCCGAGAAATCCAGTTTAACAGAGAAGAGAGAAGTTTCCGGACTGAAAATAATTAATAATTACGTAATTAACTACCATATCAGAAGATTTAATTGCACGACAATTTCATAAATCTGTTTACCCTGAATTAATCAATAAATAATCGAAAATCGTTCACATTTCTGCCCACGGGAGACCGAATTATGCATGAATTATCGAATATTTGGAGCAATTAAATTAAATGTGAGTAATTAAATCGATCAGCAATTTTAGAGATTGTGAACTGAAACTGAACTGCTGGTGGTGAATGAATGACTCTTGCAATAATTTTCGCAATATTATTACGTTGACAAGAAGAGAGAAAGGAACTCCATTTACAATTCAGAATGCCGTCAAATCGTCACAATTAACTATTTTATATTTACGTGTGTAAGTAAATACCTATGAGCTAAAATCAGCTTGCCACCATCACCAACCAAACCACTTGGGTAAATACATAACTCGTTGTTATTATTACAATTTTGCCGTTATTATAATACTTTGATATGATCGGAAGAAGACGAATGAATGCCTGCCTCACTGACTGACTGACAAGCTGAGTATTAATTTGAAAATTTGCAAATTTAATGTTAATAAATTAAACAAAGACAAAGTATTAAAGATTCAAAACTGTTGAATTAATGACTAGCCTCGACATTAAACTGGACAACTCGCGAATTTAATTAAGTAAAGATTTTTTTTAACTATTATTAGATCGGTCTTACCTTATCGAATCAAGAAGTCGGATTAATTCGTAAACTATTTTGTCGACGTGCAATTCAAAATATAAAGACCACACTTGTTTCAACTGAACACTTATTATTACTTCACTTACGTCGAGGTCGACTAGTCTTTGTTGACGATTTTTGATACGTCCACGTCTCCGAGATCACTGATCACCAGTGGGCATGATACACGTGTATCAACACCTCAGCAATAATTTGCAATTCTTCGTGTTGCAAAATAAAATAGTCGTCCTTCGTCAATGTCGTCGTTTAGGATGGATGAACACGAACGAACGAAATACTGAAAATATCAAAGAAAAATAAACAATTACGCACTTATCAATCTCAACAGGATAGGATGACGACTTTATTACTGATAACTTATCAAAGATAAGTCTGAGAACAACTCACACAAAAATTTATTGCTGGAATTCTCTCTGCTGGAATGAAATGCGTTTTGTTTTGTTGTTCTTCCTTTCGGCTGCTGGCTGACTGGATCGTCTTTGTGTTGTAATGAGCACACAAGGGGGACGTGCGAAAAGGATGGGATTATTTTTATTGGGTCGATAGGTCAAGTTAAGATGACCTTTGACCCCAAAAGTGCCCCATTTGACATCGAATAAGGTAAAATTGACGTAACATCCTTTACGCACGGTTCCCTTATTGGATTGGATTGAGCATCCTCCTCCTCCACAAATAAACGCAAACAAACCAGCAAAAATCAAGCATGATTGTGTGGACTGGACGTGGACTGAACGTACAAAATAATTAATTTCTTGTGGGTGTGGTCAGGGGTTAGAGGTCATATGACAGGGGTCAATAATTAAGTGCAGATTATGACACTGTTTGAATTTGGACAAAGTATCAATTTAGTTCGAGGAGAAAAGAATTATTGCATAAAATGCGATCTAGTCTTATCCAGTTTTAGAAATAGGATACAATCATTGCAAATTAATTAGCACATATTTTATGGCTCCAGATTAAATGCAGTATGGATTTTTTTCCCAGATTTTCATGACTTAATGACTTAAAGAATTAAGCGAATAATAACGCAAAATATATTTGGAGTCCAAATTCTGTCCAAATTTTGGACAGAATTTGCATTCAGGAATTCAGGAATTTATATAACTTTTAGTAAAGAAATTCCTAACCAGATTCGTGCAATTCGTGCAAAAATTGTGTATTCCTGTACGGAAAGAAAATAGTGAAACAGTACCGCATTTTCATTTTCATGGCTCATTAGCTCAATAATTATGGTTCGTTACATCACAGTCTCATGATGTTGATCTCCTTTTCGCAAGTGTGAAATTATTCGTTCGTTCGTGTTAAAAAAAAGTATGCAGCCAGCGCATTTATTATTCGACACGATAATTAGTGCAGTAAAGGTTATGTTATTATGTATGATGGCACGGCTGGTAACAATATTTACTGACGAGCAGGCAGGCGTGACCTTGCATGACCATGAAAAAAATATAAAAGCTAACTTCCAGACCCCGTACGGCAAGGATGTCGTTGAGATTGACGACAAGATAACCTTGGGGTTATCTTGTCGAGGTCGAGGGGGACGATACCATATTATCAATTTAAGCGACCTCTCTTTGACCTCTAGAAGTGACTTATGACGAGAAAATGTGTGACATTTTGTATGTAAAGGACCCCGCCTACATAATTTCTGCTGGTGGAGAAAGCGGAGAAAGCGGAGAGATCATGTCCTATAGAGAAAAGTCAAGTGCTCGACCAGACCAGATCGGGAAGTCAACTTCATCATCTCGATCTCGACGACTAATTCTTGTTTTGCTAAAAATAGGTACTCCGAGTAGAAACAAAGTTGGGTCGGCTTCATCTCGACAAGAGGAGTGGAGAAAGTCGGATTGGTGAAAGGTGAACAAAAGCAAGGTTAAATTATATCAATTGTGAAGTACTTATTCGAATTTCATGAAATTATGGATTTTAAATTATGGTAAATTATGTATGAGTTTGGAATTATTTGGAATTATGAATTTCGCAAAATCATAAATTATGGTTCAATACAATGTCTAAAATTACGAAGGAATTATTCGAATTTCATGAAATTATGGTTTGAATTATTTTTAGCTATGAATTTCACATAATCATGAACTATTTAAAATTATGGTTATAATAAACCAATTTCCCGAAATCAAGAATCAATTTTGCAAAAATTGAATTTGCCAACTACATTTTAAATACTTTATTTTTTCCATTTCACCGCAAAATTTCCCAAAACCGTACATCTTCCCATTTACACATTTACACATATCTTGACCTTTTCCAATATTTTTTACATCGGGTTAATCCAGGCTGGTTCTACGCAAAGTCCGTAGACCGCGGTGTCTCGGAGGGAGCCATATTTCGACCCTCCCCCAAAAGTCTTGATGGTCGAGGGGTCAAAATACGTGCTCATCATGCTCGAACAGCACTTCATTTGACCGGGACAATTGTAGTCGCCCACGCAGCGAAGGTCAGTCACGACCCCATGACCTGGAATGACGCGTTCACGCGTCTGTGGCGTCTGTGGGGGCGGTCTAGTCGAATTCATGAAGGTGGGCGTTTTCATCGTGGTGGCCATAACTTGCAGCTCGATGGTGTTATTCGTGGGGGCGGGGGACGTGCTTTCCATCATTCTTCGGAAGTGGACAGCTTGCACTTGCATGGGGCACATGCCTGGCTTTCCGTCTGTAAAAGGGAGAAGGGAAATTTTGAAAAAAATGTACCAAATTTATTGGATGAGAAGTTTAGAAGTGAAAAACATAAGTATAAAATTCTGACAGAAAAAAGAGACAAAAGTTTGCAAAAAAGTTTGACCACAAAAATTTGAAAAGTTATGAAAAAAGTGACAGAACTGTGACCAATATTTGAAAGGTTGAAAAGTAAAAAAAAATTGGAAAATTGGAAAAAATTGAAAAGTGAAAAAATGTGGTGGAAATTTGTTGCAAGCATTTGAAAAGAATTAAAATATGACGGAAGGGCAAAAGGTGTGACTGGAAAAAATTTGGAAAATTAAAACAATGACGGAAAATTGTGAAAAAAATTGAAAAATTATGGCCAAAATTTGAAAATTATGAAAAGACTGATAAAAATTTGAAAAATTCTCTCTGAAAATTGATTCCGTATAGATAAATATTACCTCCATCGCACTGGAACTTGTTACAACAGCCGTGCTCATCCTTAAAAGCGACGCAGTTAGTTTTGTTCTTTGGGGGCGAGAGGCACGCCGGGGTCAACCGCTTCATCTGACAGGTCGACGTGGTCGAGGAGTTGACGCCACGACCTTCCTCACAGAAATACGAGGGGCAGCAGTCCCACGGACGAGAAAGCGTGTCAGGCTCGATCTTTCGACACGTCCGGTTAAACGGAGCAGAAGGACACGTCCGATCAGCACAGGCGTCTAATTTGCAAAGAATTTTGATACAAAATTATACCCACAAGATAATTTGCAAACATTTTGCAAATTTTGCGAGATATTTTTCAGGAAAACACTTTATGCACAAATTTGACACGAACAGACTTTTGACAAAAAATGTGCCAAATTGTATGCCTTACAGATTTTTCGCCAATTCGCAAAAACATTTAACCTGATGCAATTTTTTGCGCAAATTTACCCATTATGTATTTTCTATTTCGCAAGAAAAATTCATTTTTTTGAGTTTTGTCAAGTCAAATAAAATTCTTCCGGGTAAATGTTTTATAAATTGGTAAAGTATAAATTTGACGCCGATTATAAAATACATAATTACACGTTAATCTAAGGAGAGAAGTAGATCATTTTTAATTGAGGGACAATTTTGCAAGTTTGTGCGCAAAGTATATTTTTATTTTGCAATATATTTTCTAAATGAGCGAAATTTGGCGTATGTCCAAATCGATAGTAATAAAAAAATAGTATTTAAATATTAGTATAAGTAAAATAACATTTAAGTATTCCTATACGCATTTCTGAATAATTATATTTTGCAAATTGTTAAGTGTCAGTTTAACGCCGATTAGAAAATAAATATTTACTGTGGAATTTACGTACAAATTTAGATGCCTGTCGAATAGGACGATGGTTTCGGTAGTTTTCAATTTCGACGGTTTTTGGCACAAATTAACATGTTTCTAATTTGAAGATTATTTCTAAATGAGTTTTGAAATATGGAAGAAGTTGACGTGAGTATGACCATAATTCCGTCTCAACTTGCCTCACTTTTCATGAACCAGCAGAATCTCACTTTCCCTACCGAGTCTCAAACTATCTCCTGTACTAAATTAAGCAAGTATGTAAATTATGGGGTAAGTGTTTTCCTGAAAAATTTCTCGCAAAATTTTCAAAAAATCATTTCTAAATTTTTACCCGTTTGGTAAATCTAAATAACATTCCGTTGCTGAATATTTTGTTAATTACTAAAGTATAAAGACGCCGATTTGAAATAAAAAATTCTTGTAAGTTAACCTAAAATTTTAGATTTAAAGCCAATGTAATGGTTTTTAATTTTCCTAGAAAACTTTGGGATTTTGGTCGCAAATTGACATATTTTAATCGAATTTAGAAATATGGAATAAATTGATTTGAGTATGATAAAAAAAGTGAATAATTCCGTCTCAATTTGCCTCAACCTTTTTTACCAAGTAAAATTCCAATTCTAAATATTTTGCAAATTGCTAAAGTATAAATTTAACGCTAATTTGAAAAATAAATGTTTACTTGTGAAATGAACCTATAAATTCAGATTTAGATTCGGTAGACACCTATTTTGGGATTTTGGGTGCAAATCGGCATGTATTTATTTCCTAGATTAATTTCTGAGTATATATTGAAATGTGGAAGAAGTTGACGTGAGTGTGACGAAAAGTGAACAACTTCGTCTCAACTTGCCTCCCTTTTCGTGTACCAGCAGAATCTCGCTTTCTCTCTTGTGCTCAACTATTGACTATGCTATGCCGTACTCCGTATTATTTAGATTAGGTTGGAAATTTTGTGTGCAAATTTACCCAGTTATATAACTGGCATATTTTAAATTCGCAAACTATTTTCTAAATTTTTTTTGAAATATTGAACAAGTTGAGGTAAGTATAATAAAAAAAGTGACTAATTTCGTCTCAACTTGCCTCACTTGTCATGAACCAGCAAAATCTCAGTTTCTCCCAGGCCTCAAATTAAGTATGTACACTAAATTCTTACCTGGCGTTGACGACATGGCGCAGCAATCCCATGGCGTGGCGACGAGGAGGCTTCTGCATTTTTATTTATTTTTATTTTTATATTATTTTTAAAATTTTGTATTGCTATTTAAAAAAATCGTTTATACCTATCTTGATGTTCTGTGGGACAATAACGAGACAAATGGTCGGTGCATCTCTCTTTGTACGCGATGTTCACATTTTCTGCAAAATTATTAGGAAAAAATAGAACGCTTTTAAATTTTAAATTTTTCATAATTTCAATAGCTTAGTTTCAATTCAAATTTTTGTATGAAAATTTCTCACCAGTGCAAAAATAGATTGGAGCTCTTTGCCACGGAAGGCGAACGCTGATGCAAGTTTTGCCCGCATCTGCGTCCTTCTGACCACAAAATGCTGCCAAAAATAGTCAAGATTTTTATTAATTGGTTAAAATTTCGTTAAAAAAATTCAGGCAAATTTCTAGATGTAGAAGGACACATTTTTAAGTAAAATTTTACGAAAAATTAAACAATTTCGTACAAAAATTAGAAGAAGCACGAATTCTTTAAAATTTGCACCAAAATTCGAAGATTCTACGTAAGATGTTTCAAAAAATACAAACAATCTACATATATTCCTAATTAAAAATTAAACTCACATTCCTGATGCTCCGCAAGACTGAGACAAATTGTAAAAATTATAAAAATCCCGACCACCCGGAAACTTTCGAGTTGCATAATTATAAATATTTTTTGAAAAAAGGATCAAAATTTTATAACAAAAGTGTCGTAAAATCAACCTGAATAAAATCACAATTTGCTTGAATGGAAAGGATCTTCTCTTAAATACCAACCCGACAACAATTCTGATTCAGAATTTCTGAATCGTTTCAAGTTGACACGAAGTTCAGACGAGTGGCTGGACAACATCCGACCGGAAATTGGTACCTTTTTCGAGCAATGAAGTCGTGACAACTTTACAAAATTCATGGTCATCACTACATTTTGCAGTTTTTTTTATTCTGAGCATCTTATTGTACAAAAATATATCCTCAATTTTTATTATTTTACATATTTTTGCAGATTTACTGGAAATTATTGAAGCACTTCCTCGGTAGTTAGTATTGCAAAAATTCCTCAATTTTTTGCGTTTTATTTCTCATACAAAAAAAATCCCAAATTTACACACCTATTATTTCTCCACATTATCTTTATCATTCCGATTTTCCAGTTTTCCAATTTTCCTTAAAACATGGCTTCGGGGGATTCATCCCACCGTTCGGCGGACAATGCCAAACATTCGCAAATTCCTCCATCTGCATAAACCCGGACAAATTTTCGATGACGTGGCCCTTATAAAAATCCGACTCGTCATCCCGGGAGCGACAAATTTCTCGGAAATTTATCAAAAAGAAGAGCTGGGCTTCTGAAAATGCTTCAAATCCGATTAATTTCGAGTATCTGAGTTTCTTGCGGATTTTCGGGGTGAAAAAATCATCTCCCGGGTTTTCCCTGACGTCGCGGACTTGGCGGAAATAAGCGCGAAGCATGGTTTTCACGGGGAGCGAGGTCGGCCAAATTCCTGTCCCGGCCTCGACCCGGTCGTTATCAATGTGGTCGAAGGTGCCGGTTTTATGAAAGCCGTAGCGCAGGGCGAGAAAATGCGGGTCAAATGAGGTAAGCGCGACTCCCGCGAGCTCTGAAACATCGCGCTCTTTTGGGTGGAACCAGTTGTACGTGACGGCAAGACATCGCTTGTAGCTGGAAAGTGTAGAAACCCCTTCCCAGTACGCGGCCCCTTTGGAGCGATGACTAATGATGGATTGTTCTACGTTGTAATCGGCAAAGTCGAATGTAAGCGCGGTCATCCATGCTTTAGCGGCGAGGATGCGCCCACCGGCGAAGTTGGCGATTCTAGGGGGAGATAAAAATTGGGAAATTAGTAGAAATGTGGTGTAAAATTGTAAAAAAAGGTGAAATTAATGTAAATCAGTCGAAACTGCAAAATTGATGGAAACTAGTCGAAATTCATACATAAATTTTGCAAAATCGTGCAAAAATATGTAAATTAATCGAAATTAGCCTAAGTTACTTGAAACTAGTCGAAATTTATACAAAATTTCGAAATTAATGTAAATTTGTAACAATTCATGCAAAATTAATGAAAGAAAAATTTGGGAATCGAAATTCGGCCTAGAAATTTCGGAATTTTTCTAAAATTCTCGCCAACTCACTCCAGATCATTGTTCCAGAAGGGATGGATAAAAATTGACGGCGGAAATCGAATCAGCGATACGGACGTTGTCGACGGGGCTTCATACACGTTGATGTGATCGACCTGATAGAAGGCCTTGTACCAGACGAGCTTGCCCTGGGGTGACCCCTGCCGCCAAAAGTGGAGCGTCCTATTGAACGTGAACTGTCGCCAGGCGATAATATTCCGGACATGGGTGTTCCCTATGGCGAGGCTGGGGTGAAGGGGAGACTGTACGAAAGTGGGGTCATCCTCGACCGTGGGGACGATTATGTTGGTCGCGTCCTTGTCGACGAGCAGGCGGTACATCCGATTCCTATGGCGGGGCGAGATGTAGGACAACCCGCCTTCTTCCGGGGGACGGAATTGTTTCAAGAGTTCCCTTTAAAGAGAAGGTTAGAGGTAAGAGATTTATGTAAATGAGGCAATTCACGCAGGCTCTGGTAGCATTGGAAAATTCATAAATTCGTAAATTTTGTAAACTTATTTACAAAATTTTAGAAATATTTCGAAGGAAAATTACGTCACAAATTTTTGTAAACTTAATCTGATCAAGGGGTCTTTCTTTATTTTGTAAAAGTTTGCAAAATTATTTTACAGAACGTACGGATTTTACGAAGTTGACAATATGGATAATTGCATGAATTGCTTCATTGCGAATGTATCATTTTTTTCGAATTAATGAATTTGCTTGTAGATTTATTTTTTCCGGAAATAAAGTTGATGCAAACATAGGAATTTAACTTTAATTAAATTATTTGTTGTGCATTAGTAGAGTTAGTAGTAGAAATCTAATTTAATTATAATTAGTAAATTCTGTCAAAAAATTAAATCCGACTTCTGAATACTGGAAAACAGGAAAATTTGCACTTCAAACTTCTACCATTAAAAGTACACACATGTGCAACTTTTACAAAACTTGCTGAAAGTGATCCGAACCCAAATCACTTTCGGTAACTTTTGAAATTTTATTTGGTAACATGCAGTTTGTCACCAAAATATTTAAATATTTTTAAAATAAACACTTCAAATTCAATGTGAGCAAACTTTGAAGTATTTAAATATAAAATTTCCGCTACGATTTTGGGCAAATTTACAAGTTGTGATACTCAAAAAATATGAAATCCATTGAATATCACTTACAATGCTGCATGTCGAATGACTTTGAGCGCTTCTTCCTTCCGCGAGTCGACGGACCGGAAGTAATGGAAAACTGGGTAATATCCCATCGAGTCAAGCGTACTTTGAAAACAGCGTGACTCCTTCGTCCTTAAGTGATATTCTTCCTAATATAGAATAAGGTCAAAGGTCAGGAGCTGAAGGTTAAGGTCAACTAGTTGGACAAATTTTGCGCTTTCATTCGCACCTGATACACCGAAAAGAACCTATTTGCCTTATCGCCCAGCTCATATTCTTCCGCTGTCTTGGCGTCAGCCTCATGCACCAACTCGATGAGCAGTCGTAACGACCAAAACGTAGCGTAAAAGGGGCGCACATATTTTGCATCCTCCTCCTCTCCAAACGTATCCGCCACCCAGCAGTTCCAGTTTGAAATCAAGGCCCTGTAATTGTCCGCCATCGCGGCGCCCTTCAACGGATCCGGGGTAAGTTTGAGGACCTTGCCGTTGGTAAGTTTTGGCGTCGGGGACTCCATGTCGACATTTTCTTCGCCGTGATACGCGAGAAAGTAAGGCAGTTCGAAATTGTAGTCGTTATTTTTCCCAGTTTTCGCCATGAAGCTGTCGCTCGTGGGTAAATCGAGGCAAGTTTTACCCTCTTTGTCGACATAGTTCGGCAACCCGTGGAACATTAGCGCCTCCAATTTCGCCACCATTCGCCCCACTAAGAAGTCAAGTTTATCTCGAACTTTGAGTCCACGAATGTTCAAGGCGTCATAAATTAAGGGCAAGAACTTTGTGAGGTATTCCTTCTTAATTTGTCCGGTGAAAATCCACGTGGCGAAGATAACCTTGGGATAAGCGACGGGGGCGTAGACGTGGTAAAATCCATCGTCGCCAAAGAGGCGAATCATTTTTACGGCTACGCGTTCCAATTCGTACCTAGGGAAAAAATAGGGTTGGATTTTTTGCTTATTTTTTTGCACTCCTGCACGAAATTTGTTTTTCAGTAGTTTCTTGCAGTGTACATATTTTTTTACGGCAAATACTGACCGGAAATACATTTTTAAAATTCGGACAGAAATTGGTTTCGGAGAAATTAGAAATTTTTTCAAAGAAAATTTCAAATTTTTTTGAAGAATCGAAAACTTATTTAAAATGTTTCGATTTTGGATGCCTTACTTGTTTTCGGTCCCCCAGAGGTCAAAGTCTTGGTCGAAAATGTGTTGAATCAGGATCGTTAATGATTCGTTCAACTGGAGCGTTTCGGTCTGCCAGATTTTCATGCAGGTTTGATAATAGGAAATGACTCGTTGTCCGATAACATCGCCAGGTTCGGGACGAAGGAGGATTTTCGCTAGGATGGATTCCCCATTGGTGCCGTCGGATTCGAGACGGGCGAAATTTTTGAACCACCTAATTTTTAAAAAAATGTTTAAGATTCGGTGTAAAACCGGTTTTGCATAAAATATAATGAAAATTTGGGGAAATATTTAGGAAAAATTGAGAATCGGGTTTTGGGAAAATCTGGCAAAATCAGTAAAATTGAAAGCATGTTTTACGAAAATTTGGCAAAATTGGAAAAAAATCGACAATTGATTTCAGTAAAATTTGACAAATCTCTGTTAAATTGAAAAACTAATTTATAAAAATTTGATAAAATCAAAACATGTTTTACAATAATTTCTAAAAATATTAAAAATCGAAAATCTAATTTCCAAAAAAAATCCCAAAATCCGAAACCGTTTTTCAAAATTATAAGACATACCATTCCCACAAATCGCCCTTATCATTCGGATTATGCTTTCCGCACGTAAACTTGTAAAAATTGGAGCACGGATTCACCTCCACATAATCCGCCGAGCTGGACATCCATTTCGACAGGGCGCGACATTTCGGCGTGGCGCAAACCATGGGATCACGCACCTCAATTTGGGACCAACTCAGGAAAAAATATACCCCGGCAACGAACTGGATTAGAGTGAAGATGGCCAAAACGACGATTGTAGTGACCAATTTTCGACGCCATTGGGGCGAAGAGATCCACCAATGTTCCCACGACGAGGGACCAGCGCCTGCGCCGAAACGATTTAGACTTTTCGAGAGACTTGACGATTTGCTTTCGGCGGCGTGAAGGCCCCCCTTCTTTTTAAGGTTAAACTCGTAATGGTGGTCAGTTTCGGCGGTGGGGCGCATGCTGAGCCGGTGGGTCACGTCAATTGAGGAGGACGACGGCGTCTCACCACCGAAGAGTCGGGCGGACGCTAGTGTTCGACGGCGCGCGACGGTGGAGCGGCGCAGGGCTGGAGAAAGTTTATTATTAATTAATAATTATTAATTATTAAATGTTAATAGCTTAATTTAATTAACTGGTTAAATTCGGGAGACTTTTTCCTGGTGGAAACGGGGAACAAGTATTTTGGGGACGTTTTCTGGGGGAAAAGTTTGAAGGACACTTTTTTAGAAAAAAATTACAGGGGAAAAAAATTGAAGGACATGTTTAAACAAAGCAAGGCAAGAAATTTTAGGGCCATTTTTGGGGGGTAAACCCATTTTGAGGACATGCAGTTTAGGAAAAAAATAGCTTAAAAATTTAGAGGAAGTCTTTTCGAAATTTTCTAAAAATCGAAAAGATAAATTACTTGCAATTGCCAAAAAAAATAAATGCAATTAATGGAAATTTAACATGACACCCTCGAATAATTAAGTTAATTAATTAATTAAATACCTTCCGAGTTGCGGTAGCGCATGACGAATTCGGACGAGGCGGAAATGAGGGATGCGATATCCATCGAGGAGACAGGTCCCCCCAGGAGGGACGTCGTTGAGGAGGGTGACGTCATGATTATAATTTTTTGCATAACTTTTTTCCCTGATAAAACTGAGGTGTGAATTTTTCTGAAATTGTGTATATTTACGAAGCTAATTTTAGTTTAATTGTTATAGAAAATTTGTAAATGTACAAAATCGGACTAAAATACGCTATATTTGTCACACGTATCACAAAATTAATTCGGTATAAAATTAATTAAGTAATTGTCTCGTATTGTTTTTAATTGTAAATTATGTATTTATGTGGTTGATTAAGTCGACGTTTTCGCCGTGTCGTCGTCATTCTCGTCGACGGAGCCAGGCGAGCTGATTTTGGAAAGGGTGACATCACTGGAGGAGGACGCGACGAGTTCTTCCTCGCCTTCGTCATGATCCGGGGGGAGAAGCTCTTCGGGAATCACGAGCCACAACTTTTGACAAGTTTTCATCAGCCAGGCTGAAATTTTATGAGGAAAAAATATATTTCCAGAATATAAAACATCAAATTTTGATGCGACAATTTACTCAGATTTTTTTGGCTAAAACACTAACCAATCAACAAACTGACCACAAATTCGTCAATTTTTCGAGTAAAAATAACCCATTCGAGATGTTGTGAGAAGATTGGGGAAATGATAATATTTGAAATCTTATTATTAAAAAAATTATCTTCTTTTTGACGTTATATCGGGTATTATAACACGAAAGATTAAGGCATATTTTGGGGAGACTTGTAGCTATATTTCGCCGATAAAGAAAATTATTAATTTGTAATAAAAATTGAAGACGAAAAATTAGATTCGTGAAAAATCATACCCCTCACATTTGCATACTCCAATTAACGTAAGAGTCGATGAATTGTCTCTAAAATCGTCAAAATCAGCATACTTTGATTGAATCATTTTTCTGCTCTGAAACCCTCGTTTAAAATTCTGGCCGACAAATTCGTAAAGCAGATCGTTGCCATTTTTTCTATAAAAAACGTTGATCTCAAGTTTAAGAAGCCTTCAAAAAAATTGGAACTCATCGAAACTGGGTTAAAAAAGAAGTAATCGTCATTCTATCAATCAACTCACTGAATACAAATTTGTCGTCCAGAATTTTAAAATAAATTCCCGTAGCCGAAAAATGTTTAAAAATGTGCTGATTTTGACGATTTTGAGTCATCGAGTCCTACATTAACTCATGGTATGAATTATGTATTTGCATAGAATTAATTTATACGAACCGTTGAGCGGGATGAGTGGGGGCCAGGCGTGTCTGGGTCGGACAAGGAGGAGGTAAAGGGGTGTGCCCAGCAGGACGACGAATCCGATGCCTGCCACGGGATACAGCGACGTCTTGTAATTACTCCCGTCCACCAGCACGATCGGAATTACGAAAATCAGCGTCGATATCGCCGCGTACAATATCGGGACGAATAGTGGAAACTGAAAAATGAATAGATTCAAAATTATTGAAAAAATTGTAAACTAGATTTTTTGAAAATTTGAAAATTTTGGAGGATATGAGGTTAACAATTCTGAAATGCAAACATTGTAAAAAATATGTGAGGTTTGAAAATTAAATCATAAAAAATTGAAAGAGCAAAGTGTCAAAAATAGTGTAAAGTTGAGCGATTAAAAGTTGCTAACAGATTTGGGGACAAACTAATTGTAAAAACTAATTTACAAGACAAAAAAACGTAATTTGGAATCCACGCTTTTAAACAAAAAATTGCAAATTTTCGAAACACGAGGATCATAATTAAAAAAAAACATTGTAAAAAATATTAAAAGGTCTGGAAAAAGAAACTGTGTGAAGTTTTTGCAAAACTGAAATCCTAAGCAATTACTGGAAATTGGGTGTTAAATTAAATTACAAAAAAATACAAAAATTTTCTAACGTGACAATACAGAATTTTAAGTTGTAGTAAATTTTTGTATATTTTTAATAAGTTTTAAAATTTCCAAGAATTATAAAATAAAACTTAAGTTTTCTTGGCAAAATTATGGGTTTGTAAAACGCCAGAAATGTTTTTTAAAATTGGTTGCATTGTAAACAGTTACCAAGATCTCTCTGAAAATTAGTGATTTTGATGTGCATTCCATGTTTAAAAAAATAAATTCTTTAAATTAAAAAAATTAAAAATTTCCAACCTTTCTTCAAGATTTGAATAAATCCTTACTTTTATAGGTCTCGGAATATCTGGTCGTTTAAATCTGACATAAATGAGGCCGTAAATGCAGACACAGTTGAAAAATGATTCCAAGTAGGCCGCGACCAAAATGAGGTCAGGAATTGTGCCCACCATGGTAAAACAGGAGGCTAGAACGCCCTGAAACGTCAAGGTCATGAGTATCATTGACCTCATTATTGACTTGACCTGTGACCTTACGATAAGTATAATGGACACGACTGGAGTGCCATGATTGACATCGACGAGTTTGAAAATGGCTGGAAAATCTCCATTTCTCGCTCCCGTGTAGGAAATTCTGTGGAAAAAGTGGGTAAAATTATTTTCAAAAATTGACGACCTTTAACATAGGATTTGGTTATTCATCGCCAAAATCGTCAAATACACATTACACATTTTTAATCATTTCTCCGCTTTGGGAATTTATTTTAAAATTCTGGACGACAAATTTGTGTTCACTAAGTTGATTAATGGAATGGAGATGAGTTTTTCAAGCCAGCTTCGACGAGTTTTAATTTTTCTGAAGGCTTCTTAAACCTGAGATCTCCTCCTTCAAAAACTGCCAAAATCTGGACTGTAGATTTTTTAAACATTGGGAACGACTACAGCTCTGCAAATGTGCTGCCAAGAATTTTAAAATAAATTCTCAGAGTTCAGAAATGATTTAAAATGTCCTGATTTTGACGATTTTGGCGATGAATGAGCCATTGAATCCTATGCTAATTTTAAACCGAAGGTGACCAGGAATGACCCTACTGAGTTACCTCGAACACGTCAAAAAGTAAGAGGTCAACCCTCCCGTGACCGCCACGGCGACAAGGCTGGTCGCCATCCAGGCCACGTATGGCTCCACGTGGTCGGGTAGTACGGCACGGAACATGTTCTAGAATTACATAGGTGCGTTTTTAATAATTTGTCCCAAATTGTTATACTTTTAACTATGGCGCAAGTTAGGAGGCACTCACATCCGCAATTGTGGTCGTTGTCATCATCTCTTCCAGCGGGATGGTGGCGATGTAGCAAAAGTTGATGAAGAGGTTGAGGCAGATGATGATCGGCATCGAGATGCAGACGCCGATGGGGAGATTTCTATGTAAGGAAAAAGGAAATTCACGTCAAATTTTGTGAACTGTGTATTTTTAAATAGCGGGTAGGGTACAAAATTTAGGGGATTTCTTTGAGTAATTCATATGTATAGCAAGTTCGTAGACTGTATAATTTTTGTTCTTTACGTTACGAACTGGTATTTACAAAATTGAGGTGAATTAATGAACACGTGAATAAAATGGGAAGCTGACTTGTCAGAATTTTATACTTTCCTTTACATTTACATTCACATTGTTGCAATAACATCGCCTTTAATAAGGGATGTGAAACTGCAAAACTGTGTAAATGTTGTAAAATTGGGAAATTTATTAAAATTGTAAAACTATGTTTTTTTTATTGCTAAATTTTTTGCATGCGGCGTTTTACAAAGTTTACGAATTTGTAGATCTGTCTAAACGTTATAAAAATCATAAAATTTTGAAAATTTTGTCAATTTGTGAAATTATGTAATATTGTGTAAATTTTGTAAAATTGTGAAAATGTGAAATTTTCATAGTAATGTTATTTTAAAGCTGTAAACTCTATAAAATTGTAAAATCCAACATGGTGATCTTAATGTTTGTAATGATTAACTTTTTCCAAAGAGATTACAAAATTGGCGTGAATGAATACCAAATTTTCTTAAGATGAGCTACATACATATTTATGATGCAATTCACGCAGTTCTTGGTAACTTCGTAAAATCCGTAAATTTTGTAAATTAATTTTACAAACTTGTACAAAAATAAAGAGACATCCTTACTCTGAGTAAGTTTACAAAAATTTGTAAGCTAATTTTCCTTCGAAATATTTTTAAAAATTTGTAATACTTGGGAAGTTTGCGGATTTTACAGACGACTGCGTGAATTGTCTCATTGTTGGTTAAATAGCAGGACCAACCCTCACCTAGTCGGATTTTCCAACTCTTCCGTGATATAGTTGACGTAGGTATAGCCAAAGTAGGAGAAGGACGCTTGATAAAGAGCGTTCACCAAGTTGAGCACGTGCGCCTTCGCGTCCAGCCCAGGTTTCAATTGCAGCTTGAAATTGGCGTGAGGCATTCCTACGAAAAATAAAATAATATTAGGTTCAAATAAATATCGACATTTTTGACCTTTGACCTCGTCACCTTTTCTTAGTCCTATTGCTGTCAAGCCGCACACGAGCATGAGGGCAATCGCGGCGACGTTGATGACCATGAGTGACCCCTGAATTCTGCCCGTTAGTTGGGGATTCTTACAGTTGACGAGGACAAGGAGCACTGCACAAATACATAAAAATTAAATTATGCAAATTAATGGTGTCTGATGCACTCACTGATGAACATGATCGCTACGAGTCGTACGGCCCAATCGATTTCAGGACAATGGGAAGAAGGAATATTCGGGATGAGTAAATTCTTGGCGATAACGGTCCCCATGATTGCTCCGCAGACGGGACTTTTACAAAAAGGGAATGGAAATTATTCAACTTGCCCTCATGTCATCGTTTTAACTATGGCGCAAGTTAGTTATCAAGCAAAAACAGAAAATTAATTAATTAGCTCACCAGACTACTAAATTATGCGAAATCTGGAACAAGAATGCCGGATAAGAACCAAAACATTCGTTGAGATATCTGTACAAAAGTTTCAAAATATTGTAAAGAACGAGATACAAATTGATTTATGTATTTACGCATAATCTCCCCCCGATACTGGAAAAGTGCACCCCAACTCCACAAAAGATAGCGCCGCGATGAGCGCGATAAGACCGGCGGATAACCACACGAGCAAAGTGACGCCTGCGTTCCCCGTCATGTTTAAGATTCCTTGCGGAGCGGCAAAAATTCCTGAAAAAATATAGAAAAATAAACTTCCGTTAACTTGCGCCACGTGTTAAAAATTCGTAAAAAATTCACAGAACTTCAACCACGTGTCAAAAACAGAAATCTGCACGTGTCATTTGCGCTATGTGATGAAAATACATTTAAAAAAATTCTCATATCTACTAAAAATATATATAAAAAATCTTCCAATCACGTCCACCATGCACGTTTTAAAACCAGAAACATCTACACGCACAACTTGCGCCACATGCTAATAAAAATGCAAATAAATAATTCCCTTATTTGCACCCGTGTTAAAAAATTTTCCCATAACTTCCACGTATTGCATAAAAACATACACAAGTCTAGACGCACCATTTGCGCCACATGTTACAAAATACATCCACTCACCCGACCCCAAAACACAGCCAAGCAGAACAATGCAGCATCCGAGGAGACCAATCTTCATGCGATGAATCCCCCCTTCGTCGTCTGAATCTAAGCTGCCATGTAGCGAGGGGAGGATCAAGGGCCCCACAAAACCAGATCCATGCGCGTGAATGCCGATCGTGCTCTTACTCTTAAAACTGCGATTTGACGGGCCATCATATTTTTTGGAGAGGGTTATCGTCGAGGCGAACACTTGACTGTGCGGTGACGTCGATTTTAGCGAAAGTGACGAACCAACGCGGCCCCCTTCGTCGTCGTTGTGCTGATCCGCCATAATTAATTAATCAGACAATTTTATGTCGCGTGAAAAATGTGTGGATTAAAATTAAATGAATACACAACATAAGAAATTACAAGCTTAGCAACGAAATAGGGTAATTAATTAATTAAAAAAAAAAAAAAAAAAATTAATTAATTGCAATTGAATAATTATTATAATTATAATATGATTTTTATGTCACATCGAAAATATGTGGATTAAAATTAATAATTAAAATATGTAAGAAGATACGAGCGGAGTAAATACGGAACGATATAATTTGAATGCAAAAAAATATGTACGAATTTTGGCAAATGTTATACTTTATGTAGGGTTATCATGTATGTGACATGCTTATCATTTACGATTTAGTAATTTAGAGAGTATTATATTTGATGGGCGATACGTTCCTATCATTACTCGGGGATGGAGCTAGATTTTCTTGACACCAATTCGACGATATCTTGTTCATCATCAGCGATTATTTCCTCTTCGGGTAAAACGAGCCAAATCCTTTGAAAGAAGCGTTTCACAAATCCTGCAAAGGTGGATTTTTAATTTAGTTTGACCAAGCATTTTGACCACTTCTCTAGTCTTTAATTAAGTATGGCGCAAGTTGGGCGGCGTAATTTTTACCGTGGATTTTTTGAAGTGTGGGCCACGGTGGGGCTTGAGGACGGACGAGTAGGGCGTAGATGGGGAGGCCGGCAGCGAGTACGAAAATGGCCCCACCGATGGAAGGAAGTGTTCCCTTGTATGTGTGCTCGTCGAGGAGGAGGATGGGCGTGAAGAAGAGAAATGTCGCCAACGAGGCGTAACAAATCGGGACGAAGAGGGGCAACTAGAAATAGAGAAAGTCTTGTTAAGTGCAACGAGAGTTTCGAATCGAAAAATATGCAAATTACAAAAAATGTACGGAAAATATAAAAATGCATAGAAAATAGAAAATAAAATGCATATTGCATGTAAAATAGAAATCGAAAAATGCATGTAAAAATGATGTAAAATTTATATTAGATACTATTTAACTCTATGATTGAATTAGAGAGATTTGTAAAAGTGCAAGGACGACGAGAGTTTCGCATCGAAATTCATGCAGAACGAAAAACTCATGTATTTAAACCAGAAAAATTCATGTAAAATAGAAATAGAAAAATGCATGTAATGACAATTAATGAGTAAATGGAAATAATAATTAAGATTTGTTGAAGTGTGAGGACTACCAAAGTTTCTAATCGAATTTCGATACCAATTTGCGCCATATGCTAAAGTTTAACTACGTCGTAAGTTGAAGCCCACCTTGAAAGGTCTCGGCAGTTCGGGCCTTTTAATCCTGAGATAAATCAGGCCGTAGATGACCATGCAATTAATCGCTGACATGATATAGGTGAGAATTCCGATGAGCATGGTGATATCTAGGAGGCAATAAGTGCACCCGATCAACCCCTACAAAAATAATTTACATAATTATGTAAGTAATTATTATGCTAATTAATTAATTAATTAATTCACCATAAAGACGAGGGACACAACCGGGGTCAACTTTTCGTAATGCGTCATGGTAAATATTCCCGGAAAGTGGCGATTCCTCGCCCCGATGAAGGATACCCTGCAGCATACAGTAAATTATTAGTATTATTTCCTGCTAACTTGCGCCATAGTTAAAGTGATGTAATTAAAATATGGACGTAAAAAATATGGCTTGAACTTTGACCTCGAGCAGGTCAGCACGTTGGAGAGGAGACCACCCAACACGGCGATGGCGACAAGAGTAGGTCCAATCCAGAGGAGGTAATGGGGAAACGTGTCGGGGTCCTTGTATACCGACTTGACCATCTCCTGGAAAAATTAGAAACATAAAAGGTTTGCAAATTGTGTGCAGAAAACGTACAATTTCTTTACTCTGTAATTTTTTAAATGAAAAAGCAAACTGAATTTTTTTAGAAAATGCAGATTTATGTCGAGAACGTACACTCGCCACGGTTTGCGTTTTCTTTAATTTATCCAACGGTATGGAAGCGAGGTAGCAAAAGTTGACGAAAATATTGAGCACGATGACGATCGGGATAGAGATGAAGATGGAGAGTGGCACGGTTCTGTGGGAATCATAAATATGCAAATTAATAGCTTGTGTGGGTCACATTGAAATGAAAAATGCATAATTCTGTTAAATTTTACATATGATAATTTTGCGAAGCTTAATTTTTTTTACTGACTTGAGCGGATTTTCGACATCCTCCATGATATAAGTGACGTAGGAGTAGCCAAAATATGAGAATGAAGCCTGAAAAAGGGCCCGCACTAACTGCAACACAGCGAACTTGACCTCGTTCCCCTTGCTCTCCTTGTGGCTCGGGTGTGGCCAGGCTAGCTTAAAACTCGACTTGTTCTCAATCCCTGAAAAAATGGGGATATAATTTTGAAATCATACGAAAATTTGCATAAACGAGATGATCCATGTTTGTAAAAACTAAATTTTGCGTTATTTTTTCTCTCTTCGAAATGTTCACTTTTCTACTTAATTTGCTATTTTTTTGGGGAAAATCTGTATTTTTTTGTGAAAAATTTTGTTTTACAAAATCGGAAAACTCGTTAATTTTTACACAAAAAACAATTGGTGCTTTTTTGCAAACTTGAAATAAATATACTTATAAAAAGTATGTAGTTTTTGAACAAAATTTGTGTACTAAATGTGCTAATTTTTTGTTAAAATTTCTTACCGAATTTTGCAATATGAATAATACCACAAATAACGATCAGCGTAATTGTTGCCACGTTAATGACCATGAGCCACCCTTGGATTTTCTCGGCCAGCTCGGAACTCGCGTAGTTGACGTAGACGACCAAACCTGTAAAAAAAACGAAAAATTAAAGATTTGGTGAGAAAGAAATCGATTTTTAGAAATTTTCAGCATTTTGTTACAAATGAGCATAATCGCAATGCATCGGGTCGCCCACAAGACTGTGAAACACTTTGGATCGTCGACGTACGGATTTATTAAATTTTTCGCTACGACGCTCGACATTATTGCGACGACGGTGGGTCTAGATTAGATTAATTTGCATATTACTAATTGCAGTTTGAATGAAATTAATGAGAGTCGATCACATTATCACGAAATTTGCTGCCCATTGAAATAAAAAACCGGCGAGAGGTCCGAAACATTCGTTTAGATAGCTGAAATTAAAAAAAAAGAATACGAAAGATTTTGAACCATGTTTGTCATGTTTTGTAAACATTAAGCTGTATTTTGTTATAAAATTTCTCGGCTTTTGATGTAAATTTTGAAATTTCAACTTAATTGAAGATATTATTGAAGATATTAAACTTTGACGCCCGTGATTGATTTAGATATCTAAAGTATGAAAATTACACTCCAAAGGTGTGATCCTTCTTATTTACTCAAAAAGTGAACCATATTTTGTTATGAAATTTCTTATTTTTGATTTTTATATCAGACTTAATCTGAGCTATTTTAAATTGTAACCTTTTCCACTTGAGGAGAAACTTACGCATAATCGCCCCCCGACACTGGAATGGTGCAGGCCAGCTCGACATAACACAACGCTCCGATGAGGGCAATCATTCCATACGTGAACCACACGATGAGCGTCATCCCCGCATTTTCTGTAGTATCTAATATGACCTGGGAAATTAACTATGAATTAAACACGGTTAAATTTAATGGCGAGATAATTTAATTACGTACTTGTGGGGCAGCAAATATTCCTAGAGGGAACACATTTTGTATTAATAAGATGTCAAAATTGGGGAAATTAAAAAATAGTTTTAAATATAAAGGAAAATGAAATTCGGATTTAATTGGGATAAATTTCAACTTTGTTATTTGAAAACTTGGGGAAATTTGGATGAAAAATTGCGGCAAAACTGGACGGAATTTTTCGATGTATTGTATGACCTCACCTGACCCCAAGACGCACCCAATCGTAACCCCGATACAGCCCAAGAGTCGAATCTTCTTTCTACGTCGGGCTCCCCCCTTTTTACCCCCGTGTTCCGACCCCATCGACATGACCGATCCTTCTTCTTCCTCTCCTTCGCTAACTTCATCCTCATCCGACAAGAGATGCGCGACGATAAGCGGTCCCGCGATTCCTGCCCCGGCGCTGCGCTGCATCGCTGAACTCCTGCGACGCTCGATCCTTCCTCCTCCTCCATCGGTATCAACGGACGAAGTGAGAAGCGGTTCGTACGTGGAGCGTCGCTTGAAACGGAATCGTGTCCCGTATTGATCCGTGATAACGCCGGCGGGGTCATCGAGATCATCGGTGCCGACGCCTTTGGTGGACTTTTGAGAGATCCGACTGGTCGTGGAAGCGGTGCGTTTTAAGCCGGAGGTGTCGTTCATAATGGGAGATTTTTGTAAAGTGGGCTCTATTCTCTTGGTGGGGTTGGAAATTTGTTGATTTTTTGAAATTCAATTTTTTCAAAATTGAAGAGTTTCTTAATTATAATTGAGTTTTATTTTAGCTGCCCCCTTTGTCAATCTGTGAACTAATAGGAACTTGAAATTTGATTAAATAACTTCCACGGCGACTAAGCTTGACAAAATGCTAATAAAATTTAATTGCAATTAACTTAATTATGGTTAATTGAACAATTATAAGTTTTGATACCTTTGGCATCCTTGTCGTCAATCTGTCGAATTGCCACCGGGAACATAGTCGTGGTCATAATCCACAAAGTCTGGGCTTATCATGACGTAGCCGACAAGAGCGTCCCAGGAGAAAACGTGCCTAGCGGTGAGATATGCCATGAAGGTGAGGATCGAAACGGCGAAAAAGACCAACTTTGATATGAAATTTATAATTGACTAATTATTTTTATAATTTAATTAGTGATTAAATTTTGAAGGGCTCACCAACAAGAGAAAAGATACTTGTCGTGGGCGAAGGTGACCTGTCAAGCGTCCTTCATGTCGGCGACGACGAGTTGCCAAAAAAGATTGTGGGTAATTACGCATGGCTGAATTTAAATAAAATTGCGACACTAATTAGCTAAATTTAAGCTACAAATAGTGGTTTGAAAATTTATATTTCAGGTTTGGAAGTTCCAAATTGGAACTGCAAACTGAGGGGAGACTGATAACACCTTAGCTTATCGAGTATAATATAAGTACACGACACCAAAAAAGGAGTTGAAACTTGTGTAAATGTGACTGAAATTGAAAATGAAACTGATAAAATTTCCAATGACTTCGAAGAATGAACTCGATATGAAATGCAGGGAGAAGAAAAAAGCATGAAAAAACGATGCGGGAATTGCATGGAGTTCACAGGCAGTCAAAGTTTATTGCAAACGTGTGAATCAGTGATCGGTTAAACATTTGCAATTTGCGAATTGTACTTAATTATTTAGAAAATTAATAGACAGTAATTTAATTTAGTTGAGGTAACTGTGCTTTACTGAAATTTTTGTCGGATATTTTTGTGTAAAATGTGTGTTTTCAAAGTCCAGATTTGTTTGCTCGAATTGCAAGAAGTTGTTTTATTTTAATTCTCAAAAGAAATAGAAAAGTAGTTAAATACTTAATTATTTAGTTGTTTTAATTATAAAACAATACTTGGCATATGTATTTTGTCGATTTTTTACAATACTGAAATTTTCTAAAAATTAAAATAATTCCAGGCTATCATGCTGTCTCGGAGGAAGCCAGATCTTATCAAGTTATCCCTCCTCCCCTCAAAGTCGTCCCCCTTTCTCATGCTGGTGCTCTTAATAATCTGTGCAAATTTCGGTCTGACCTCGAGCAAAAAAGCGGATCCCGAGAATAAGCCGGCCTGGGCGAAGAAGGACATTCGAGACTTTGATGATGCCGACCTTGAACGGTTACTGGATCAGTGGGAGGTAATAGGAAATTGCTTAAATGCATGGGTGAACAAATGATACGAATTCTGTCCAATTTTTTACAGGAGGACGAAGAACCCCTCCCAGACGATGAGCTTCCAGAGTATAAAAAACCCCCAAATCCAGGAAACTCAATGCCACCGTTGGATAAGGTAAATAAGCTTAATTTTGCTAGAATTTAAGCAACATCTTGATGCTATTTGACCTTGGCAGATTGGCCAGATGTCCCCCGACGAGATAATGAAATTGACCAAGAAGGGGAAAACCGTGATGATGTTTGTCAACCTTAATGGATCCCCGAATCGACAGGAGACAGAAGAGTTGACCTCCTTGTGGCAAGGAGCCCTTAGAAATAATCACATCCAGGCTGAACGGTAAGATATGCCCTGCCTTCTGAGCTTATCTTTAATTTGGTCAACTCATATATTTTCTTACAGCTACGTGATTGAAGAGAATCGCGCAATATTTCTCTTCCATGACGGCGCCCAGGCGTGGGACGCCAAAGAATTTCTCGTGGAACAAGACCTCGTCAAAGAGCTGACCTTGGAGGGTCAAACACATTTGGGAAGAAAGAACGGTGGTGATACAAGTGCCAAAAACGAGTTATAATTATTTAGTCATATATTTTTAAATCGTTATACATAAAATTAATAGGGTACAATTTTGTTATGTTTGAATTTGATATTGATTAAAAATACATTTTTTCAAAATATTGGTAAAATGAATTATAAAATTAAAGCATATTTGCATGCGTTTTGCACAGAAATTCTGAAATTTTTAACAATTCTCATATTCTCCAAATGTGGAAAAAAATAATGTGCGGGAGTAGCGGCGCTCTTCTCGTCTGTCTTCACGTGGATGAAGGTTCGGTGTCACATAAATTTCGCAAATTAATTGGTAAATCAATCATATACTTTGCAAATAGTGAATGCCACCCGGTTTCTCGTTGCTAAAGTTAGTTAGAAGGGCAACAATAAAACCACTCCTCCTTTTCCCACGAAATAGAAAGTCCTGTCAGTTTTTTGGAAACAAGAAATTCGCCGCAAAAATGGAAGTCGACCCTGTCGCGAAACAGCGTAAAATCTCGTCGGAATCCAACGTCCGAGTGATTGGGACGCATAGCGGGTGCTTCCACTGCGACGAGGTCCTGGCCGTCGTCATGCTTAAGTTTTTACCAGAGTGGAAAAACGCGCAGATTGTGCGGTAAGAAAATCATTTAGTGTTGAATTAACTAATTATCTAATTTGTGCATAATTGATAAATTAATTAATTTACAGAACTAGGGACGAAGAAATTCTAAAAACTTGCGACATCGTTGTCGACGTTGGTGGCGTCTTCAATCCGGAAACGAAACGATTCGACCATCATCAAAAGTAGGTCCAAAAACCAAAATCCAATTTAAAATCCTTCATTATATTTAGTCTAAATATGTTTGTCGCAATGATAGTCAAATCGCCTGGCAAATTATTAATTAACTAACAATAACTAACCTAGTTATGTAGCTAATAATTAAATTTGTCCTGGGTAAATTTGCAGAACTTTTACCCACTCAATGTCCACCGTTCGACCTGGAACACCTTGGGTCACCAAATTGAGCTCGGCTGGTCTCGTTTACGCCCATTTTGGGGAAGACATCATCGCCCACATTCTCGATAAGGGGCGGGAGGACGAAGTCGTGGTGAAACTTTTTGATAAGGTCTACACCAATTTTATCGAAGAGATTGACGCGATTGATAACGGGGTCGCGGTGAGCGATGGGGAATTGAAGTGAGTTAATTATTGGAAAATTAAAACGTTTCACATTTAATTAATTAATTTGCCAATTAATTACATAGATATCGAATCACGACAACGTTAAGTGGTCGAGTGGGCGGACTAAACTCGTCCTGGCGTGACCCAGATCCTTCAGAGGAGAAGGACATGGTCAACTTCCACAAAGCGATGGAACTCGTCCGCTCCGAATTTTTGACCAAAGTCCATTTCTACGCCAACGACTGGTGGGAGGCGTACTCCATCGTGGCGGCGGCAGTGGAGGCACGATTCGAGGTCAGATTTGACTTTGAGGCTTCAGTGTGTCAAAATTTGGTTACAATAACAAATTTTATGTGTCTAAAATATACAATTTTGTGATAAAATTTCATATATTTTCCATCAATATGAAATCTTCGGTTAAAATATCCAATTTTATGTTAAAATTTTGAATTTTATGTAAAAAAAAAGATTTAGAATTTTCCACCAAAATGACATTTTCTGTTAAATAAATTAATGAACACTGTATGATTTTCCAGGTCGACTCTTCCGGCCTGATAGTTGAATTTCCACAGGGCGGCGTCCCCTGGAAGGATCACTTGAAAGATATCGAGGACACGACCGGTGTTATGATTGCATTCGTAATTTATCAAGACGGGTCAGGCATGTGGCGTATTCAGGCCGTTCCAGTCGCGCCAGCTTCGTTCACCTCAAGGTTATCATCATTTATTCATTTACATCATACTTACTTGATAGTTACTTGTTACATAGTTACTTGATAATTAATTATAATATTTATTTAACAGGGTGCCCCTCCACCCAGCCTGGTGCGGTCTGCGAAACAAAGAACTCGAAGAAATCAGTAAAATCCCGACCATAAAATTTGTCCACAGTTCAGGCTTCATCGGAGGAGCGTCTGATCGGGGGGATGCCATTCAAATGGCAAAATTATCCCTGGCAGCCAAAGGCGAGTGGAATGGGGATTAATGATAAGCGACACATTCAATTTGATTTCTGATATACAAGATTTATTTAAAGTTTTGAAATAAATTGTATAAACAACTACATTTATTTATTTATTTACTTAATTAATTACTTAATCTCCACCCCTTTGTTGTCGCGAGTCTCTGATAAAATTCGCCAACGCCACAGGATTGACGCCTTGTTCGCAGAGACGAAGACAAAGACCGAGCGATTGCGTGTCCAGCCCGGTGTTGAGAATGTCGGACATTTCTTTTAAAATGCGGAACGTTTCCTTTTGCTGGTCTGTCGACGTTTCCGTCGATGCTGTGGTGGAGGTTCGATTGGTGATATTTTGATTGGGTGGACCGCCACCGGCCCCACTCGAACTACTCGTGGGACCACCACTGGCACCACTGGTCATGTTTCTGTAAACAAGTTAAATAGATGACATTAATTAGTCGTTAGTTTATTATTTATTAAAATTTTGAATTTAAAAATATAGCGCATGAAATGAAGTGATTTACCAGGTTTTATTTTGGGGAGGATGAATGTTGATGACCAAGTGACGGTATGAATCTCCTCCCACTTTTGAAATTGATGCTAATTTGTTCTTTTGATGGAAACTTTGAAACTACTTTTTATAGAAATCTAGAAATCATTTCTTTACATTAAAACACAAAAAGTTGAACAGAATGAAGTGGATTGGCGCTGGCTCGGAGCAAAATTTTGAGTTGAGATCAGGTGAGATTGCGGCTGATCCTTTTTCTGGTGAGTATTTTTTTAAATTTGTAATTATTTAATTAATTAATACTTGTTCCAAATAATTATATCAGTGATACGTTTAATTACTAGGTTTGGAGGGGGTGTAGTATCAAGTTGAAACATGTCGCTCCGCCGATTAGGAAGACTTACAAGGTGAGAAAGAAGAAAGAATTTTAGGTTTTGAAATTAAATATTGAAGGACTGATAACGTCTTATCATTTGACAGAATCGGGACGAAAGCCGGCCTGGCTGGAGGGACGATTTACCTCTATTACGAAACCGGCCTTTGGAAAGGGTCCGACGAGACGATTCAAAATTACGAAAAGTTTAAAAAAGATGTCAAACTGTTGTACGAATCCACGCCCAGCGATGTCCAAAAGTGGGCAGAGTACGGAAAATCCTCCCTCACCGAGAATATCGCTCCATACAAGAAGGTAAATTGTGAAATTTTATTAAAATTCGTTCCCAAAATTCAATTTTCTTGATTAATTTTAAAATTTTAGTCCATCGCCGACTTCCGAGAACAATATTTGTCCTTTGACCTCTCCTTCTTGACCGAAGAGGGCGACGGAGTGCTGAAACCGACCTGGAACAAGGGGGTATCCTGGACGTTTGAATCGCTCCCTGGCACGTTGAAAGGTTGGGGTTCCTCGGGGTGGAAAATGGTGTCAGATTTAGCAACAGATAAGACCGCAGCGACTGGCGTCACAGCGACGGCGACGTCTCCAGCTCAGAAGCAATAGAACTGAATTTAATTTCTGAATTCGTATCGTAGTGTCCTTTCAAAATTCTGGGTATTTTATTTTCCTAGTCGATCAATAAAATTATATGTAAGTTCCGAACTTTTTTGATGTAAAATCTCTTTTTTTATTTCAAATTGTATCATTTTTCATGTATAATAGTCAAAAAACATACATCATCAATCAGCAGCAAAGAGTCAACCTTTGCACTCGCTACACAAACTTACCAAAACGAAAAACTGAGAATTATTTGAAACCGAATCAATCATTAATTTTTATGAATTTTTATAGAAAAGTAGAAACAAAAAAGTTTATCTAAATTATTAAAGGGAACTATTTTTAATTTGTGTCCAAATCATGTTATGGAACCTAAAATTATTCTAAAGTTCAAATTTTTTTGTCTGTCCATCATTTCGATAAGTACTAATAATACGAGTCAAATTACGAAAAAAACACTAAAAAGACGTAAACATATCCAATCGAAAATCAAGAATCTGCAGCTTATTGCATGAATTTTTTTTAGGCTCGTAATCTCGAATCGACATAATCGACACGAAGAATTTGTTTTTCTTGTTTTTGGGCCCAAAAATTTGGCGTTGGTTTTGTTATTTTATCCGAATCTTGGGAGTTCTTCGGTTTAGTTTTGAGGAGAGGGATTTTTTTGAGGGAAGAACGATCACAAAAATTGTGGAGAGAGAAGCAGATGGAAGATGAGTAAGTTTGGGGAAAGAGAGGTGACGATGATGATGAGTGGCGTGATGTGGGTTGGGTGATGGTTGTCCTTAGTAATTGTCGTCCTTAATTTGTTAAGCTTTCGACTCCCCGTTCGGCGCTGGGTCCACTTTAACAGCAGCCGCAGCGTCACCACCTGCAGCAGCTTTGGCGGCCTTCTTTTTATTTTTCTTGGCAGGGTTGACACCGGTGGCGAGTAATTTCTGTTTAAAAGGGGAAAAGAAAGGTCGGATTAGGAGGGTGAAGGGTTACTTTAATTAACTAAATTGTATAATTAGCAAATTTTGTACCTTGATCTCCTCGTCCTCAATCTTGTACTCGGACTGGAAGAGGTCAGGATCGACAGGAAGGCCGGTAATTTTATGGAGGCCAGAGGGCATGAGGAGGACGGTGAACTTGAACTGGGCCACGATCTCGTTCGGCTTCTCGTAAAGGACCTGATAAGGGTCGATCAGCTTTGTCTTGACGCACTCCAACACTCCCAACTTGGCTTTCTTCTCGTCCTCAAAGTCACGCAGGTTGAAGGCCATCGTGCCGTGTTTGGATTGAACCTGAAGCACAAAATGGTGAGATAATGTCATATTTTTTTTACAATATACACGATGCGGTACATTCGTACACAAGCGTTTAACATGACTTATTGCATTTTTTTGGTAAAATCAATCTAATTTTTTTGGATTATTTCAAAAATAAAGAGTGAACGGTTAACTCTGTTCAAAACTTATTGAGGCAAAGTTTAATTGAAATGCTGTAAAAATTCGGAGACTTTTAGAGACTTTTTTCCATTAAAAAACGCATGGTAAACGCTTATGATTATACGAATCAATATTTTGATTGGGTCATGCCCCCACCTCGCTAAAGAAAGCCCGTGCCGCCTTCAATTTTAACATGTACTGTTCTTCAGTCCGTTTATACACGGCTACTCGAGTAGTCATTTCCTTACCCTGGGAAAAAGAATAAGATAATTAATTACATAATTTCCACCTTATTTACAATAATTCTTTATGACCACTAACTGACCTGACCCTCGCCTGTGGAGATGAGCACATCGACCGCGTAAACCTCGTTCACTTCAAAGGTGCACTTTTCATACTCCTTTTTTTGCGCGTCGTTCGGATTTTGAATGATGGTCTTCTCCCCGTCGATCCGATTCTGGTGAAGCTGATGGGACAACATCCCTTCGATTGGTTTGCATTTAAAGGACTCGGAAATCGTTTGAACGGCTGCCGTCACTTTGTCAGACTGCAAAAATAGAGAGCATAATTATAATGTAAATGATGAGTAATTAATTAACATTAATAAGTAATTGGGCATCGAGAGAGTTAATTAATTTCTACCTCATTCGCCGGTCGCACTAATCTGAGCGCGGCTTCGGAGCAGTAATGAGCAGCTAGCATGACATCCGCCTTCCTCCCGGTCACTTTCCCTTGTGGCGCGACGACAATCGTATGCGCCACTACGGCGATGAAACCCGCTATGTGGGCGCCCATATCACTAAATAGATATGTAAATTAGTATTAGCATTCTTCATTAATAATTACTCAAATTAACCCACATTTTGCAAACATCTTCCTCCTTAAGGATGTAGTCAGGCTCGGTGGAAAGCGGAGAAAAGTGGCAAATGCAGTTATTTACTGAAATACAGGTCGGGAAGGCGATTCCTAAAAAAGAAAATTATTAGGAGGGCTATCTTCTTGATTAGTTTAAGTTTATCCAATTTTTATCTTACCCTTTTTCATATCCTTCTCCTTCTTAAACTGCTTTCCCGTCTCTTCCACGATGATCTTATCCCCGATAATGCAAAGGTCGCGGACCGAAGCGCCAATCACCGCCTTTTCCACTACCGTCTTGAGCGCCTCTGAAATAAAGTGAAATTCAGGTCAAATTCAGGTCGCCATATGTCACCAAAATCAATTTGTCCTCTTTCTTACTCTGTGTAATTTCCGCAGCCATTTTATACTTGGTCACGACCAAATCTTCGGCAATGGTCTTTTCGGAGTCTTCCTTGTCCCCCATTTTAATTTTTTTCACTCGGCGTTAATTACTTAATTAATTATTTGTCGGCAACGAACGAGGAGCACGTTGCTAAATAAATTTAATTTGAGAAAGTTGCAGTTTTAGTTTGGTTCGTGGTTTGATTGAGACGAGTGAGACGAGACAAAAAGACTCGTGAATGAATTTCGTGAATCCCTCGCGAAAAAGGTAGCGAGGAGGATCCAAGCATGGCGTGGTGGTGTCTCAAAGTACCCCAACCCAACCTGCGCGCTGGGCGGGAATATTTAAATTTTCATGCGAAATGTCCAAATCTTAATTGGCACAGGATTAATTAAAGAGCGATATAAATCTAGTAATTAGTGATATATCATTGTTTCAAAAACAAATTGTCAAATTTTTAGGAATCTTTGGGAATTTTTGGGTCGAAATTTTTTTTAAATTTTATTTCAATTTTTCAAAGAAGTAAAATTTTTTGAAAATTTATTCCAAAATTTTTATCACGTACTAAATTTCGAATCCCTTGTCACGATGCATGGAGAAATTCTGGTGGGGAATCTGACAGTCAGAGGGCTCACATATTAAATTTTATTTACCTTTTTCAAGCGGAGCTCTTCGAACGGGAAAACAAAACTTTGAATGAGAAAAGGAGAAGAAAAAGAAAAGCCATGAGAAGTTTTTCAAAAAACTGTGATTTAGTTTTTTCGTCTACTCCTAACTAGCATTTATTTTGATGGAGTAGTTTACTTAAAATTGAACATAATTCATTAAGATGGCAGAATTAGGGGAAGCGTTGACCGAGACGAAGAGCGAAGAAGATAAATTGCAAGTGGACAAGGTAGCGGGTAACGATGATGATAAGCCTGCCGGGGAAATAATTACGGATAAGATGGACATTGATATTAATCCTGGTTCGGATAAGGTAACGGAGGGTGAGGAAGATAAGCAACAGGTAATTGAAAAAATACAAGTATTTTTGCATGAATTTTTCAATTAATTAATTAATTAATTTGCAGGCAAGGTCAACTCCACCCGTGACCGAAATGGCGACGTTCGCAACTCTTGTCCCTGTTCCTATCGAGGCAGAACCCCCACCGGCAGCACTACCCCCACAACCGGAAGTGAAAATTGATGACGCTCCACCCGTCGTCCCCTCTACGTCCGCGTCTACCTCGTCGTCAGTCGATAGCACCATCGCCGCCGTGATTTCAGCCTCGTTGGAATTTGGTAAAGAAAATTCCTCCCTTGATTTGATGAAAGAGAAGAAAGTCAAAGTTAAGAAGCCTTCGACGTCCCCTCGTGGAAAGGATGGAGCAAAATCTTCTCCCAATAACAAAGTGTTCAAATCTGCCACTTCATCATCCAAGAACAAGAGTGTAAGGAATGCAAAGAAGTTGGGGAGCGGGGAAAAGAGGGGGCGAAAGACAAAGGAATGGTACGCCGCGTCGGGAAAAGAGCCAGGATTTTCGAAACTCAAGAGGTCAAAGAAGGTCTGGGATGATTGGGATGAACCGACTTTTGTCAGTACGAAGGGCGACAATAAGGCGAAAGCGGGGAGTAAGACGACAGTGGGAGGAGGAGGGACAGAGAAGAATTCTACTTCTGTGGCAAATGTGACGGTGAGTAAATTTGGAAAATTTGGCAACTTTAGGGCCATTTTCTCCTTTTTGGATTCAAATATCAAATAATTAATTTTACTAAATTGCAGACGAAGGAGTTGTTGAACGTGATCTCGTTGGACCACAATTACTGCCAGGTTCTGTACTCCATGTCGCGCTCGAAAGTGCAGCCCTTTCGCCACATTTTTGGTCCCAAGGATGAATATAAAGCCCAATTTTATCCGGAGAGCCTCATCTCTCCGAATAAGTTCCTTCCCCCGATGTGTCTCTCACTGCCTCTCCCACAACTAGACTCCCCCCTTCCACCACCACAGGCCAAGTCGAAGTTGGAATATTTGCTCAAGTAAATGCATAAGTGCAGGGTTTATATAGTGCTTGGATTTTTATTGGTTTTGAGTCAAAATTAGCAATTTTTAAGTGAACTTCATTTTGTCCTTGAGTTTGATTTTATCTTGAGGCAAACTCATAAAAACTTGCGTCGTTTTTATTGAAATTAAGTTTTTGTATTTTATAGCAAAAAATGTGATGTATTTTTGAAAGCTCTGTTAAAAACACTTCATTTCTGTCAATTTATTCAGTGTTTAGATTTCTTGTGTTGTTTTTCATTCAAACTTTTGATGATGATGATTTTATTTGTATAATTTTGATTTAAGATTACTAGTTGATTTAGAATCGTCGTGTTTTACACAATTTTGAGCTGAATTATCGAAACTTTTCCCACAGTTGACTGGAAATTGATAAAATTTTGAAAGTCTTTACCAAAAATTTGTAAAACGTTGAATTAATTAAGCTTCTCTTTTTTTGCAGGGGTGGTTCAACCACTGTGACGCCATGTTCCTCTCCCATCATTCAGCGGATCATGCCCCCAGCGGTGAAGAGATATTGGGACGTGCATGAAGAGACGGAGGACGAGTTGGACGTTGTAACCGTCGTTCCGGGTGAGTCTCCAGGCGAAAACGTCCCCTACGACACGACCAAAGCGAGGAATCTCATGCTCCAGTGCGACAAACATTCCCAAATTATTAAAACTTTGGAAGGCGAGGATGACTGGGAAGATCAGATCTTGAGGTACAAATATGTAGCAAAGATAGTGTAATTATTTAACATTTATAAAAATACTGAAAATATGAAATTTTATATATTTTTTCTAATCATTCAATGCTGAAGTTCTTAAGAATCTAAATTTGTTAACTTTCGTCTAAAATGGTCGAAATATTAACAAAATTTAGTACAAAAATAATATATGAATTTTTCAGAAAATGATTATTTTAAATTGAATGCTAAAGAATCTTTAGTAAAGACTCCAACGTTTCGTAATTTTAATTCGAAATAGTCAAATTATTGAGGTAATTTATGCATTTTTGAAAAATATACGAATCATTTCTGCACTTCAACTATGTACAAAATATCGATGTTTGTGAATTTGCCACTTGCAACTTGTTGAACTACAAATGTTAAATGTAGAGTTAATTAACCGGCAAGTATTTAATTACCTGGAAATTTAATTAACTAGAATGAATTAATTGATTGCTATATTATTTTCCAGAACTGGGTGGACGCCCTCGCAGAATAAACTATTTGACGCTGTGATTGCTGCCCTGCATGCCGAACATCTTGCCCGATTGGCGTACGTGGACCTCCCAGCGGAGCCCATTCTGCGCCGCTGCTCTCTCGATAAGACGACGCGAAGGGTGCGCTCTGCGTTAACGCACGTGCTATGGAAAACCCACGCCACGCAATGGCTACACTCCGTCCTGCTCGAAAATCTCAACCAGACGTATCTCTCCATTTATCTGGATGTCCTTCAGGTAGAAAACAAAATGAACAATTTTCTGCTAAGATTTTCAGATATGAAAAAAATTGATTTAAACAAAGTTACAAAGTTTTGGGATAAAAGTCGAAAGCATTTCGATCGCGTTTAACGCCGAAATATTAATTTTTAAAGATTTTGAGGTTTGTTATAATTAAATGTAGATTTATCCTCTCTCTTCTGGAATAACTTCTCAGAACTGTTTTAATTAGATAGATATCTAATTAAAACTGTTTTAATTAAAGAGGAAACAAAAATTGAACAAATTTCAGTTAAAATCTTACACATATTTTGAACGTTTTGTTCAAAAAGTACTTATATTTCAAAATATAAATTTCGAAGATATTAAAGCTATGGTTAAAATTAAAATGTAGGTTAGGTATCAGTTCGAAAAATTTGAAAGTTAAAACTTCAAGAGGAACATGGGCCAATTTCAATTTGAATTTTTACAATGAGACGATTCATGAAGTCATTCTAAAATCCGTGCGTTTTGTAAATTAATTTTTACAAAATAAAAAGACGTCCTTGATCTGAGTTGACAGAAATGTATAAGCTAATTTTCCTCAGAAGTTGTAAAATTTTGAAAAGTTTACGGAACTTTTTACAATGTTACCAAGACCTGTATGAATTGTCTCAAAATAAAATTGCATGGAATTTTTTAAATCCACAAAATTAATGTAAATTTTCTCCCCAGACTCTGAAATCCATCGCACCCAGTCTAGTGGACAAAATGATCGTCTTATCGACCGCTCCAGTCAAAGAGGGCCGTCACGAGGAGGCCTTTTCCGCCATGGAGGAACTCTCCGATCCGAACCACACCTTCCCCCCGACCACATTGCAAGTCCTCTCCACCATTTCGGACAACGTGGTGCTCCCTGTCGCCGGGCAGGAGGGGGACTCTTCCACTGGCGGCGAGGCTGCCGAAATTCCTGCTGCCAACGTTGCTGACACGCTGAAACAAGTCTTAGTCAAGAAGGCGACGCATCTCAGCGCGATTAGTGCCGACGCGTTGACGCTGTTGCTGAAAAAGCCGTGGGATCCGTTCTCTCCGGTCGTACACCTCTCGAAGATTAAAAAGTTGTCGAGCTCTCCAGTCTTTCTGTGGATTCCGTGCGTCACGCCGGCCAATACGCCCATGTCGTTGAGACGGTTCAAAAATTTTGTGGCGATGTTGGGTGTGATGGGAAAGGTGAGATTTTGGATACAATTTTGAGTAAAATTGTGATAAAAACTTGAAAAATTTGGGTTTATAAGCGAGACAAAAGTGGAAAATATGTGGAAATAAGTTTAACGTGTAATATAAAACTGGAACCTTTGTATGCAAATTATGGGATATTTCTAAATTGTAGTTTGATAAAAATTTTAGAAATTTGAGGTGAATTTCCATCCGACATTTTGAATTATACAGAAAAATGAAATTGGAAAGTTCAAAATTGCAAATTTTAATTTTAAGAAAACATTTCCCAATTTTCATTAAAAAAAGTTCTAATCTTGAAAAATTCTTAAAAATCATCCCTTTTTTCTGTTCTGCAGGTCTTTCAACTAAACATTATAGCCGCTCGGTGTTCATCAGTGGCGAAATTCGCCCAAAATCTGCTTGCCATGACAAAATCGAAGATATTTGAGATTCGGAAAACATTTCCCGACAAACCTCTGTTCCTGATTGGATGGGGAACTGGGTCGATTTTGGCGACAACGGCGTCCGTGACACATCCCGTTGATGGCGTGATAGCCATGTCGTTCCCACTCTTCGGACTGGCCGGACCTCGCGGCACGTTGGAGGACAACATCCTCGAGATGAAGAAACCCGTCCTATTCGTGATTGGGGGAAGGGCTTTAGATGTCAGGTGGGAAATAATTTAAGGCTACTGAAATCCCTTAACTTGCTAAATGAGTTGTGTGTGTGTACCGTAAATTTACTAATTTATTCACAAATTTGCAAAAATTGCGGAGGAAAATTAGGCTACAAATTGTAAATTTACGTAGATCATTGGCGCTTCCTTAATTTACAAAAGGCATAAAGATCGCAAAGATCGACGTGAATTGGTTAAAAAATTGGCTCGTTTATCCCCTATAACTCGAACGACGCAAATTAATTATTAATTTTGATTTATAATTTATTTTCTAGTTTGACAGAGATTGAGTTGCTCCGAAAACAGTTAAGTTGCGAATCCTCCCTGGTCGTGGTTGGATCGGGGGATAAGAATTTACGGATCTCACGTTACCATCGGGAACGTCTCCTCGTGACACAATCCTACGTGGACAAGTGTCTCATCGACGAGATCGCCTACTTCATCAATCTCCACTCCAGACATCAACACCACGCATATAATCCTGCAGGCGTGCGGAGTGTTGCGGGGATGAAGAGGGAGCCCGTCTGGACGACGCCGAAGGCTCCAGTCAAAAAGAGAATGACGAGCGGTCAGGTCGGAGAAGGGAAAGTTTCGACCCCTCCGACAAAGGCGTTGGCGACTTCGCCGTCTCCAGTTAAGCCGACTGCGTCTCCTGTTAAGGCGACTTCGTCCCCAGTTAAGTCAACCCCTGCGCTTGGCGAGGATAGCAATTCTAATAACTCGACGTCCTCCATTCCTCCAATAACAACGACGGCGACGGCAACGACACCATCTACAAGTCACAGTTTCTCAGCAGATTTCTTGGCGGGTGGAGGAACCACGGGAGTAACGTTGACTCCGACATCGACGGTGGCGGCAGCCCCGAAGAAAAGAAAGCAGTCTGGCGCGGATGGAAGTGGAGGAGTGAAGAAACCGAGGGGAGAGAAAAAGAAGAAATCTGGTGGAGCGGAAAGACCGCAGGGTAAAAATTTTGCGATTAAGAATTTTAATTGGGGATTAATATTTTAATTGTGGAGTAGGAATTTAATTCCTGGGTTTTATCTTTTGATGCAGATGTCGATCGAAAAATGGCGGTGAAATCGGACCCGCCCGCTGCGACGGACTATGTGAGCCCAGTTCTGACCTATTTAGGCGCCACGCCAGGCCAGGTATTTATTTTTGTATACAGAATAATGTTCAGAATAATGTTAAAATATTCATTAATTAATTATGTTACTTAATTCCAGGGTGGCTTATTACACAACCTCCTCAGCCCGACCAACACATCAAAACCTGTCGTCCTAAACATTCCCACCCCCAGTTCCACGACCCCACTGGTCCTGAAAGCCACGAAGAAACCAGCACGACCCAAATCCGCCAAGAAATTCACCCCGCTTCCCCCACTTCCCGCTCCACCAAAATCACAACTTATGGACCTCCCCGTCATCACGGTCCCCTCGGCGTCTACCCCTCCTCAAAGTCAAGCTCCTCCTCCCCCCTCCACAATTTTGGCCGGTGGCGCCACCGCGACTCCCGTTTCTGGCCCGGTAATCCCCACCTTCACTTCGGTCGATTCTATGCGCCAGTACGTCATGCAACATCAGCACGTGATGCAGCGACACTTACAAAACATGCAACAGTCGCCCAATTCTCCCCAGTTGTTGAGACTTCTATCGCCCGGAGGTCAAGGCCAAGGTCACCTGGCGCACCCAATGTACTCATCTTCACTCCCGAGCTCCGCCCCATACGCAGCGCCATCGATGGATACTTCTTCCCTGCCAAGTACACGTATCGACGCGGGCAATGTCGGGCTGCCGTCAGACGTGAATGTCACCTTGATCAAGCCCGGACCAGGGCAGGAAGGTCAGCCTCCTCCAGGGGTCAATATTCCCCTAGAATGCCCTACATGACAACGACACGACCTACTCAGCAAGTCATGACTACGATGTATCAATCCATCCTGCGCCCTCCCATGACCACAACGACGACTACGACCACCACCACATTTCGTGGCAGTGGGGGCGGGATTTCTATGCCGATGCCCGTCCTGGGGGAGGGCGCGCAGGCGAACGTCGTCTTCAAAACGGCGGACAAGACGATTCATACGACACTGAGTACGGAAGATGTGAAATCACTCTTTGCTGGGGGCGTGTTACGATGCAACGTTCCTGGAGAAAGTATGCCGGTGAATATCGTCTTGAAATCCCAGATGCCCGTGGTGTCCACTCATTTGCCGAGTGGGGCGACGTTTCAGCAACAATTTCAACAGACTACGTCCCTCGTGCGACCGACCGTGCCGACAGTACAGACGCCATCGTTGGGGACGATTTCTATCGCGATGCCGACCCAGCCGCAGCAACAGCAAAGTATTGTGACGAATGCGCCGATAATGGCGACAAGTACGGCGGCACAGTCGCCACAGTTTCCGATCATTACGGGGATCAAGTCGCTGGCGCCTCCGGTAGTTACTAGTACAATGGCGACGACAACGACGACGACCCCAGCGCCAATTTATGCAAAGAAATCTAGCCCTGTTGCAAATCCGAGTGCGACGAAGGAGGTAGTCGTGGAGGATAAGAAGATAGTCAAAGTGAAAAGGAATTCAGGGGTGGCGACAGGAAATAAGTCGACCATGGCGTCGGGAGAGAAGACGCCGGTGGCCACGATGGGAGAGAAGTCGACAGTGGCGAAGACGGGAGAGAAGAAACCTACGACGAACCGAAAACGGAAAGCTAGCGCGGCGACAGAAACACCCACGACGACACCAACAACGCCAAAAGTAAAGGCGAAGAAGAAAAAGAAAACGTTACAGTTTGACTCGCCTTCTTCAACATTGGGAATTTGCGCTTCGCCTCCAGGATCGCTGTCAGAAGTGGCGACCCCATCACCAAAACTGGCGAAGTTGGTGGATGAGGTGCCAACTAGCAGTGTGACGATAACGACTTCTGTTCCAACTGTGACCACGTCTACCACAACGGTTGCTACTGCTGCTGCTGCTCAGCCTGAAACCGTCACGAAATCCAATACTACTCCGATCAGCATTTTGACTCCTATCGTCAAGTCGAAACCAGCTAAAACCTACCCGAAAAGTAGACGTGCCAGCGGAGCAGCAGGAACGAAAGGGGCCAGCTCAGCAGCAGGATCCAAAGGGGTCGCCAGCGGAACTAAGAAAACGTCGCCATCAAAGAAAGTAACCCCCACACCACCAGCAAAAACTGTATCAACTCCACCACCACTCGACCAACAAGTCAGCAGTGTTACTCCTCCTCCCGAAAAGAAAGAAGAGGTCATCATCGTCACAAAGTCATCATCCTCTATCGTGACACCTGACCCTCCATCGACCCCAGTAGTCAAACAAACCACAAAAGTTGAAATATCATCTCCTCCTACGACACGAAACCGTAAAAAGTCCACCCCATCGAAACCCACCACGGGAAAACCGGTAGTCAAGAAGAAGAAGTCAACCAGGAATAATTCAACCTCGTCGACAACAACAACGCCGATTACGTCATCAGTCACGACCTCCACTCCTGTCGAGCCACTCGTTGTGTCCACGTCCACGTCCACAATTTCTGAAGCTCCCGAGATTCCAGCAACCATCACGACTCCACCGCAGAGTGATTCTCCCGACTCGCCGGAAGCACCGCCACGTCTCACACGTTCCATGAGGAGACAATCCTCCGCGAACAATTAGACTATTATTTACGTCTCTGTGTAAAAAATTTGGGACAATTTTCATCCAATTTCACCTCATTTTTGGTCCCGCTGTTGTTTCTTTTTTGAGAAAAATGTGTAGATTTGTTTAGAATTAATTGGTCTTTTTCTGTTTTTGCTGTAGGACTTTCTTTGTAGGGCCCGGCAGGAAAAATGTGATTGCTATTGTGTCGCGTTGGTGGTATGGTAAAACCTAAAATGTAGGTTATGCAGGGTCTCTAAATCTTATTGTATGACTTTTTTTGTCCTATTTTCTCTCTGTATTTCTGAATTAGATAGTTGTAAAATGATGCCTACCTTTTTTCGTTGAGGTTTCTTGTGTCGTCTTTTTTATTTTTTTCTGGGTGATGGGTTTGTTTCTTTGTTTATTTTTGGGAATGAATCGTTATAATAATAATAATAATAATAGTATTTATTATACTGATCTTATCATAATATGTGATACAAAAAAACACCTCATGTTATAAAATAGAGAAGGAGACTCTACCAACATTTAGTTAAGTAAGCAACATACATGGTTTCGACAGTTTACAAACTCTCTAAGCCACTACTATTAGTTGGAATGATACTTAACAATACTTATAACTAAACACAATTAACTAAACACAATTTTTATCTTTCAGCATTAGAATAGTTATTAGCATTAGATAGTTATTTTCTAGAATTTTGTGAGCACCGTATTTTTGATACGATATAAATTAATGAATTATAGTTGTTTACGTATGCAATTGAATGTATGGTTGCGGGTAATGAATTAATAAATGGTATAGTTTGTTGAAATTTGGGGAATTTATTGTTCGTTAATCTCATTATCAGAGGGCGGATATGTATTTACGAAAACTCGCGGAAATATGTATTTAATATTTATGAAATAAGGCCAAAATATGTACGAAAAAATCAGAATTTTCGCAAAATTCGTATTTTATAATATAATTCTCTGAATCTTTTGTAGTAGAATTTCTTTATGCGAAAAAATTTCGTCTCACATTGCATCGTTGAAATATTTACAAAATATACAAATTTTTTTTAAAATGTGTAAATATTCACAAAATATTTCCGTATTTTTCGAGTTCTTTGAGTGAAAAAAATTTCGTCTCATATCGTTGAAAATTTCAACCTGAAATGTTTACGAAATATAAAAATTTAAAAATATATATAAAAGAATTCCTTATGTCCATATATTTCAAACAGCGGAAATATTTGTATGTCTGAAAGCCCAGAAATATGTTCCAATACATAAAAATAGTTTGAAATTTTGGTGTTCTTTACACCGACAAAGTTTGACCTTCTGTCCTCATCAAATCAAAAAGATAAATACATACATAGCCGCCCTCTTCTGCTCCAATATTGTGTCCAATTCTTACCCACCCACGCGTAAAGAATGAATCTCCCGTATAAGCACCTCATTCCCTGTCACGACATTATTCAGGTTTTCCATTAAAAATTCATCACGGAAATCAAATCAAAACGCATCTCGTCGTTGGAAGAGGAGGCGTTTTAAATTGGTGAACTCATTGGGACAAAGAAACTTGTTAGTTTATTTTCTTTCCGGGTAAAACACGTAAAATACGGGTCGTGCGGGAAGGGTGTGATTGAGTTTGTGCAAATTCGGTTATCATGAAAGGATAACCTTTTACGATGATTTTACCCGGGTAGAATTTTCGTACGGGATCCTTCTTTCTAGGGAAAATAGGTACAATATTTAAGTGGTGGGTGGGGGGAACGGGATTTACGGTGGGTCCCCGATACCCGGGTAGTACTTTCCCGGTTTTTGAGAGTACTTCAACTAAATGATTTGAGCGGTTGGTTGGTTGGCAGGAAAGCTTTCTCCTTTCCATCGGAGAATATTATTTATTTAGTTTTAAAGAGTCCTTGACAGACAGACGACAATTTAGTAGGCAGACTTTCAGTTTACACCGGTAGTAGTACCACCACCACCACGGCCATGAATGGGGATGCCATGCAGATTTCCACTTCTGGGAACTATGTATGTATGTACTTATCAATATTTCAGATAAGTACTTATTTGTTGTTAGAGACGTGGGAGGAAACGTCACGAACCCCAAAACTCGAGGGGACGTGCATATAAAACATGTTGACCTTGATAAGCTTGGGTTACCAGATAGGCTGAATTTTGCTTGATGGGTGCATCTCGTATATATTTTGAGTGAGAATTTTCAAAAAATTGTCCTCATTTAGAACAAATGGGAAATTCGTAACCGTACTTTTTTTGATGTGCATGCATTTCGCAAATCTTAGGACGAGATTAATTCCACTCTCGGTTAGAAAAATTGGTACTGTGCATTTTTACGCCCATCAATTCCCCGTCACCGATTTCCCCCCATCGATTCTCACCCCACAAGTTCACCGCTTTATCAATTCCCCGCCATCAATTCCCCGTTATCAAATTCTCACCCGTCTCATGAAATGGCAACAATGCACCAAAACTGACGCTACCAAAACCATTCACTTTTAAAGGGTGATATGATAAAACTATCAAGCTTCAATATTATCTGCTCCTTTAACATCCAGGTAGTGAACAACTTCTTCCAAGTAAACCTAAAAAAACATCGTACAATATTGGTCAGTAAAATAATTTATTATTTATAAATAAAATAAAATAATTAATAATAAAATAATTTATATAATTTATTAATTAAAATAATTTATTTATTTTCGAGGAAATTTATTGTGATAAAAACGGTAAATAAATAGGCTAATTTCTTAAAAGTTCAACGTTTTGTACTACAAACAAATAGGTTCGTCCTATATAAATTGTTCAAAGTTGCATCCCTCTCAAAACTCATGAAGTTGATGCCATTTTAGAATTTGCATTTAAATAAATTGAACAAAGGTTGAGTGAAACTAAAAACTCTATGATGAAGATATTGGACCTTAATCAAATATCAAAAAACGACTACCTTGCAATTTGAAGTCTGCTTTCCCCGACTTTCACTTACTTGCTCACGCGCTCACTCAGTCAGAAACTTTTCACTATTTTTTTAAATAAAGAATTAAAAGTTTACTTGGAAGAACTTGTTCATTACCTGGATGTTAAAGGAGCAGATAATAGGTCCTCTCAAGGCTCAAAAAATGAGCGAAATGAGCAATGAGCAGAAAAATAAAAAATCAGATTTTTCTGCTCAAACCTTGAACGTACCACTTTTTTTATCGATCATAATTCTTGAGAATCGTGATCTTTATTTGTGGGAAGTTCAATTATTTGTTTATCATTTTAATGGTTCTAAATTCAGTTTCATAATTCATACAATTCCGAAAATAACTGAACGTCAAGAGATATGAGAAATTTTATCATTGTGCATGGCTTTAACATGGCTTTTAATGGGTTTCAACAACAGGCATTGTGAAAATATTGCAGGAGAATTAACGAACAGCATTATCTCAAATAATTCATTTTATATAGCAGCAGTAAACAATTTTATGTATAAATCAAATGCTTAAAATTTAGATGTAATAGTTTCCAATTTAATTTTGAGTTCCAGTATTTTTATTTCGGCTTCGCTGAATCGTAATTTTATCGCATTGAAAATCATTAGATTTGATGTAATTGAAAGAAATGACCGCACTTTTGTCCAGAGTTTCGTCTTTCTCAGGGTCAATCCCAAAACCCGACTGGTTTAACTTCTCTTTAGTCTCTGTGTACGTTTTAAGAAATCTGTCAAATCCATTTTTTATTTGACTTTCTTCGCAATTAAGGGCAAAGCATCTTGGAGACGACGAAGGAATTCAGTGCGGTTGGTCACCTGCTAAAATATTTTTTTGCGATTAAGGATTTGGTTATTCAAAATTACATGTGGATAACAAATTATCATTTACCTTACCTTAAATGAGGTGTTATTGTTGACGACATAATATGCCATGTCAATTTTTACTTGTGCTGTCCAGCGAAATATTTTTCGGCCGCCTACCTCCACGACGCTACTTTTGTTACAACAAATTACGGGATTTGCAACTTTTTCGACACTGGTACGCTTAACCTGGGTCTTGGGACCCATAATGATAAAGAATATGTTTTAGAGAACTTTACTTAATTTTTAAACGAAAAATTGAAGTAAACAAACAACTGATGTGCTGATGTGGAGCAGAATGAGCAGGATTATGAGAGAAAAAATCAACCCAAAACTCGATTTTTTTGTTGAGCAAGAAAATCTGATTTTGAGCGAAATCGCATGCGCACAGCCGAGCAGAAATGATCAGAATGAGCGATGAGCAGAAAAATCAGATCTTTTTTAGAGCTTTGAGAGGACCTAATATTCATGCTTGATCGTTTTATCATATCACCTTTTAAAGTGAATGGTTTTGGTAGCGTCAGTTTTGGTGCATTGTTGCCATTTCATGAGACGGGCGAGAATTTGATAACGGGGAATTGATGGCGGGGAATTGATAAAGCGGTGAACTTGTAGGGTGAGAATCGATGGGGGGGAATCGATGACGGGGAATCGATGGCGGGGAATTGACACCAAATCAGAAAAATTATGATATTTTTTTCGAAATCCTGCCCAAAATGAGACAGAAATTCTTGATTTAGGAGATGCACGTCAAAAAGAGTCTGTGAATTGTGTAAAGTTATGACAATTTTTTTCAGAATTTCAACTCAAAATTAAAAATTTACGATTTATACGTAAATCGTGAATTTGTGATTTTTTTCGCAAATTCTTGAATTTGTGAAACGTGACTGAATGCATGTACGAGATAAAAATTCGCTTAACTCGCACGTGGAGTCAAAATTGCTTTAAATTATGGCAATTTATTCGAAATTTATCATTTTCAAGATGGACATTCCCCAAACAAAAATCGAAAAATTGTTCCCTACCAAATCTTCATGATTCTGACCCATTTTCGAAAAAAATCCTCACTTCATGCACAACCCCATCGAAGGAAACAGAATATATTTATATCCCGGGGATGAATGGCAGCCATGTCATGACACACGATACAAGAGTTTCCTTTCTCTAAATT